GCGCTGGCTTATGGCCAAACGGTCATGTGGACAATCAGACATTATACTAATTTGGAACTTAATATGAATGTAAGTCTTCACAATTGTTCTTTATTCCAGGAAGCGCGGGTGGGTAAAGGGCTAGGTAAGCGTTGTGGAAAGCTTTTCGGGTAAAGATGCGATAACTTTCGGCAAATGACAATGATACCCACTGTGGGAGGGGATGAATAAAATGGAAAGCTTTCAGGGGACAAGCCCCCAAACCCCCTTTGCTCGCTGCGCTCGATGATTTTTATATGCTCTTATTCGGCCTCCATTGCAATGGCCCCCGGAGGGCCAGCGGGGCGTCATTTTTATTCATTGGCAATTATTGACTTTTCGATATTATAGGCGGCAGAACGTATCGTCGAATACTCAAATCTAAAAACCGAATCTCTAGAAGGATCAGATCCGCCAGCAGCATGGCCAACTGAAGGTCGTCTCGAAGTTAATGATTTAGTTGTCTCATACGCAGATGATCTTCCACCCGTCCTCAAAGGTCTTACATTCCGAGTTGAACGTAGTGAAAGAATCGGAGTAGTAGGACGTACTGGAGCCGGTAAATCCTCATTGACACTCGCACTTTACAGATTCCTCGAAGCACGTGAAGGCACAATTCATATTGACGGTCTCGATATTTCTAAAATTAATTTGCATTCGCTTCGTTCGAGATTAGCGATTATCCCACAAGATCCAGTACTTTTCTCCGGAACAGTCAGATCTAACCTCGATGCTTTCGATGAACATACAGATTCGGAACTTCGAGATGCTCTAGAACGGGTACAGCTTATTCCACCAACTGGACAAAACACCCCCTCAACATCCGGAACATCGACTCCTTCGCTCCAGAAAAACAAGAATCTCTTCACATCCCTGCAATCACCAATAACCGAGGGTGGACTCAATCTCTCGCAAGGTCAACGACAACTCCTCTGTCTCGCGCGCGCCATCGTTTCACATCCAAAAATCATGGTATTAGATGAAGCAACCTCGGCAGTGGACATGAATACCGATGCATTGATTCAAAGATCTATCAGACAAGAATTCACAGATAGCACATTGATTGTTATTGCGCATCGACTTAGCACGATTGCTGATTTTGATAAGATTTTGGTGTTGGGCGAGGGGAAAGTGGTGGAGTTTGGAAAGCCGAGAGATTTGATGGAGTTGGATGGGGGAGTGTTTAGGGGGATGGTGAAGGAGAGTGGGGAGAGGCAAAGATTGGAAGAGTTGATTCTGGGGGAATAGGATTGGGGAGGGGGTACTAGATGGGGATAGAAATGCGTACTCTGTAGTTATTTCGACGACGGGTGGATGCTGCCGTGTGTATTTAAAGGTTAAAGATCCAAATTCGATTTTAAACTTTACCGATAATGCACCACGAATTTAACGACATATAATCGACACATCGATTTTTACCGCCTGTAACTTCGAGTACTTCCGTCGATAAAGGAAGAAAATAGTGCCAACTCAAGTGTTTGCTATGTCTATCGCTAGCCAAATTATCAAAATCTCAACGCGTAGTAAACCATCAGGAATGGTATTTCTCTCATCGACACATCTCCCACTTATCAAAAAGCTTCGAACTTCTAATCAGGGTGCTCCAGATGGTAAATTTGATGGGGTCTTCGAAGACAAGGAGATACCATCCATTAGCATATACGTTTATCATAACCCCTGTACCAATTTTTTTCACATGGTCGTGCGTGCAGCCAGAAGTTTGCGGCTCCGATGCTACATGCATGTACCACATGCTAGTGAGCCAAAAGCGGAATAAACTAGATTTTTAGCGGCGGTGATGCTTATTTTCTGACAGCCCGAGTGATAGTTTATGCTTCAAACATAGTGTGTAATTGGTCAGATCGAGGAGTGCAAGCATGAAACTAAGAGGCAACGTCCACTTGACAGCTTAGCTTGGTCGGAAATGGTAGGAGCTCCAGTTTCTCCACCATCTGGTAGTACGTATATGCAACTAAAACACTTTGTGGTTTCGCAGAATAAGACTAGACTGAAGAGAACAACTTTAATCGTCGTTGAGTTGAGAATGGGGTGGGTAATTTGGATTGATATTCACAAACCGCATATTCTCGTAAAAGCGAGTTTCGATGTCAGAAATTCACACATTTGTCGTTGGTCCATTGATTGCTCAATAACGCACATTTCAGGGAGCTTGGAGCTTAAAAGTCCTGGTCCTCAATCATCAAAGATCTATGAATGGATGAATAGATCGACAATGTCAAAAAGTTTATAACAAGCTTATCGCAACTTGCCTAAACTTGCGGTTTCGAAACCACATTCTGGAAGCCTACTACAGTACCTTCGATATCGCTGGTACTCAGTAGGTATGCACTTGTCTACCATTCCAGATCCGATCGGGATAATAGCCGACCCGTCAAGGTCAGGGTCGTACCGGGACTGGCGGCTCGACCCACATACCCACATACCCGCACGTTCAAGTGGATCTGTGGAATGTGATTAGCGTACGTTTCTTGGCAATCTTCGGTCCCGAGAGCAACTACCGTGGGCGGTACTCATTTTTTAAGTTTGAGGGCGTCAAATCGAGGACTCGATACTAGTGAGTTTAACTTTTGACAACCGATTTGGCGAGGTGCATGTGCCACGATTCTATGCAGGATCTTGTACGGGAATTCGGAAACTCATTACAGTAGTCCCATCTTCTCAAGATCGATTTCTCTACACCATTGCCAGCCAGATTAAGATGGGAAAAATTCGTAGTAGGGACTACGTATGCTTTCTCTTGGCAAGTCAGTAAGTCGTCGCTGTCAATCTAATTTCCGATATGTACATCGCGGAGGTTAATCACATTGATGGCACTGTAGCCGCATTCTTAGCTAAGACACTTTCCTTATAGAATCACAGCCTTATGCATGAAATGACTCGGTGGCTGGTCTACGTTGGTACTCATGACCCCTACTCGATCAAAACGGGAAAACTGGGACGAGGAACTCGCTAAAATATTCAACTCCCTTCTACTTGTACAAACATGGTATTTTTTATGTATGTATCGTATCGTAGAGATAATCACATGAGATGATCTTATCAATATCATGAGAATTGGGAAATGGGAAATGGGAATTTATGAATGAATAACATGCTTGCAAATATTCTTGTATACTTAATCAATGATTCGGAACCCTCGTAGAGCACACAATTGAATCTGCTTTTCGAGAAGAGAGTAAGTAGCACCAACATCCCGCTTTTTCTTGCGCATGGAATCTTACACTTAGACAGTGGGTTCGTCCTAGTGACTAACAACGAAGTCGACGTCGCAAAAATTTCTTCAAAAAATGTATAAGATCAACCTTATGAATGAAACGTTATAATGTAAACACATGCGGAAGAAGTACAGGAATCCTTGGGTAGTGTTGACTTGTAAGTTGTGATGGTGTATTAATAGACCAAATGATATTTTAGACACTATTTGTATGTAGGATAGATAATTTTCTGCATTCGGATTTTAAAATCAATGTTATTTTCAAACAGATGTCAGGGATTATGCTTGATTGAATATGTACCGTAAGGCAGAACAGATGAATAGATCGGATCGAGTAGACTCCCGCGCTAATTATAATCTGTACTGCATAGGTACCTAACTCTATCTCATTTTATATGTTTGGGAAGGGTAACGGTGACGACGAGGTTTCTCCACTATATAGTATATACAGCTTGAAGAAATCGGAAAAATCTTAGTAAGTACGTAGGCGACGAGGGGCGTGGTTAATTGAACATCTTGACGGAAGGGAAGGGAATGGGGCTCCTCCCAAACTATATATCTCCGAGATAGTCGTGCTGTCAGAAGAAAGTATGCGACTCCGGTGCTATGGGAACTAGGTTTGTCCTTTTGTAGTTTGACATCTTGGGGTATGTGTATGCATCTAGCGCCGGAGTTGTATACTTTCTGACAGCATGAGTATCTTCTTCTTCTTCTTCTTCTTCTTCTTCTCAAGAAAACTGTTCACAGAAAGCACCCACCCGAAAGTCGCTACCAAAACCATGTTTCTCGGGACCGTGAAAATTTCTTCTGGGATGCTGTAGATAGATAGATGTCTAGCTAGATGGATAGTTTGTTCTGTTTGTGATATACCGGGGTCTGGATATGGATATCTTATCAATAATGGATCGCGCTCCTACAAGTGGATACCTAGATATACTGAACCATATACGGCCTAAAGATTTTTTAGAAAATTGGCGTAGATGTTGGGAATGGTGAATACAGGCATTGTTCTTAACCTTGAAACCCTTGGAAGTCTATGTTTCCGTGCAGACGCTAGATTGTGGCGCCGTTGCTGAGGAAGCTTGACGGATACATATGTGAGATGTTTGTTTGTGAAGTCGGACTGTCCGCTTGATGTGGATATGAGAAGGTGTGTTGAACATGGATTTGTCGGTTCTTTATAAAGCAAAGTCTCATGTAGGATGCGGATATCGAAAATGAATGAACTGCAATCGTGAATAAGTTTTAAAACTCGAAGTGGAGGATCGATCTGTAGAGGTGGACCATATATATTTGGGACACAGATGCCGTTATCTCACTTGTAAAATATTCAACGCACCCGTTGATTATATAGCAGCTTTTTCCTGAGCATTGAGATTTATTGAGCCACTGCATCCTCACTATCGTCTGCTAATACTATGTTGATTTCATGCTCGGGAACAGTTTGTTGATTACCACCATACTGCAGGATACGATTTGACTTAAAAGGATTGCCCTCTCCAAAATGTGGAAAGGAGCCCGAGACCTTTTCAGAGCGACATTGGAACATGATGGGTCGAATGAGAAGGATGTTGACGAGGTAAATGCTATCTTTCTGGATATTGATGCAGATCATATAGCAAATGTCAAGCTAAAGCATGACGGCATCAGAGCTAGAATAGAGTTAGATCTGCAAGCGAAGAACAAAAGTAAATAACATTACCGTGGATGCTCAAACGGTTTAGGGCATTGGAGATTCAAATATGTTTCAAGCCCCGCACAATAAAGAGAAGACGAAGACACAAACGGTAGCTCCAACGCAAGCGGGTAATACGGTACAAGCAGTACCAGTTGTCTCAGCGGTCGAAAAGTTGACGCAAAGAGGACCGAGCTGCGAATCAAAGTCGATATAAAGACACTGATCGTTTTCACCTCTATGTACTCTGATCCAGATGGTGACCAAGACCTCGGCACTGTCAGCTGGAAGGATTTCAGACGCGCGATGCGTAAAGCTGGTTTTGAATCGTGGGAAGGTAGAGGTTCTGCGGTTGAGTTTCAACCCCCCGCACATCTTGACTGGGGTAATGGCAAAAAGGTTGGTTAACGTAGACTCATTCAGGTCCGTATTTTGACCTCATCCAACTTCGTGGTTTGGGAAAACGACTCAATAAACATTTTGGCTTTAATCGCGATACTTTCATTTTGAAAGAATAACTGCGAGTATTCCAACCCTCGAGTACAGCCGAAGCATATCGATTCTTGAGGTTCCGTGAGCTACTTGCACTTTTCCGCTACGCGTCTATGAATTGCACAAGAAAGCAATAGCGAATGCTCTGCACACATGTACGGAACCGATATTGGGTTGCCATGCGGAATGCCAGCTGCATTTGTAACTTCCCGCTCCACTCTCCCTATATTTTGGATTGATCAGCGTCCTCTTTCGCAACTTCTCTCGGCCAAAGATCGCTCTCTGAGAACGTGTCTGCCTGAGTGTTCTGCATCAACGGTAAATCATTCCAACAATAGACACTATCCCGGTCCACCCAACCTTTCGGTATCTGGTATGTTCGATAAACAGGACATGGTGGAGATGCATCTTCATTTCCATATACATATCTTTCCTTATCTCCTTCCGTTTTTTGCGTTTTGCTTGGTCTTCAACCACCACCATGTACTCGTATTTCGATAACTTCCCACAATCATATAAACTCTTCCCCACGCCCATGCATGCAACCGTGAATGATGTATTGATTCCCTCATGCACCTGCATTGCAGCCCTCAGCGCCCTTCGACTCCTATATCCATTTCACTATTGTGTGCGAACCTGGTATATTGTTTCGCGTCTCGAATATCGCTCGCTCGCAGCCCACGGTAGATTCGCAAGGTACCTATGAACACTCGATCCAAGTAGTAGTTAGCAGCCCACATCATCACCACCACTCATTCATGATCTTTCCGCGCCCTGGTCGCTCCGTTATCGTATCGACTCGAGACGCGTAAACTATGCAGAATCATGCAAACTATCCCTCCAGCAACAGCAGTACAATCCTACCTGTCTACCAGCCTACCCTACCCTACCATCCCTCACTACACAACACAATATTCGACATCAGTATCCGTATCAGTATCACTCCAGCAAGAATACACAATTCATAAGCCTCAATCAATCAATCAATCAATCAATCAACCGACCAACCAAGCAGTACTTGCATACCAGCTCGCGGTAGAGATTTCGAGATGCGGCGATCGCGTTCGAAGTAACCTACTTCCCAATTGAAGGCTGAGGTTTGATATTCGCGATAGCAAAACCGATCACATACTCAATCAAAGTGCTCAAAGTAATCAAGTAATCAATCAAAGTACTCAATCAATCAATCACCCAACACTCGCTCTGTCTCGCTCGCTCGCTCTCAAACCTACACCGAACAATTCAAAGTACGAGGTACGATGCCCAACGCCCAACACCTAACATCCGCGTCCCCGGGACCAAGTCCAAGATGTTTCTCAATCTCAATCGAGGTTTGAATTCAAGCTTGCAGGTGAAGTTCGATATTCGATGTTCGATGTTCAAAATGTGGCGGGGCGGGTGTGATGTGTGATGTGATGTAAGGATCGGAAAATGCGCCGTGCGTACCCAGTTACGTGCGTGTGTTTATTTATTCAATTTTTCAACATCTCGTTACCTCATAGCATCTCCTTCGAATTTCTGGTGATTTGTTCTGCTCTTTCGGTAGTATGGTATGGTATGGTATGGTATGGTATAGTATGTCTTGAAATGGATGGGGTTTATCGTAGAGCAGAATAGAACAGGACAGAACAGAACAGAATAGGATGGGGTGGGGTTTGTAGAAATTATGCATCTTATCGCGGCTTGTGTTTGCGTTTGCAGTGGTGACGGAAAAAGAAGATCTGGTGGGACGAGAGGAAAAAGTTAGTGTTCGGTAGGAAATGGAAGGAATATGTATGCAAATCAACCAAAGAGAGGCGGTATGGTATATGTGATGGTGTGATGCTGTGATGTTGTGCAATGTGGTGTGGTTTTTGCTACCTTCATGAAAGGTCAATGATGATGGGTAAGGGTATATCAGAATTCGATGCACCACCTCATTAAGCATTCCCACTTCAGCGTTCTGGGATTTTCAAAGTTGGGAATATGATTGGAATAGATTTCTCAAGTGATAAATTAGTAAATACAAGAAGAGAGAAATGGGTCAGAGGAAAGTGTTGGTGGAGATCACAAGACATGTCATGTTCATCAAATGCATTCATTCACAAGGGAAATCAAAGGTACTTGTACAAAATTGTTATTACAATATTCAAGCCAAGCTGTTCCTCCACAAGAAACCCTCCTCAGCCGTCACCAAAGTGGACTTTTGGTGAAAGTCAAGCCTGACTTTTTCCTGTTTTTGGTGTTTTGTCGTTTTTCGAGTTTTTTGGTCTTTGTTGTTTTCCGTATTTTTTTGAGGTTTTCGTTTTTCGAGTTTTTTGGGGGTTTTATCGTCTACTCCAACACCACCATAGTCCAACACCACCATAGTCCAACACTGCCATACTCCTACACCACCAAGCTTCAATTGCACGAGTGCAAATTGAAATTCAGCCATGTTTCCTTTGACCGAAGTCAACACCAGCCCACCAGGCCTGAAAACACAGCTGACCCCAAATACAAGAAGGGCCGCAGCCTCGAAACTTCAACCACCACCACACCACCAACTACGCCACCAATCCCCGCCTCAGAATCCCCAGCAAAACCGTCCCACCACAACGACAGTCACCAACCAACTCACTCTTACCAGTCAATGTCGATCCCATACCCGCTAGTAATACCCCACTCGGTTGTAATATTTGCTTTGAAAGACAACGGGGGACGTCCCGCGTCTTCCTGAGTCCCAGTAGGCTAAGTCGATCACGTACCCTCTCGGGTGTGCCTGCCATCCTGATGTTTTCCTCAGGCAATCGATGGTCAGTGAGAAGGAAGTCAGGGGGCTCTCAAGCTTCCTGCCGACGCAGCCTGCTATATTTACACCGTCCTGACTATTACTCGACCTGATCTCCCGTCAGAAGTTGCATCCTGTCGTGCCATCGGCGACCGGGACGTACAACTCTGCGAACGAAGAACCTCCGCACTGGACGTATGGTTCATCGAGGGAGATCGTATAAGGATCAACAACAAAGTTTGGTAAAACCAACAGAGGGAGACGAAGACATGGTAAGTGGAGAGGTGGATCATGAAGACGTGGGTTCCCGCCCAACCAGTTCATCACACCTTCAACCACACCATTCCGAACTGCGAACACCTATTGTTTGAGGTTAGAATTGGTCAAGGTGAGAAGTGAAGGGAGGAGTGAGAATGAGGAAAATACGTACTTCTTGCGATAAAATAAAGATGTTTGTCAAACCGGATAAAAATGATAAAAATATTGTCGAGAAAGGAAAGACCGAAGGAAAAACCGAAAGGAAAGGAGGAAGAAGATAACAATTCTGCAAGATGTGTTAGTATTCTGGTGGTGGTGCGACGACGTTGTGAACTTACCGAACTCGAACGGAGACAGAGTCGATCGTAACCAAAGAAAGCACGCAAAAGGAAAGGAGAGGTCCATTCTGCAATGGGTGTTAGCAATTTGGTGGTGCGACGACATGTTCAAGTGAGGAACTTACCAAAACTCAAACCGGTCAGAGTTGACCGTAATCAAACAAGCACACGAAAAGACACACCTGTTGGTAGTTAGTATCATGTTCAAGTGATGGAGCATGTGAGGAAAACTTACATAAGAAAGGTCGGAAAAGGGTGAGAAGACCAGACGCAGACGAGAATAGTGCGAATGGGTCGCCGATGAAAGGACCAGCGTGGTGTGTACAAAGGGTAGGTGGCTTTGTATTGTCGATATACCGAACAAGTAATGTCGAGACGAAAAAATGTGTCAATTCTTTGCAACGGCCGCTACAAAGAAAAGAGACTCCTAAAGTCCGCGTCGCAAGTAAGGTTAGAGGTGACCAGTGGTCCACAAGATGAGCTTGTCGAAAGAAATGGAGGTTGAGAATTCTATGCAGTTGGCGCTACACAGAACTTTCAAGGTCGAAATCTGACGAGGGCTCGATCGAGTGGTTTGGTCGATTGAAGGGGAGGAGACAACGATTGTCCAAGAGACGAAGTAAATCATTTTCAGTTGCAGTTGGCGCTACACCAGAAAGGTTGATAAAGTCCTTCTAGAGGATGGTCGTTGTCGAAGAAGTCGAAGATACCGGGAACAAATGAATGATTGAGATCGATGGATAGAGGTACTCAATGATTGAAATGTTGGATCGGGTCGAGATTGTCAATCGCTTGCAGCAGGCACTACAAGCAAAAGGCAAATCGAGGCGAAGGCGATGGTATCGACGAACAAGAAGGTGTTGAAGGATAATGAAGAACAAAAGAATGATTGAGATCGGTAGGCGGAGGCACTCAATGATTAAAATGTTAGACCAATACCAAAGAGGTCAATCTCATGCAGCAGGCACTACACAAAAAAGACCAAAATGAAAGGGTGAAGGTTGATATCCGACAAGAGAAGGTAAGAAGAAGGGAACGGAGGAGGGACTGCGAAGAACAAATCAATGGAAGAATAACAAAGATCCAAGGCGGCACTTTGATGATTGAGATGTTGATCCAAGACATGGAGTAAGTTCAATTCAATGTGGATGGCGAGTCCGCAAAGAAAAGAACAAACTCCAGTCTGGAAAAGGTTCGTGTCGAGAAAAAAAGAAATTGGAAGGAGGACGGGGGGATGTGGAAGTATTTAAGTTAATTTGAAATCCATCTCGGTGCGCGAGATCACTTCGCTTGAGAGGAAAATTCTTTGCTGCGGCTTAAAAGTGAATATGGGGAAATGAGGGATAAGTGAGGGGGATTGGGTGAAAGTGAGGCAGAATACCTTGTCGGCGTCTGTTGGGAAATGAGATTTGAGCAAGTTTTCTTTCTTCCGACCTTGATTCTCTGCCGTCTTTCCCATAAACGCGGCGCGTGTGAGATATAAAGTGAATTTGTCTTTGTGTCTGAGAAATGAGCTGTAGCAGAAAAATGGCGCAATCGCTCGTGGTGAATTATACGGCAGATATCACCAATAGAAAAATTCGTTGAGGGCGGTAAGGTGGGAAGGCGGTGCAGAGGATGAAATTTTCATTCAAATTTTCACATTTGTAAAGTATCTGGAGTGAACATGAGGAGTCATTGATGAGAAATTTTGAGGGAATTCTTAGACCACCAAGATACCTCGGCAGCGAGGTGAATTGATTGTAGAGAATGAAGAGTGGGAAAGTGAGATTGAGGTTGAGGTTGAGGTTGAGGTTGATAATTGGATGATGAGGTTGGATGTTGATGTTTTAGAGTGAAGTTGGTAGGTAATCCAAAGTTGATATCAGAGTTCTAGTTACGTTGGCTATTGGTGGTGGTGGTAGTGGTGACGGTACTGGTACTGGCGCCGACGTCGACGTCGACGTCGACGTCAAGATTCCTCCAACTTATATCTGCAAATGTGAACTACAATCAAAGTTCCAAAGATGGTCATGACACAGTCAATCTATCAATCCTTTCATCCTTCTATGACCATCCTCCCCCTGACCATACACTCTTTTAATTTTCATCCAATCCCTCACCAACTTCAGTATAATATAGATTATGATTCAAACCTCAATATCAAGTCGGTAGGTAGACCCAAACAAACAGTCCCATGAACACCGTCCTCCCTAAAGTATACGATCACCAGCATAGCATAACATAAAACAAAGCCGACATGATCTCCAAACAACCTCATCTGAATACCTACTAGGTACTCCATTCAAGAACTCTCCATGTAATTAATCTATCTACCTATCTACCTATCTACCTATCTACCTATCTACCTATCTACCTATCTACCTATCTACCTATCTATCCATCCATCCATCTATCCATCCATCTATCCATCCATCCATCTATCCATCCATCTATCCATCCATCCATCTATCCATCCATCTATCCATCCATCCCCAGTAGCAAACACAAACTACCATCTCCGCGCAACCCATTCTCCACCTCCCAATCATCCTAAATAGACTAATGCAGGTGACATGAATCCAAAGAGAAGTAGATATGATATGATGCGCGCAATTCCAAGAGCTAAGAGCATCCATAGTATTAGTATTATATACGTAAATACGGCCAGTATATACATTACATATGAATCCCCAGCCCGGATATCTACCTAGTAGGTATCTTCTGCTCCATTCCCATCATCTAATACCTGGATTTATTACATTACTCATATACGAATATCAATCACTCAAGCAATACACCCACCCACCTATCCCATTACTCACTACTCACTCACTCACTAACTACCCAAATCCTCTCCAACCGAAAAGCCAGCTACTTACCTACCTACTCCCCAGATAATCAACCCCATCACATAACCTCCCTCTTATCGATTCCCCTCCCCTAAGAAATCTCCTATTGCACATCTCAAAAACTCTTCACCATTACACACCCGTTCACCAGCATACCTGCATTCCACACACTTTTTAATCAAAATTACTAGGTACATTGTCTGGGAATAGGTAAGAGCACTTTTTGACGCTATTCCCGGGTGATGTGTTGTTGGGTTTGGAGTTTCGGATGGATACTAGATATATGGGGGTGCTTCGGGCTGAGTTTCGGGCTGGGTGGGGGAGGGTGAGGAAGAGTGATGGGTGATGGGTGATGGGTGATGGGTGATGGGTGATGGGTGATGGGTGATGGGTGATGGGTGATGGGTGATGGGTATTGTTACTTGGAATGAAGGGGAGAGGAGGATAGAAGAGGAGATTGGGAGGGATACTTGGTAGGTAGGCAGGTAAGTAGTGACTGGATTATGGTATATGAAGCAGATATGAGTGAGTGAGAATATTCAGGGAAATGTAGAAAGGAAACAAATTATCTCGATGGCTAAGTGAAGCCCAGATGATTATGTGCCAAAGGAAAGAGGAAAGAGGAATTCATCGAGATGTCCATTTGCTTCTGAGATGCAGGTAAGTGTAAGTCAAGACTTTTATATTGTACATCTAAAGTATATATATATATGTGTGTATCTAAAGAAATAACAGCAAATGGTGACAGGATAAAGTACAGTAGAGTTCAATACATCGAATCGAAAGGCTTCTTTTTTCCAAAATTCAACATCCAGCATCCAATAACCCACAGCCCACAGCCCACATCAATCATCACCAAATATCTCAACTCCCCAGCTCAACTCCCCAGCTCAACTCCCCAGCTCAACTCCCCAGCTCAACTCCCCAGCTCAACTCCCCAGCTCAACTCCCCAGCTCAACTCTACAATTCAACTCTACACCCTCATTAAACCTCCGAACTACACACAAATGAGCTCGCCACATTAGAATCCCCACCAACATACTTCTGCACCAACGGATACGGACACAAATTCCTCTCAATCACCGTTGTATTTCCCGTCGGCGTCGTTCTTGCCGCCAGCACATCAGGTGCCACACCCTGCTCAACCCATTGAACCAAAGCCCCCATCAAGTCCACCGGATAAGGACTATTACCACCCGAGCAATGCTGCACTCCCGGCGCTTCAAAAAGTCGATAAAAATCTCTCACATTCTCATCCCTCTGTTCGACTTCCCCATAATACTTTTCGGTTCCGAGCGAAGGAATGAGTTGATCGGATAAGCCATGCCACGGAAGAATTTTCCCTCCCGTCTCTTTGAATGCCGAGAGATCGGGATCCGCAGTTCCGATGATCGATGCATATTGTTGGACAGATGAATGTATGAGACGTGCGAATTCTTGCTGGGTGACATTATCAAGAGAAAACGATGCATTGTTCACAACAAAGCGATTAATCCATTCAGACGGTAATGGGATGGGGACACCGGTACAATTCGCATTTCCATCCGTACACAGAGTTGTGGCGGTTCCGGTGCTGAGAGGACACGAAGGATTTAATCCGTACCACACAAAGCTTCCGTCTTCGGCTCTAGGACCTTCCCACGCTGCTTGAGCAACCATGGCTACTTCCGAGGTGATAATCGCCGCACTTCCATCTGAACAACTCACATTCCTTCCGACCGTTGAATTGGCTTGAAGTTTGCAGAGTTTAGGGGCACTCAGCAGACCATCCATCACACCATCAAGTCCATCACACCATCAAGTCCATCACAAGCTTGGATTCCAGCCGCGGTGATGCGTCAAGTTCGCACGAACTGGGATAACCCCCCAGCTGATTCATGATAAATTGAGGCCAATACAAAGCGGGGATAAACTCTGCCCAATTGATTGCCGGCGCACCAGCTAGAATGCCATCATATCCTTCTGGATACCGTTGTGCCATCATCATAGCTTGTCGTCCACCTGTCGAACAGCCATTCCAGTATGAATAACCCGGATTCTTTCCATAATAAGAAGATGCAACTGATTTTCCAATAATCGTCATATCATTCAAGGCAGCCGAAGCAAAATCTTGAAGTAAATAAAGATTGACATTTCCAGGTGATACCTGAGCCCAATTTGAGGTGTAGAATGCAGTGGTGTCGACATCGTCGTTGTCAACAAAGTGGCCACCATCTGTCCCAGCTGTCACATAACCATCAGCCACAGGGGGGATCATATATGTTTCGTAATAGCCGGTATCAAATCCACTACCGCCTGTGGCCATAAATCGACCATTCCAGGATGATGATGAAGAAGAAGGTAAATAGATCTTCACATTGATCGTGTCGTTTTGACCCGGATGCGTATATGTAAGTGTTACGTTGCAGAAGTCTAGTGAAGTGATATTGGCAAGGATTGCTTGGTTAAGTGGTGTAATCGACCCGGTGTAGTTGAGCACTGGTACAGCTGTGCCTGAGAGAAATGAAGCACCAGGTAAGTCTGGGTAAGGGATGGTAGAGATATTACACGGAGATGCCATTGTCTCTTTAGCACTCTTCGGGAGAGTATGTACTTCGGAGGGGAGGGAGAAAATGAAGGGATGATGAGGAGGGATTCTTCATGATGACGGATGGATTGTATGTTTATATAATGAAGGAGTACGAATCCAAATTGGAAGCTGACTCCCATTTCAAATTCAAAGCAACAAGTCATTATTCTTCCCCTATTCATGATGCAAAGATTCCCAAGACTTCAAGCTTGGAAAAACGCCAATATCTTTAAATTACAGTACTGAGTACCTAGGTGCAAACAAGTGCCCAAGTCCCAGCACAAACAATTCAACACCCCCTCCAAAATCTCACGAGATCAAAGAAACGCCAATCATCAATATAATACCATATAAATCAAAACCAGCACTAGCTCCCGAATACTTGGAATACCATACGTACATAATCTTTCACCTGCCAAGATCGAGCTAGTATACTTTCCCCATCTCAAAGCCGACTAAGCTTGCTTCCATGGGTGTGGCTCTCGGCATCTAGGCAGGCAGTTGTGAAGATCTTCTCAATGAGAGTAAATCTCCTAGTCGGAGAATTAAAAAAATCACATGATGAATTTTCTACAGAGGACGTGCCGGATTTTCAGATCGAGGGAGCGAAGGTGCGAGGAAGTCCTCAGAATAAATATCAATATATCATTCTTTCAAATCATATTACATCAAATCACTCCTCGCTAGGAAGGATTCTCCCCGGACTCTAGCTCGGGTACGCGAGTACACGAGATGATGTTTATATACATGTGAACTCTTTTGCCTCTCCCTCTCCCTAATAGAAAGACAAATAGTCAATGGTAAGTCTACTATCCTGATTCCTCACGAAGCCTCGAGCCTCCAGAGTGTTCGGAAACCCTCCGGTTAATTGAGAAACAAGGTAAAATTGAATCCACATACGATACCTATTGAAAAGGGCTGTGCAGGAGAATTTTACTATGGTATGATATGATATGTTTCCATGCGATTGTCCTTGTCCTTACTAGATCGTCATATAGCGATACCAGACATCGGGAGAGAAGTGCGGACTGGAAATAGTCCGTCTGTCCGTTAAGCAAAATGATCTAGTAGAAGTGTGGGAATATAACATAGATGCCAAGGTGCAGGTAAAATCCGCACTAATAATACAAACGGAGTCTGCAGGTACCCGAGTTTTTAGCTTGTCTCCTGTATGAATTCTCGTTTACCATAGTGAAAAGCTTCGCCGCGGATCAAACTCCTCACATGTGCTATTGAGTATATACCCATATCTTTCCTCTTTATTCTCGAACATAAAAACAAACGCGGACGACTTTTTGGAAATTATGCGAAAGACTCTTAACCGGAATCAAACCCATCGTTCAAATTGGAGAGATCAATCGCAAAGAATCTAGTTCACCATGAAGAGACAACACATCCAGATATTTCATTTCAGATTTCTCAGACTCTTTATTCAAATCCATTCGTAATACATAAATAAGCACAAGTCAAATTCCAGTACTTTTCGAATCAAGTCCCAAATAATGTACTCCCCTCCCTTCCACCCTCTCCTCCACAACTCCCAATCCCTAGACCCCATCCAGCCCCTCAAAAAGCGTAACTCCCCATTCCTCCCCGGGATTATTAAATCTACTCAACCATTTCCTCCCCACAAACCTTAATTTTGTCAAATCCGCATGCGTCAATTCACACTCCTCCGCGTGCAGATTCTCCTTGATCCATTCCTCATGACTACTTTTCGGAATCACGCTAATACCCCTCCCCATATTCCATTTCAATGCTACTTGCGCTGGAGTACAATTTCTCTGTTCGGCTATGTCGAGAAGAATGGGGTTTTGGAGGAGAGGTGGGGCTTTTGGTTTTGAGGAGGGGCGGAAGAGGGATATCCATGATGTCCATGAAGAAGAAGATGATGATAGTGCTGGTGAAGGAGATGATTGATAAGTCGGATTAGTATTTCCCAATGGAGAATAAGCCGTCACTTTAATACCAAGAGCTTTATGCGTCGCTACCCACGCTGATTGTTGCAGATAGGGGTGGAGTTCCATTTGATGGGTATGCGGCATCGTACCAGTCGAAACGACATTTTTGAGTTGGAGCGGAGAGAAATTAGATACCCCGATATTGAGAACACGAGATTTGGGAAGGGAAATCATAGATTTGTAGGTCTATTTCGTGTTAGTTGGAATTTGAAAACGTGATGAAAATGAAGACGGACCTGGACGTGATCGGGATTCTTGGTTCCATTAGATAAGAAACCAATAGGCCAGTGTATGAGATATAGATCCAGATACTCGAGATCTAGATCTTGAAGAGTTTGGTTTAACCCCTTTTCCACATTTTCATAACTTCCATGACTATTCCATCAGACAATTAGCTAATCTTCGACCAAGATAACTCTCAATCAATCATTCGAACTCATACAAGCACGTGAAAAACAAAACAATCATAACATACTGATCATTCCAAAGTTTACTCGTCACCCAAAGATCCTCTCTCTTCAACCCAGCTCTCTTCAACCCCTCTTTAATTCCTTGTCCTACCGCCACTTCATTCCCATACGCAGCCGCGCAATCAATTTGTCGATACCCAATTTCAATTGCGTACGCGACGGCTCCAGTTGTATTCTCAGGAGAAAGATTTAGATTCCATGTTCCGAAACCGATAAGAGGTTGAGGAATCGATTGTTTTCGGGATGGTGGGAGTAAGGGGGAAGATGGTGGTGTGATCGGATGTTGTTCAGCTGAGAGATATAAAGCGTTGACGTTAGACAGGAGGAATGCGAGAGAAAGAATATCGATGATTTGCATGATGGCAAATTTAATGAAGACAAATGGAAGATTGAATTGAGAATATATTCAGCTGTAGAAATGAAACCATATATATTGTAGAGGTTTGAGTTCAGCTGTTTGTTTTATGCTAGGGTTGAACATTGCTAGGTATATAAATTATGACGTTAGGTTGAACAAGGGTTCATGTCGCTGTGGCGCCAGCGGGAGTTCATGTATTGACATCCCATTCGGTAGCTATAGACTGAAATATATGTAGTAGAACACAAACAACCACACATAATCCAGAATCTTGAATCTAAAAGCTGCGCAGTATATTGTAAGTCGTACTCAATCACCATTTCTTCCAGGTGTGTACCAATGTTCATCAGACCATTTTAATCCGCAAGCACAAAGGCGGTGAATCTCCATTTGCTGAGTAAACTTGGGTATATGATAAGAAGCCGAATTTCACGAGAGAAGAATGAAAGTCAATCATCAGAATGGTACAAAAACTATGTTCATGTAGTAGAATTATTATAACATTCAAACAAACAAGTAAACAAAAATTCATCGTAAACAAAGACTAAACATCAAACTTCCATTCTCAAAATCCTATCAAATATCCCACGCTGCCAGGTAAACATTAACCCCTTACTCCATGGATATCAAATCCCCATTTCATAATCATCATTAAACTCATCAAGACTAAATAACCATCGCCGAATCAAAACTCAGAATATAAAATCTCAATCCTATACATCTTACTTCCTTCCCCTCGCCAATAATTTATCACCCAACTCAGCTACCGCTGAGCCCCAAGAAACATTAGTTCCATCTCCCTTCTCCTTAGCATAATTGCCTAGTCTACTAAGAAGAAACTCCCTCATCTTCGGTTCATTAAACCTTTCTCCATAGATTACTTTTGCAACTGGGGAAATCTCCACGTCAAATCCTTCGTCTGTGCTGTGGCTAATGAGACTGAAAGCTAATTCGACCTTTGTGTTAAGAGCCGCAATCAACAACTTTGACTTGACGAGGATAGAGTTATCTGATGTTTTGGTGACAACAGTTGGGCAAACAATATTTAGTAGATGTATATCATCCACAACTCTTGCTGCTTTGTTCCAAGCGACGCTAACAGAATTGAGCAGAGTCTTGATTTCGGTTTCTGATTGTGGTAATCCTCGAACGTGATCACGGATGCATTGGAGGAGAAATTCCTTTTCGGGGGTGAGAGTTAATGGATTATATTCTCGATTGGCGGCGATGTACCAAAGATCAATTCTTGAATTTGCTGGCTTGGTAGTCTTGCTCGAAGCATGTGACTTGAAAGCAGCTGCGTCGAATACAAGTTCAATCTCCTTTCGATAAGTCATTGAAGTCGTTGTTCCAGAGACACCAGTGATAGTCCAACCATGCTTCTTTTCGAGAGCATCCACTTTTGCTAGAAAATTGTTAGCGACGTTAATAGATTATGGTCAGAGACTGATATATACCTTTAAGGTTACTAAGCTCGTTCGAACTCCAACCTCGGCACTCCTCTCGAATCTTTTCCGCTTCACGAATTTCTTCCAAATATGTTTCCTTTTTGGCAGTCCCAGCTTCAATTTCGATTTCTTTTGCTTGAAGCTGTTTCTTCAATTCCTCAATCATGTGCCTTTTCGCATCAACATCAGCTTCTACAGTGATCAGCTGCTGTCGAGCTTCACTGAGCTCTTCAGGATCACAGCTAGCAATTTCTTCGGCAGCAGTCTTCAGGTTGGTCTCTTCATGTTGGAGTTGCTGAGCTCGTTTGATCATCTTTGGAAGCACAGCGTCTAGGAGTGCTTGTTGCTTGTCAAGGATTCCTTCATCGTTGATCATGCCTTCAGCACTTCTAACGAGTTCATCCTTAACAGTCTCAAGTAAAGTTGATCGCCAATCATACCACATGCCTTTACTGAGAAGACGAGAATGTGTCTTGACGTTCTTGAGTTGATTATCCATGACAACCTTCATATCCGCCGGCGCAGAAATGTATTCACGGAAGAGTGGGGGATTCTCCTCGAAGGTTTCACTCTCGATCTCGCGAACTGTTTTTCGGCCATCTGATATATACTTTTTGAGTTCATGGCAAGCCTAAGTGTGTCAGTATGACCATGCCCTGTCATAAGGGATATGTGTGGATAACTTACATGCTGAAATAACTCAAGCATTGGAATGGTAGCAGCACCCGCAGCAACGCAATCTTCAAGAGATACCTTGGTCTGATCTGATAGTCGGCTTCTTATCGGTCCATCACTAGATCGTTTTGGTGCGATTGTATGCCTTCGTTTGGTAGTTGTCAATTCCATGAATCGAATACTTGTCATATTTAAGAAATCCTGCAACTGTATGCGTTCATTATCCAGGGATTCCTCGGGCAATTTTGGATATTCAACTGGTTCTGTCTCATTGAACGGAATTGCCACAGGCTCAGTCAAATTAGCTTCTGCATCTTTGAAACGTCCTTGATCACGTGGTGTAGTGATTGTGTCCTTGATGGGCGAAGTAGTGAGAGTAGGAGTAATTGAAGGAACAGTCGAATCTTCCATACTCTTTCGGCTCAACCGAGTCAGGCGACCAGTCGTTGTTTGTTCCTTGGTGGGTGGCCCTTGGAGGTGGACGTTCTTTACAGGACTGCCCTGATGATTTCTCAGTCGCTTCATACCACTATCATCTGAATCAGAATCATCCTCATCCAACTCAGCGGGTCGTTTGCCCAAAATTCCAATTGCGGCACCGGCATGCAAACTCTTGCGACCTTTCATTGACTTCTTCTTAGGGGTTAGACTGCTGATCATTTCCTTGAGGTTCAAAGTGGCGTCTTTTTCTTCTCCTTCACCTTGATCCGCTTCACGCTCCATTATCCTACGGCCATTTTCTCTATCTTCTTCTAATTCCCTCTCCCGGTCAACTTCCGCTTCCATGATTCGAGGATCTTGGAATCGTACACCACGATTCAAATCCGCTGGCTGGGTAGGTGTGAATGATCGTGCTTGTTCTCCAATCGATCCGCGTCGGTCTAACAATGCAGCAACTTTTGGTGACCCTAGTCCAACTCTATCAAGGCCAATGCCAGTAGACAATCGTTTTTGCGGTGTTAAAATAAAATTAGGTGTTGCAAGGCCCGTATTGCTGTCTTGCTTGAATAATTTATTGGGAGTTTGTTTTTTACTTGAAGCTGTACGGGGAGTAGAAGATGATTCTTTAAGATCAGGCTTGAAAAGTCTCTTTGGTGATCCTGTACGCATGAGAATGTTCTTGGATGGTGGAGTTTTGCCAGGGTGAGATGGTTGAGCAGGTTGTGGAGTGAGCTGTTTTTGTGGAGTAGTAGGTTTCTTAACTGGCGTTGACATCTTAGACTTTGGTGTAGACTTGGGCGTTGTAGAGATTCGTTCCATGCTTCTACGAAGACCCTTTCCTTTGAATCCGGCTGTGAAGCTTGGGCTGCCAGTTTCTGGTGCCACAGTCAAAGCATTGTGGTTAATGGGCTTTGGTGGGGAATTGGCGGGGACATCTACTCGGAATGGTGAACTACCGAGATCTGTTTCCATTTCCATAATCTTCTTGGCCTGATTTCGATCTCCAGCATTCAATCGTGGTAGAATTCCACCTAAAGCCTTGGTCATTTCCATACCAACTGTCACATCCATATCCATTTCCATTTCCTCGGTCTCGTCCGTAGTCGGAGGTATGATACGTCCCACTGCAGTAGTCATGTCCATATCCATATCCATTCCCATCGTTTCATCACCGGCTGCAGAATCCAAGCTTTCGCGGTTTTGGTTTGACTTTGCCTTTGAAGCCGTAGATGCTCGTCTCTTGTTCTTGACCGCAGCTGGCTGTGATAGTACACCACCGATGGCCGACGTAAAGTCCATGCTCATATCCTCATCTTCGGAAACCTCATCATCATCTTGAGCTGCATGAATTCCACCTATAGCAGTAGTCAAGTCCATGGTCTGTTCTCCGAATGCCGATTCTTCACCTGCTGATATTCTACGAGTACTTTGGCGACGACTTGCTGGATTGAGTTTTGCTCCAGATTGGCTGTTGGGAATAATACCACCGAAAGCGCGGGTGACATCCATAGAAAGCTCATCATCTTCTCGTTGTTGGCCTGGTAAGATTCTACCAACTGCACTTGTCATATCCATATCCATTGTCATCTCTTCTCCATCTGATTGTTCAGCATCTAGCTGAATATCAGATTTGGCTGCTGATGAGAAAGGATTTACATTCTCTTGGTCTTTTTGTGATTCTAGAGGAGCCTTCTTTGCCCAGGGAGCAAAGGATGCAACGATCTCATTGTCTTCACTCATTTTGGTATCTCCTTGTTCATCGAAACTCATTGCTGGTGTACCAGCTTGGTTTGCAGCTCGCCTTAAAGATTGTTCCAGCATCGTATCTGAACCAACGCTAAAGCCCGATTGAACTGATGCCATTGACATGTTTGTTGTTTCTCCACCATCCATAGTCATTCGGGTCCCATCGTCATCATCATCCGAATCACTAGAAGCAAATTCATCCTCTTCGATATCTTCAGCGCCTACGGAACTCCCACTCAAGGGACTGGAAGAGAAAGCATCGTTGGGGTCATTGAAATTCATAGGAGGTATGACAGAACTTCTGCGGCGCTTCTTTTGATGTAGATCACGTTGATGTTCCGGTGATCCATTTTCTGTGTCATCTTCGATTTGTTCGGGTGGTGTTGATGGAGGCTCCGGAGGGTCTGAGCTGAGTGGTCCAGAATTCTGCTGGTGCGGGGTAGTGACAGAGTCTCCAGTAACATTTGAGGCCCGGCGGGTGGAATTTGTGGAGTTGGACGATGTGGTGGAATCCTGATATTCCACAACAACATCCCAAGTATGAAGTGTTGCTTCAGGCGCAAATGAAACACGTCGATTAGCAAGAGACTTCCGACGAGCATCTCTTCTAGCATTAACTTCCTTCTGCATATCAGCTCTTTCCTTCTCCTCCCTCTCTCTAGCAGCAGCTTGTTGCTGTTCCTCCGTTCGCAATGCGACTCGATTATCATTGTTGGTCTTTGGCATTTCGATATGGAATGGATCATCAAGTGTTTCGGCGCCTGAAGCCTTTGAGCCGGCGTCAACGCCAAAATCGATTAACAATTCAGAGCCTGGGAGTGGTGGTGAGGGGGTTTTGGCCTTTTTCGGACTCGACTTTTTGTTGGGATTATGCGCCGGAATCTCACGAAGAGGTGGCATAGTAGGTTTCAGGATGGATCTTGGAGGTGGTTGAGGTATCGTAGCCAAAGACTATACATTTATTTAGCCAGATTCTTGACTTTCACATTGTGAAGTGTTTACCTTGCGACGATTCCCAGTAGTATCTTTCAGTGCATCTAGCCCGCCAGGACCTATACTCTTACTTCTCTTCTTCTTTGCAGGCTTCTCGATTGGTGCTCTTTTCCCAGTAAGAGCCCCAAGTTCTGCCGTCATATTTTCTTTATCTGCAGGTATTGCGGATAACGATTTTCTTGATTTTGGGCGACGAGTCGCGGGAAGTGTGGCTTCCTCTAAGGAAGACATTTCGAATGTCGTCGAATGTGAATTATTTCAAAGTTTCATAAAGTATTCCCTATATGCTAGTTATGAAGTTTGGGGGAGTAATGGTAGAACTCTTGTCTTAATGTTGCTATGCCGAAAATGAAACAAACCCCAAATTATTCAAAGTAAACAAACAAGTCGCGTTCTGATCCAAACGAGAAACTCGGTTCAACTTCGGGATGTAATTCACAACTTGAAAATTCATAATAATTTTAATCCAATCACATGACCTTCATAAGAGCATCCTCGCTTAGCCGATTACCTTAGCGGCACACACATTTCGAGAAAAATTGGAAATTTACAGAAGCCTTCAATCGACATTCCTATCGACGACCACCACGAATTTGCGACCTATCGACCAAATTTCGCAGCCATGGCCACCGAACTTACCGTACAATCGGAGCGCGCTTTCCAAAAGCAACCTCACATCTTCCTTAACTCTAAGTCGAAGACCAAGTCCAGCAAGGTTGGAAAGGGTGGCCGCAGATGGTACAAGGACGTTGGATTGGGATTCAGAACCCCAAAGACCGCCATTGAGGGAAGCTACATTGGTATGTGGAATTTTCTACGGGTTACTGGAATCGAGGTGGAATTAAACAACGCGACACGGGAAATGGAAGGCTGGGCCATGTCTTTTCGAGATGGGAGATAGAGGATTTCGAGTGATAAAATGATATCTGGAGGAGATGGCGAAATTTGAATCGAAATCGATCGCGATGCTAACAAGAAATTCTCAACAGACAAGAAGTGCCCATTCACCGGTCTCGTTTCTATCCGTGGTCGTATCTTGACCGGAACGGTTGTTTCCACTAAGATGCACCGTACCCTCATCATCCGCAGAGAATACCTCCACTTCATCCCAAAATACGCCAGATACGAGAAGAGACACAAGAACCTCGCTGCCCACGTTTCCCCAGCTTTCCGTGTTGAGGAGGGTGATCAAGTCACAGTTGGACAATGCAGACCATTGAGCAAGACCGTACGTAATCAATTGCGCAAACACCAAGATTTCTCTTGATGGATTATATTTTATTTCCACAAGGGAGAAAAGATAAGTTTAACTAACACAAATACAATAGGTCCGTTTCAATGTTCTCCGTGTCCTTCCCCGAACTGGCAAGGCTGTCAAGTCTTTCAGCAAATTCTAAATGGGTTCTTTATCGTACAAGGGGTGCATGTGGTTTTCGGGATGTTGATCAGGAGGGTTGTGATCATATGAATACTGGAAAAGCAGCATGAAAATCATGTGCAATAGCTACGGAAAAGTAAATCAATGCCACGACGTTCCCGACACAAGACTTTGCGCGATATGCAACTTGGTGATGTGGATTGATATGATCAATGATATAATTTCAAAAAAAAAAAACAAGCTTACCCCAGCTTTCACAGTTCCAAAAATCTTGTTGCTTTTGATATTTTCGGTGTATTTATATATCCACATACGTTCGCACATTCTAGGTACGAAGAAGAAATGGATTTGGAGTCAAAACAGCATCAGGAATAATGATGGCCATACATCATCCAAGAGAATGCGTTTCGAAACGGTGATCCCCATGATTGCGGCTGGATGTTAGCTCTACATGCAGCGTCCTTGTACTTGCATGCCGTGAGTCGTTCAAATGACCATGAATTCCATGATTAATGTATTGCAATGGGAATCGAGGAATGTTTGCGACGGCACAAGTGACTATACGCATCTTCATACCGTTTCCATCGACTCGCAGTGGTTCAAATCTCAAAGTTCCCATTGCGCCTAATAAATATATCGAGACGGGTCGTGAGGCTTCAGTATCCAATATTGTATGCAATATTGATTAGAAATTTATTGACAAAGCATTAACAATACGTCGACTCCGTGGGCGCCGAATGAATAATTATAGTAGGAGCTAGATCTGCGGACTTGACTAAATATTTAGATAATTTCCGGTCTCAACCCCATCCTTGGAGATCTTTTGAATTTTGTAGAACGAGAACGGATGCTCGGTACATCTTTCTCTCACTCTCACTCTCACTCTCATCTCATCTCATCTAGCGCCAATCTTTCCCCCTTTATTCTATGCTTGGGTTAAAACATTGATATGCGAGGTGAAGCTTTCATCAATAGTGCAGGCGTAATAATAAAATAAGCTTCTATCTTAGCTAACCTTCCAGGTAGGGAGTATAGGTTATAGGTAGGTAGTATCTTATATTTACGATATCAGCCACAGCTATCAGCCACTTCTTCATACACCGGACCCGACCTCCAGCTCCAGCTACAGTTTAACTTTCGGTTTCATTCATTTCCCTCGATTTTACTATGAAGTATACTACGGGACAAGAGCATTTATTCATACCTACGAAGTACTACCGGTACTATCCATCCGTACATTTATATAAATACATATCAATCAATCTTCATCTAGACGACTTGGACCTACCTCGTCCTAGTAGATTCTTCCACCCCATTCTCCATTCTTTATCACAGACATCACTCTCTCGAGTTCTCCATCAAAACCATCATATATCACATAAATTGGCCGCCGTTCTCCACTTGTTCGCATTAACATTCCTTTTCACCTCACAGAATTTCCATTATCCATTAAAAAAAAAGTCCAGTGCACACACTCGAGACACCGCACAAAGCAGCAACAGATCTCTCACTGCCCTGACCATTTACCGAATGCGATGAAATCCAAGAATATTCGAAACAACAAAGAATGCACCCGCCAGTAATAGAGACTTGTCCTGGGAAAGCATTGTTTAAGAATTAATATTGTATGTGCACAAATTTAACTTCAAGTCAGCAATCTCTTACCAATCAATCATTTAACACTCATCTAGGTATTTATCCAGGTAGATCGTAGCAAGCAAGTATTGAAAAACAAAAAAAGATCCCGTCCCAGAGGATTGGATTGAGTGATACAGATTACCAGTACACAGGTACTCATTTATATATATGTATATATATTCTCCGTATATGTATCTACCTAGCTGGAGGTATATAATATACTTTCAGCCCTGTCCTATCTGGCTGTATTGGGAATCTTTCTAGAACTTCCAAGAGTCCAAGAGATGCAGGTAGATGTTTGAATGGACGGATGAATGAATTGCATGTATTCACTCATTCCCTCACTCACTCTATATGTATTTGTAACCTTGGATTTTCTTTGGGATAAATGCTAAATAACTTACCACCAACGGAGTTTTGTTTCAATTTGTATATCTTTCTCGCCAATTTACCTATAAGTCGTTAAATATCGATTTATTCATTCATTGGGGTGAATACCCTCATTTCTTTCAATATCCGAATCACCTGGACTTATCATATCATATCGATTGAATCGCCTTCTTTTTTACATCCATATTTTACACAAGTTTATATCATTTATACCCTCTCAACCTTTTCTCTCACCACATATACCACATATACCACATATACCCAATCATCAGGTGTCTCTCATCTCATGGCTATCATAAACACCAAAGAAATCATGATGAAAGATCCTCTTTCCCCTCATTCCTCACATTTCGATTTTGGTACTCCTCCTCCTTCACCACCGCCTTCAACAACTGCCTCGAAATCTCCATGTCTTCCTTTATTCACATCAAAATCAAAGATAAATTCAAATTCAAATTCAACGATAACGCCTATATCCGATAAATATTCGACGTCGAAACCATGGTATCATACCACCATTGGAAAACGTCTAGGTCCGGAAGCACGTGAGTTGTTGGAGAATTATAGTCACATACCTCCCGAGGAAGTAGATGCGCATGTTTATAAAATGGTATGTAAGATTTCTAGGATTATATTCCTATCGTTTTATCACATTCCTTTCTTATTTTTTTCCCTCTTATATCTTTCAATCCATTCTGTTTTGAGTGAGAGAATGAGACATTTCTCCAAAGAAAGGGAAAAAATAATCATGAAGAAATAAGGATTAGAATTTTGAACAAATACCTACCTACCTAACCTTACCATCCTACCTACTTTACCCGTAGAGACAAAACAAATGTCTGAATCACTGACACCCGATCTCTATACATAGCGCGATCTCCTTTGGAATCAAACCCCCTACCCTTCCATCGGCAATTTTTCCTTCCTAACCCTGCGTCTATTGACCCACCCACTCTATCCCCGCATCGTTGAGATTCTCTCCACACCACCTACGCCTTCTAATCCACCGGCTCTTTTTCTTGATCTCGGTTGTTGTGTTGCTCAGGAGTATGTTCATCTATCATTATTTCGTTTTCAACCATCATCTCTCACCTCATCTCTTCTTCTCTAATCATTACTTTTCACCCCCAAATTATATTCATATCGATACTGAAATATACCTCCACCACAACAGCTAAGCTAACATAATCTAGACTGCGTTCCCTTGCCCATCATGCCCGTATTCCTCCCTCCCAACTCTACGGCACAGATTACAATGCCTCCTTCCTAAAATCCTCCTACAAAATCTTTCTCGATGCCTCTCCACCCCAATCTCAATCTCCATCTCAATCCTTCACTCTCCTCCCAGCTAACATCCTCGATCCCAATTTCTTCACTCTCACTTTCAGAAACCACATCCATTCCTTCTCCATCATCCACGCTTCTCTCTTCATGCACCTCTTCACCTGGGATCAACAACTCCTCGTTTGCGCTAATATAGTCAAACTCCTCAAAAACGCCGAAGGTGCCCTGTTCGTCGGGTGTATGGTGGGGAAACAGGGAGGCGGAACGGGGGAACAGGGGAGATGGCTCCATGATGCGGATTCGTGGGTTAGATTATGGGGGGAAGTTTGGGAGCAAGTAGGCATGACGGGGAGTTGGAAGGTCCAAGGTGAGTTGAGAGAGTTACCAGGGGATCTAGGGAAGGAGGGAGAGGGCGAGGAGGAGTGGGAGGAACGTATGGTGGGGAAGGAGGGCGCGGGGGTGGGTCTTTTTGAATTCTCGGTTGAGAGGACGGGGATGGGAAGTGGAGAGTCGAGGTTGAGGAGTACGTGATGGATATAGGTATATATATATATATTATGTTTGTATGGAAATTTTTATACGGGTAGGGTGTGCAGGAATAGGATAATCCAATTTTCGTATTGATTTCTATATACAGGTGTATAGGGATATTGGATGTGGATATGGATGGATACATGAAATACTAGGTCCATGGGTAGTATAGATGGGATACTTAATTTCTTTACGAATACATACTAAAAGGAACTATTTAAATATATACATGCACATATATATATATATATATGCATGCTCAATCTCACCTAATCTAACCTCACTCAATCCAATCTGAATCGAATCGGATCTCAATACATCTAAATAAATAGATAGATAGATCGCCTTAAGTACATAGTGGGTATCAAAATGGACGTTGGGATGATATCGGAGCTGAGGTTAGGGAAGGGAAGGGAAGGGAAGGGAAGGGAAGGGAAGGGAAGAGAAGGGAAGGAGAAGGGGAAATGAAAACTGGGAAGAGAGTGGAGGAGAGGAGAGGAGGAGAGGAGAGCAGGAGAGCAGAGAGCGGAATGTGAAGTGAAGAGTACAAAGTAGATAGTGGAGAGTAGATAGTGGAGATACATAAAGATACAGAGTAAAGGTGCAGGTCAAGAATGAGAACGAGAGAGTAAAGAGAAAGAGACCAAGGCGTGGAAAAATTGAGCTCTTGAATTTGAACATAGTATAAAATCTTCTGCCCCGTCTTCGTCTTCGTCTTCATTTTTGTGTACTTCTTTGTACCTGGATAAATAAATAAATAAATAAATGGATAAATTATCAAGAAAAACAAAAACAAAAAGAAAATTAAAAATTGAATGTGTATGTATTTGGGAGGTGGGATTTGAGAGGGTTTTTTGATCTCTTTTTTTTTGTATGTGCAATACATGGGTAGATAGGTAGGTAAGTAAGTAAGTAAGTAAGTAAGTAAGTAAGTAAGTAAGTAATATAATAATTGATACCACGATTTAATATATATATATACATTACAACCTACCTAGTACACTCCCCATCCCATCCCATTCTCTCCTCCCCGCCAAGAGAATAGAATAGAATAGAATAAGATGGCCCCCAAATAGATTTCGTCGAAAGATTATACTAAACATTTGGCTTGGCTAGCTGGCTGCTTACTACTTGCTTGCTTGCGTGTTTGCTTGCTTACTTATGTCCGATTTTGCTATGTGGTTTTTGGCTCTGATTGTTGAGGTACCTGGGGAGTGGGAGTGGGAGTGCGGAGGTAGGGATGTATGTATACGGAGAGTAGAGTAGAGTAGAGCCGCATGAGATGGGATTGGGCTATATGCGTATGTGATTATATGATTATATGAATTTAATACGATATCATGAGAGTGTGTATGTATGTATGAGTGATCTGTGGAGAGCTGATTATATCGTATAGATCGGAATCGAATACAGTGGGTAGGAGGTCAAGTTCACCTTATGTCAGCCGTGTAAGTTTCATCTGACATTATGGTTTCCGCCAAGCTTTAGAAATAAAATATCGCGAGCGGATTCTGGGGATCGGGATGAATAAAACAAACAAATAGATGAGGAAGTGAGGATGTGAGGGCATGGTATGTGAGATGTGAGATGTGATGTGATTGTGTGCATATACTGTACTGTACTGTGTGTGTTGTTTGCTTTGCTTTGCGTATTACATAAGATATAAGATAGGGTGGGGAGGATGAGATGAGATGAGATGAGATTTTTGGTCTGGGAAAAAATAATGAGGATGGTGATTTTGGATGGAATGATGAGGTTGGTTTTGATTGATGATTGTTGAGTGTTGATTGGTAGGTGCTGAGTTGAAGATATCCATCATGATCCTTAACGGTGTATGGTTTGCGAATAGATATCCTGCAGAAGTGACTAGAGAGAGGTGAGGGGAGTTACGCGGATGAGAGTTTGTGTAATATGATCTCATGGTCAATCTTATTCTCACCGACACTTCGGTTTAGTTCACTCCCCATGACAAACTCTAATATTTCATCTTCCAAATCGCCAATTGGTCGGGGAACATCAAAAACTCAATCAAGTCACAACATCAAACTTCCGGAATGTTAAAATCCTCATGCATACATTTCATGATACAATCGCACCGAAAATCATGCAACAAAAAATCGAAGCGAATAAATGTATGCATGCATACTGCTTACATTTCCCCTCCCAACAGAAAATGCATTGCGGCAAGGAAGAAAATATTTCTTGCCTCGACGGTGAGACGATAACTTGGTCATATCACTGCAGGCTTACGGCTTGGATATGTGGATATCGATTTTGCCAAATTCCAATACCTAGTATGTAAGGAAAGTGGAGCGAGCTCCATCTCTGACGAGAGAAACTTCTTTCAGAAGAATGATAAGAGTGTTGCGTGTGAGAATACGAGGTCGGGTTCGGCCCTTTGATGTATGTTTTCTTTAGAGCGATACATATAAAGAAACTATAACCATTGTTTCAAACTTTTGATTCGTGAGTATAGATCATTTTGATATATCATCTATTCTCACTTGTGTCGAATTCAAAAATTCATACACGATGCCCGCTCGTTCAAGTATATATATTGAATTATATACTCCGGCGGCGGAGAAGCAGGAGGCTACCAGAATGTCTCTACATACTGGAGGACATCGACATGGGGATGATACAGGATCGGTTTATGGATCAACTATGAGCTCGAGTAGTGGTTCTTGTGTTAAAGATGGAATGGAGAATCCGATAGAGAGAGTTGGAGCGGGACATTCTTCAACTCTGGATCAGGCAAAATCGGTAGAGATCAAGGTTAGCGGGAGTGCGTAAAGCTCGAGTTGAGTATTTGTTCGTCGATCTAGGGTAAAATGGCGTCTGGGATTTGGAACCGCTGATGGAATGACTGGAGCTTGGGAAAACGAAGCTCAATTAGAAGCTCAGGGAAATGGATATGGAATGGAGAGAATGGAGAGAATGGAAATCGACAAGTGGTATGCATGAGAGATCTTAAGGATGGCAAGTTATGAACATGCCTGAAGAATGGGTATGAAACTCCACGTAAGTCACCAGACAAATTCCCAGACCGAACCATGCTCATCTCTGTGAAGGGCAATATCATAAACACGAACATGGAACTTTCCACGATCTTGCCAGCTTTGAGATTGCTGGATAGTTAGGGATCTTTTGCGATGCGACCGCGCATGGGTTGGAGATGTGCATTCCATTGTCTGGTAACATAGAGCAAAAGATTAACTCAAACATATTGAAATGCAATCCAAATCAATCCATTTGATGACGGTAAAACGTATGAAGCTTCTCCCAATTGTCGATTGTCAACTGCAAACTTCGTACTTATGGAACAATATCCATCTTATTTCCTTGATCTGTAAAACTCCGAACCATGATGTACAAATTGATGTTCGCGTCAAATGCAATACAGCGGACGCGTAAAATTCCCAAAAGAGAACTCCCAAAAGCGAATTGTCATGTGACATGTCCTGATTCAAAGTCTGAACCCCTCAACATCATCCTACCTCCAAAACACCTTCTATTTCTACATTGGGAACAGAATCTTTTTCACTCAATCAAGAGAGTACAAGAGTATGTACAAATGCTCAAATCTCTCTGATGAGGAGTGTTGCCTATCTGAATCATGTGACGAGCTGAAGAATGGAAAATTTCTATCTCCGAAATTGTTCCGTTGCTCAAATTTTTGCACGGGAGTGGTGGTGTTTTTGCCTCAAGAGTTCGAATTCGACGACACTTTTAAGCAAGATTCGATGATTTTGCGGTCCGAGATATATATTTATCTCATTGATATAATTGATAGGATGAACAGTCATACGCATGATTGCAATTCTTTTATCATACTGGTTTTTATGTATGAAATGGTTCTATAACTCACTATCCTATTCCTCATATCTAGAATTATTGATCTAGATGTATCTGAATGCAGGTCTAACAAAGCATATCCTTCCAACTTTCCACCGCAGTTGCGTGATATCCTCCCCGAGAAATCGATAACTCACTTCGCTGTGTCTCATACGCAAGCTGAGCTATCTTCAGAAGATAGAACGCATACATAAGTGGAGAGCCAACGCCTTTTTGTTTCCAACGCACCATTTTGAACATTCCAACGCAATCCTGATATGTTCAATCGACCCGGATTCTCCAACTGAGATTTGCAAACATCTATTCTTCTCCACTCCTATCCTCAGAGGGAGTATCAATCTGCTCCTCATTCATCTTACCAACTTTACCGGCCTCGCCAAATTCTTTCACTCCACCCTTCTCAAGCACCACACACCAATCTACTCCCCTGACCGCTTCAACCCGATGCGCAATAGTAATCACCGTACTTTGCTTCAACTCTTCTCTAATAAGCTCCTGAATCTTTCCAGCCGTTTCCTTGTCAATACTAGCTGTCGCTTCATCCATGATAATGATCGAACTTCTCCTCAACAACGCTCTCGCAAGCCCTACTAACTGTCTTTGACCCTGGCTTAAATTTTTCCCTTTAGAATCAATATTTGTATCGAGTGTCCAATTATGTCGTACAGCGATTTTGGAAAGAACGGCTGAACATTCAAAATCGGTGAATTCATCCATCGGATCAAGATTCGTACGCATAGTGCCTGGAAATAAAACAGGTTCTTGGGCGAGAAAGGTAATGCGCTTACGTAAAGCTTGAGTTTTGACTTGAGAGATGTCAATACCGTCGATGAGAATGCGACCTGTATTTGGTAGTGTTGTTGCGAGGAGAGAGAGAGCTAGTGTGGATTTTCCACTGCCAGTGCGACCGATTAGCGCAGTAGTTGAGCCGCCTTTGATGGTCAAGGAGATGTTCTTTAGTGAAGGTTCAAGATGAGGGGCGTATTTGATGCTGACATCCTCGAAAATTATGTCGCCACCTAGACGGGGCCAGTAGGCCGGTGGATCTATGTCGCCAGGAGATTCTTGATCGAGATGTAGAAGTTCTACTACACGTTCTACTGAAACGAACTCCATTTGTAGTTGGCCGTAAGATTGGCATAATCCCTTTGTTGATGCTACGAATCGACCTGCGGCTGAAAGAACAAAGGCTGTAAGACCAGGTGATAAATCTTGGTATACGGCTATGACTGTCATAAGAAATGTTGATACGGCAGAAAGTATATTGAATCGGAACGCGAGCCATGCTTGTAATGACCAATAGAAGTGATCCATCTTTTGGAAAATATCTGTCACTTCAATAACCCGATCCTGGAAACGACGTTCTGCGCAAAATGCACGTATAGTACCGAGCCCCTCAGTGAGAAGACCAAAGTTTGATATTAACGGAGTCAGTGAGACCATTTCTAGACGGCGCAAACTTTGAGATGTAGGTAAAAATCGCATGTATATCAATACAATTGTGATGACGAGAATTATTGCAAACGCTAAGAAGGTTGGCGTAAGAGATCCAATAACCAGAATAGATGTAAACCACATGATCATCAAGAATGCAAATGATGTAAAGTGAGAACTTAGATTTCCATCAATGACGCTGATATCTGATGTCATTCGATTCATCAAACGCCCTACTGGTGTCACATCGTAGAAACGGAATGTAGCATGGACTACTCTGGTCATGACCCTTTCGAAGATGCTTTTACCAGCGGTATAGACCATCAGTTGTGCAGAAGCCTGAAAAAATACCCAGGTAACAGACTGAGCCAAAGCAAGGAGAAAGAATCCAAGTAGCCATGGTTGAATGTTGGCCTCTGGGGAAGGAAGTCGACTTAAAGGATCTCTGGATGGTTTTCGTGGTCCTTCGTATGCTTCTCCCCAAGATTTGAGAAACCACGTTTCGGCAATATCAATTAGACGAAAAGCAGTCATTACCACTAGGATTAAAGCCCAATATCTCAGCTTTCCTGCTTTGATATATTCCCAATAGACCGAAGGTCTAATACCACCTTGCTCTCGATGTTCATCTTCCATGAATTTTTCGGGCATTGCTGCATCTATTTGATCTTCATCTTCCTTTTGCTCTTCCACTATAGAATTCGATGAATTTACTGTATGCAGTAATTCAGATGGAATGGAATTGGGATCGAACACCTCTGCTGTCCCTTCTGTCAATCTGATAATTTGTTGTGCGATTCCCTGACATAACTCCGTGCGATGAGTCACCAGTATAATAGTTCTTCCCTCTGCCAACGAACCCGTCAGACATTTCTTTACAACTGACTCCGCTGTATGGTGGTCAAGTGCAGAAAGAGGGTCATCAAGGAACAAGATTTTTGCATTGGAATATATCGCCCGTGCCAATGCGACACGGGCCCTTTGTCCACCAGATAGTCCAATTCCGTTTTCTCCAATCAAGGATAAATCGCCATTCTTAAAGTTGACCATATCCGGCACCAAAGCACAAGCATCTAATACTTGTTTGTATCGGACTTCTTGATATGGAGCAGAGAACAAGATGTTATCTCTTATACTCATGCTCTGTAGCCACGGTGTTTGTGCACAATAACCTACCACCTCATTGACAGGGCTGTATACACCACTAAGATGATCGAGCTCACCAAGCAGAGCCTGTAATAAAGCCGTCTTCCCGGAAGCCACTTCTCCATATATAAGCGATAATCCACTTGTAAATGAAAGAGTCATGTTCCTCAATACAGGAGCCGTAGCTCCAGGCCAAGCGAATGAGGCATCATTCATTTCAAGTCGACCATTCGTCTGTTGATTTGCCTCTACCTCTGGTTTATCAGGTTCTTTCATGAAGTCTTCTATACGTCCCATTGCAATTCGAGCGTTGAGCAGAGTGGTTACAAGATCTGGAACAGTCTGCAATCCCATCTGAAGCATCTGAAAAAGTTGAAGAGCAGGAAAGGCTACATCAACACGTAATGGCTGACCTGCCCAGACGCAATAGGCCCAGAAAGCCACCACAGGAAACATTCCACTGGAAAACATGTAAATAAATGACAAGAGAATACCCCAAGCCCTTGTTATGACACGCAGCCATAGTTCGTCTTGTCTTGCTTCCATAATGCGGCCTAACCAAATATCTTGCCATCCATACCAACGCAAGTGCCTATCAAAAATTTAGTTCATATAAGCAGAATTTAGGTGAAATTAGTAGTTTTGACCGAAACTAATCAAGTCACATACCTTATTGATTCAACTAGCTGTGTTATTTTATGAAGTTTGGTATCAGAGGCAGTTCTTCGTTGTCTTTCATAATACAAAAGAGCTTTCAAAACTAAAACATTAAGAGCTTGACCTATGAACACGGCTATCACCCCAATAAAACAGGGCCATCCGAGAAGCTTCCAGACAGCAATAATGGAAAGAACCAAACCAAGTGGTTGAGTAATGAAATTAGCAAAGTCCCAAAATCTGTATTATATATTAGCATGGAAAGATGGTGATTTTGAGATTTTTTCCTCACCGTTGCGCAACTTCATAAGCATCTCCCCTATAGGAATTGTTAGTGAGCATTTAAGATATCAGGAGAGAAATCTAACCTCATCAAATTCAGGATCTTTCCCATCGTGGCTGGTTCTTTTGGCTTCTTGGGTTCCTTGGATCGCAAACCAAAACATGATGTAAAGGGGTGTACAATAATTTTCAAGCCCTTCTTCCACCATGGAAGTATGGTATCTCTTGCTGAATTATGAAGGGAAATATCATTGGTTCCAGCGGTTCCATTGTCTCCATTGGTTTGACCGTTGGCCAGCTTGTCTTCCATGGGCTTTGTGCTGACGCTGATCGTTTTTCTTGACAACGATTTCTCGAAGAGCATTGTAATGAGTACTCCTCGAGACCTCTCATAAGAACGTCTACCATACCAGGTTGAAAAAACGTCGCATTGAGCAGACATTAGGCGGATGACAAGGGCAATCAGAGAGTAAGTCAATGTGGCTTGCTTTGGAGCTAGTTGATTTTCCATACTTGCAAGTATTTTTTGCAGTAGCAAAGGTGCAGCAATATCTTGAAGAACGTCAGCTATCAGGTTCTTATTTTCATGGCACCAAGAATGTATAAAATGCTTACCGGCAACCGATTTGTAAATCCCCAAACAACCAAGTATAACAAGATCAATCCCTGTGACATCTATAAGTCTTTTCAACACTGAGCCATTTGTATCTCTAAATTTCTCATGTAGTACTCTATGTTGGAATTCGTAACCGAGGCTCCAGACGTTGTCTTCGTTCAACTGTTGAGCTTTCCCTATCGACATGAGAGGCGACATCCAAGAAACACTCATAAATTGCCATAGAGTCAGATTGTCCTCTGGACTTCGAAGCGAGTCGCTTGGTGAACTAAATGCTGGACTGATTCGATCATTACCGAGGAATGGATCACGCATGGGCATTTGCAGAATGATAATGATCGCTGCAATTGAAGCCAACCAAGAAAGAACCACGGATCCGTCCTGCATATTCATATTCGAGTATCTATCAAGCAAAACGAAGTACTGTGAAACAAAAATGCTGATGTACAGAAAAAGCAAAGATTTTGGTGTTTTCGCAGGCTGAGTGATAGCAATGAGGAGACAAGCAACTGTCCATGCTATTGTGGGAAATATCATCACCATCATATGAAGGTTTTGATTTTGGTACAAGTTATGATAGAATATTGATGATAACTGTAATAATGTACCGAAAATTGAGACAGCCAATAAATATTTTGTCATGGGCGTGAACACGTGCCGTTGACGCCTGCTTTCAAGCTCTCCAGATTTCTCCTCTGGCTCCTTTATGAATGGATGAAGCCATGATGGTAATAAACGCGGGATTGGTATTAATTGTGTGAGAAATCCAAAGATGATTAAGGCACTGATGGCTGCTGGAATACCGGCTATAAATGGTATGAAGCAAGCTTCGAATCTTGCATTTACAGGGTCCTTGAATTTGCGTCAGTAATATTCATTTAAATTGGAGGGGAGACAAGGTGAAGAAGACTGAAGGGAAAACATACCCAAATTCGACTACATGAGGAGCTCTCGTTGTTAAAGTCGATTTCAGAGCTGTGGCTGCGGCCTCCTTGACCGTAAAGTGCAGCCATCTGGTCAGGCAGCAATACGAATTGACCCGCCATCTCCAAACACTGCTCTAATTAAGAGCTTTGCCCCTTCTCACAAGGAAAGGAAAAGAAGAAAAGGTAAAAGCTTTACGGTGATATCATTTGAGAGATGAAGATATACTTTTGATTAAAGCTGGGTAAAATATGAGAAATGATGTTGGTGTGTTTTGTCGACGGTCTGTAGGAATCATTATGTGTTGCTGTGCATGGAAGAAAGCGGCCATCAGATATGTGGAGAATAGAGGGCTGGCTGGGCTTACAAACGTCTAACGGTTCCTGACTAGACTTATTTATGCAAGTTTCCGCCAAAATTGACCAATCACTTCGGAAGGCAGAGAGCGATGATTACTTTAATGAGTTTAGCTCTAATTGATGGAAACAAAACAATGTCATGATTCGCTAAAGTCCTATCGAAATCGCCAAAAGTGGAGATTTTATAAATCGGTGAAGAGTGGCAAATAGAGAGTGGTAAACAAACTTTTTAGACGACATGCGGTCTACAGATGTAAAGTGCCTAACTGTATATTCACCGACCACACAGAGTGATCAAGATACTCTCGAGGTCAAATATTGAATAGAACATTCGGAACAAAAACATCCTTGGTGGTTCTAACGAAATGCTTACCATTAGATAGGTATATCTACATTGCTACGCGCCGTGAATCAAAGAGGTGTCGGCAATGCTCGGGAAGCTGTAGGCTTTTCTGTCGTCACCCGTCCTAAAGTCGTCTTACTACCACACATTCTGTGCCTCTTGCTTGATTTACTGTGAAGTACTTATCTTGTGACACAGAGCAAGCTTGTTTGCCAATATACGAATCATTACTCCAGCTCACACTGGACAAAAAGATTACAGCCCATCAAGGTTGCTAATCTATCAGAATGGCTCGTCAAGGTGCATCTCGAAAGAGTTGATACCCACTTTTGGTGTATCGTGATTTTGTGGAGTGGCAAAGTTCGCGATGCAATTTCACTTCCTTGCCTTGTCGAAATCTACTTCGTATATTCACTGCGTCTGTGGTTTTCTGGATAGCATTGACTTGAGAGCTACTCACGTGCTACTCAAGAGTTTCAAAGTTCTGTGTAAGCTTACTTATCTCATCCTCAGACCACACGGTGATTACATAATTTTTGGCCTTGATTTCGAGACAGGACATTTCGAAGCTTTATCTCGAGGAGATAAACGTTCCCCCGATCCCTGATTGGCCGAAAAAAATTCGATCATTAGTAAGCCGCAACACGACCATGAACAGGATCAAGATATTATTTAGAATTCTAATTAAAAACGTTTTATCGACGAAGAGATTCTGAATATTGAGATAAAAGCTTACGGTCGTTTCCGAAGCATTTTACAATTTTCTTTGGGTCCTGTTGACCCATAAATTTCTCCACAAAAACCCTTGAATATTTTCCCAATCAGGTAAGGATTAATTTCTGCTTCAAGGCCTAGACGCGCAAGCCCAAAGTATCTTCCAACGGCAAAGGAAAATTCAACGTTTTGATGCTGTAGTGTCTATGTTGACATTTTCGACTTCAGAGGTTTTCAGAACTTCCGAATCATGATTCGTACAATCGTTTAATTTGTTTGATACGGCGCTCTCAGGCTATTAGTGTTACGTTGTTCGCAGAGCCAGTGCTAGCTGATACATTGCTTTCCTATCACCACCACTTTCCGCCGCAAACACGCATTGTTTTGATTAAAACACGTAAGTTGTTGAAAGAAGGCTTGATTTAGTGATTCAGGCCAAGTTTCTCAGGGATTCATAGCTTGTACCACTTATTAGAATGTGTATTCGTATCTAGGTGAAAGGTGCACCAGAACGACGGAGGGCAGAATGCTATCAAGTATGTCCTTACCTAGAACGATAATCAGACTTCGAATACCACGTCAAGCCCGATATAAAGACTTCAATATCAAGTCTCTAATTTTACTTTGCATACTTGGTATCTTGTGGACATGTAAATTGACTTCATTTCTCCACCATGTGGGTTCTGCATCGACTCTGAAACCTATCACGGAATATGAGATCAAGGAGATTTCTCTTGTCGCTCGCCATTTTATCAAAGTACCTGTCTCTGAAGATGACTTTGGTGAGATGGGGAGAAGAATCCAAATTATCACAAAATGGTTAATGCAAATCGGTGTGGAGGGTAATCCAATCACTACCAATGCATTTTTGGAGTACGACGCACTAGTAGAGAAGACCATCACCTCTATTTTCCCTTTCATACAGAGAGGAACTGAATCGCCAAGCCAGAATCCCACCCCCTTCGCCAACCTCAGAAAATCATTTGTGCCCGGCTCCCGCGGGATCGTTATACCTACAGGCATAAAAGCATTCCGGTATACATGCCATCTTACCCTCAATCTCCGTTCCATTCTCAAATCAACATTACCTATACAAATAATCTATGCCGGTAATTCGGATCTTCCACCTCAATATCGCTCCGCCCTTCAATCTCTCTTTTCCATTTACAATATCGAGGCAATCGATTTCTTGGATTTAACAAAGATTTTGGATGATACAACACTGCAATTATCAGATGGATCGAGTAAATGGGCTGTCAAACCGTTTGCACTCTTAGCATCAACCTTCGAACAGGTGATTTTAGCCGACTCTGATGCTATTTTTCTACAGCCCCCGGAAATCATTCTGGATACGCATGCTGCGTATGCGGAAACGGGGACTTTATTCTTCCATGATAGACTGATTGGCAAAAAACTATATAGATATCGTCATGAATTCTGGCGTTGGCAAATGAAAGATCACACCCCTAGTCGCACATTTCGCAAATCTCAAGTGATGAATGAGAACTTTGGACAAGAACAGGATTCTGGAGTGGTGGTTTTGGACAAGAGCAGATTGGGAGTTCTTATGGGATTATTGCATGCGTGTTGGCAGAATACATATGTAGTGAGAGAAATAATCACGTATCGCAATACGCATGGGGATAAGGAAACTTACTGGTTGGGCATGGAGTTGAGTGGGGTGGAATATAGTTTTGCTGAGAAGTATGGGGGGATTATTGGGGGGCATGTATGGAATGTGACGGATGGGATAAGGAGGGAGGATGTTTGTGGGAGTGTTATTGCGCATGTGGATGAGAAGGGGGAGTTGCTGTGGTTTAATGGTGGGTTGGTGAGGAAGAAGAGTGATAGTGAGGGGATGAGAACTTTTATGGATGTGAAGGAGGATATGAGGTGGGCGTTGGATGGTATTGGAGGTGGAATCGATGGGGGAATGAATGTGATGCGGCGTGTATGGAGGGTGGAGCGATTAGGAATATGAGTGTAGAAGTGAAGGAGACTATCGCAGGAAGTGTAGAGGTAGCCAAGGGAGTGGATAACAGATTTGCGGAGTTGATGGGGTTGCTGGAACCGAAAGTGATACACATAGAGGGACAACATGAGTCTTCCGTTGGAGAAGTCGAAGTGGGATTGGAGGAAGCAGATCACCGGAGTCTTTAAGAAACTAAAGTCTTTGTAATACTGAAGTTGTCATGATACGAGCAGCGATTCATTAAATATACGAATTCTTCTAACCTCATATATCGCAGTACTTTGGTTAATTTCATCTGTTTGACTTTGAATATCGAGATACACGATGTATGGTGGTATTGAGATTATACACAACGACTTTGTGTGAGGCAATCTCATGGATACTTTTGATCGAAGATAAAGATTAGGTATAGATTGACCCGGCTGAGCCAGGCTAGGAAAGTAGGATTGGTAGATGGAGCTTTGATATATTGAAAAACAACGCCCATGAAAGAAGGATATTGAGGAGGTTTGGAATGGGAAGGGCATGTAGGAGGATGTATGTGTGTATAATAAGTATGACATGTATGGGAAAGCAAGATAATGGAAAGAATTCCTATGTTCTCTTCAGATTTCTCGTGTATGAATTTGAACTCCGCAAAGAAAGAGTAATTACTGGTGGATTATGTACAGCTTTTCAAGTAGGCCTGTGTCGGATATTCCCAAATTGAGGAAACTAACAGGTGCTGGAATGTTGAAAGAGAACTCTAAGACTACCTCGACTGCGTATTCGATCCAGTTCATTCACGCTAGTACAGTTGTGATTTTTCGAATTAATCGTAGATGATATGCGTCTAGCAGAAGAGGTATTTCTCGCCACCACTCATCATTTTCCAGCTGGTGAGATATGTCCCGGAAAGCAGGGTATGTGAACATGCAAGACACTGAAGAAGTTCGTATCAATAGTAAGCAATTCCTTACTACATTTCATGACCATGCAGGTAGGTACTCGCAGCCACTCAATACCCATACCTTTCGCTACTACACCTAGATTAAGCATCTCAACAACACTGGTGCAGATAAGAAGAATATAGCTAGCAAGCCTCAAGCGTCAATGAAGCAATGCAATTCAGCCTTTCCATTTACCCTTGCGATGTTCCTCTGGAAATTTCGTACCAAACAAATCACTCCATGTGTTCTCTATCCCACCATATATATGAAGATCTAATCGCAAACTCTTCCGATTTTGATTGTAGAGTTGCAATTGAGTCATGTTATTGCAGGAAATCAAGAATGTTGATTAGGCCACCCTGCTACTCAGTGATGTTGGGAGGGTAGTATTGCAGAAAGATGGCGAATGAGAATTTGCTATGTATATTGCGGCTGAGCAGGCTCGAGGTAGAGTGAGACTAATTGCACACCCGGGTGTCATGTAGCTCTCAGATTGCTTCCTGCTAAAAGCTAGAGCCACCAGGGAAAATGATAAAGGGTGCCGTCACGTGAGAGCTCGGGCTTCGAGCGAGCGAGTGTGGCTATCCATACGTGGGAGAAAAAAGAGGCCGCGATTGACCATTTAAATCTTAATTGAGTTATGAATCAACCACAATCATCAATAAATCTAAGAGATCATAATTATTGTTATCTTTTAATGATTAATGATATTTGTTTTTATCGAAGGATATATTTTATTTCAAATTCAAAGGAAAATATCGAATTATTGCAAGTGCTAAGATGTGGTGAGTGCGGCTAGGGAAACTTTTGATGATTTACCATGTCGTGCAATGGCTGGATATTGTAAAGTACAGCTCAGCAGCATGAAACGATTGTATTCGACACCCATCAAATGTGGCAACCTGCAAATAATCCTGCGTGGGATGGGTTCTTCTAACACTTTGATTATATTTCCGTAACGGAACAGTCCGGGAATATTGATCTGTGGTCAATGGAGAACTTGCCATCGTGATGGATAAATACAAACCTGGCAGGCTGTGTTGCCGCACTTACACGAACCGCACACCATCTAATGGCTCGGTGCGCGGGGATCGGTAGGTCAGCCTCATTGTGATCCTAGTGATTGTACTGGTGGGAGCAGGGCTCATGAATGGAAACTGTTGAGATACCTAACACTCATGCTATCCATCAGTCTCGAGGCTTCTTCGTTCCTTGATTCTCATTTACTTTTTCCAATAGCAAACGTTTCTCTTGCGCTTTTTGACTTTACACATTCTCTGTCGTGGAGTAATCTTTTTTCCATCGCGAATTAGTTGATCGAACGCAGTCTTACCAACTCCAGTCAAGAGCTATTGGATCAATGCAGCGCAAGATCTTTTTGCTGCTGTTTCTAGCCTCGCGGGCCGGTGCAGATGGTACAGATGTCACGAACAATATTTTCTCGGACCTAGGGCCCTAAGTATTGGAAGGAAGTTCGAGCATAAAGTTTCATCGCTGATACAATCTCAGGCTTCTGGCTTTGTTTGGCGAAACTTTTGCCCAACAATTCCTGAGAGAATCTTTCACATGGCTTGACCACGTAATCTTCGCCATGGCTCCATTGGGCATCATTACTGCTATTATAGGCGCCATTCGAGTTGGCGGTCCACCGCATCTGAAAGCTTTGATCGGTCGTGCACGAGAGAATCGAGCCTCTGCAGAGCTTGATTTCATGTCCTCGACTTCACATGAGGTATCTGAGCTATGGAATGGACGCAGCATAGTCCGGACTATGGGGAAAGGCAAGGTTAAGCAAATACTCTTTCTGGAGGGATGTGGTCCTCCGAAGAAATTTGGTCTCTTGACTTTGTCTGATCCCGAAATAGAAATATATATGACAAGAAAAGGTACGTCTGGGTCCTGTGTCTTCGTTTACATTGGAAATGACACGTTCGATGCTTTCAAAAGCATATAGTGATCCACTCATTGATGAACTAAAGGAACTGCGGCCAAAAAAGACACAAAAGCCTTGGAAAAGAACAAGTGTATCAAAAAGCCCTGACAACAACTCACACAACAACATGTCTGGAGGAACCAATTCCGAAGAGGGCCGTTTTGAAATCGATGGCTTTGATCGAGCTCCGAACATTTCTTTAAATATACATCCCAAGCAAAACAGAGGAGAATTGTTTGTCGCTGCCGTCTTAGGTATAATTCTTCAGGCGGGAGTCATCGTTTTTTCTGCCGTTGTTGCCTACGACAATCGATTCGGAGCCGCGGTAGGCGGACGCCCAAGCGCTTATGCGTTCCCGACTTTGGCCAGTGGAACAGCTGTACTGGTTATCGGAATGGGTATCTGCGCTTCAGTCATTGGAGAGAGCACCGATGAGTGTGTTTGGGAATTGAAGGCAGATCTCAATGCTACAACGCAACAAGCTGAAGGGAATCATCAATCAATCTAGTGAAGATGTCGAAACAGGAGGTGCAAATCATTCTCATAATTACCATAAGCATTTATGGAGAAGAACTTTTGGAGTATTCACCCAAATGCTAATGAAAGGTGGCGAAAGAAAGACTAAATTCTCGTTTGAAGCACTTAAGCCCAATGCAAAGAAGGGTGATTCACAGTCACGAAAATTCCTTGTTTTCTGGCTTGGCTTCAAAAGCGCTTTGTTGTCAGCGACCAGACCTTCGATTCATATATGCTTATGGCAAGAATGGAAAAGGAACTAATCATGACCTCTTGTCGCAGCGACAGACATTCTTTGGGTGCTGAATCTCCACATCCTATCATCGAAGATAGTTCCAACAAAACAGAGGCTTCTCAAACGCCCAGCCTCCGAATTCAGCTTTCAAATACTGTATCTAATAGAAGCGCTAGATCTTCCCACTCTCGTCTGATGACGTGCAAGGCTCAGAAACCTCCTATCCCGTCAAAACAGATCCCGCCATATGAGTCAACTTCCAAGTGGATCAACACGCTCTGTATCATAGGGACATCTACAGGAATCATTGGATTTATATTGCAGTTTGAAGGCTTTCGCGGCACCAGCTGGGTTAGTTCAATTGCACAGCTTGTTGCCATTCTAATAATGACTGTTGTTCGAGCCATTATCCGTCGGGGTATGCTGGATAGACCTATTGACCAGAAGATTCCGGACAAATATGAAATTGACTGGCTTGCACTCAGGATTGGCAATAATGACAATTACTTGAGCGATTTTAGCAGATCCAAAATTCATCCCTCAGATATTCCTCCCTACGATCCTTCATGGACGGTTTGCAGTCAAATGAATCCAACCGTTCAAGTGACTTTCGGATTGACGCCCATCACCAATGAGTCGATAGTTCAGGAAATTGTTAAAATACGGAAACGTATATACGGGTTGACTGCTGGGCTAGAAGCACGCCTAAGTGAATTGCCAACACCTCGAGTTACCAACATATGCGCTGGTCACTGAGAAATCCCTGTCCGGTTGGAACCAGATACTTCTGACTCAACAATACCTGAGTTCCACGAACATATCAAAGGGCCCAGAGCAGCGCCTGAAGCTCTCATAAGAGAATGTCTCCAAATGCTCACCACTTGGGAGAAGCCCACTGCGTCTTGGGACCCTGCTAAGAATGGTTCGACGATGCAGAAATACGTGAGCATTAGGAAACGTCTACAGGAGCTCATTGACTGGTGGGAAACAATAAAGATGGCTTCGAGGCTCAGAAGGTTCTCAACGCACGGACCCGTCTTCGAGAGCTCACTGACTAGTCTGATCCGGCGATAAAAGCCAGCGCTGCCTCTGCGGCTTCAGCAATCGAAACAATCATGAATATTTTCAAAGTCTGGCCGGATTCTTCTTTTCATTGGCTCATAGATGTTAAGATTGGGACAGGTAAAGACACCACCACGCAAAAAGTTAAACTTCACGCGACAAGAAAGACTATTACACAAAACTCATGGAGTGTCTCCGCCAAAGGCACTGAGTCGATTCTTTCTTTGTGGATATATCATTTTACTTATAACCATCAGAGGGGTAACCGGGCTCGAAATAGCACCGAAAATATTTCTCGTGATATACACTCCTTTCAACGAGTCATCGGCCCCTCGAGATCTACACTCAAAAGAGATATGACGTGGTGGGCCGGTATTGAGAGTGCTGAAGCACTTGGTGAGTTCTCATGGGATGATGAACACGATTCAGAAAGTCTTAGCATGGGTTTTTGTCTACCAGGTAAATTATAGTCTCTCTATTTTCTCACCCATAGCCCACTAGAGATTGAGCACTAGTCATATATATCAAGAGAGCTCTAATGGTTATTCTGGGATAGCACGAATACTCGGCAATTTTCTAACGTTTCAAATAGCAGATTTCGACCACAACGAGACTAGTAAGGGAGCACTTTCCCAAAAATCCTCATACTATGCGATGATCACCAACGTTTCGAAGGAGAAATTTCTCGCTCAACATATTTTTTCCACCTTTTTGTGGGCGGTTGTAAATTCCTTGCCACTATCTGAGATGGAAAATATACACCCAACAGAAGTTGTGTTACCAAGGGACGATAAGCTCAGACTAAACGAGGAACACCCGAACTGGAATTCTTTACGATTAACCAACAAAACGATCAAGCAAATGACCAAAGCCGTCGAGAGTTCTGGCCTGGGAACGTTGGAAGACGCCAATTTACTGATAATACCCCCACTTAGCTATGCTGACAAACTCCCTAACGAAGGCATAGTGGACATAGTACGAAAAAAGGTCAAAGATAATGAACTGGGCCACCGAGATTTTGCTTGCAAACTTTATGGGGGATTACTGAAACTTTGCGACGATCTACCAGCAGAGGGGACATTTGCATATAAAGTAGTCAGCACAACGGTTGACTTCCTTGTGACTGCCACATCTGCCTCAGAAACTAAAAAATACATGGAATCATACGATGGAGATTTGGAGAAGAGTAAAAGAATGTTAGTGAATATCTTGAGGTCTAATCATAAAACATGTGTAGATATGCTGCAGTCACTTTACGCAAAGCAAGGTCGGCTCAAGAACTTTGGCAAGACAGGCTTGCTAGACGATAGACCCAAATACAAAATCAAAACATGGGCAAGAAACGAGCAAACAATTGTACAGAAAGAAGTTATCGATGATATTACTTTATATCTGGATGAAGGACACACGAGGCAATTCCTCGGTGCTACTGATATACTCGGTTGGACACCTCTACACTACGCAGTGATCTATTCTTTGGAAGCAGTGCAGAAATTAGTGAAGAAGAAGAAAGAGCTAGTTAATGATGTGACCTTGCGGGCCGTACTCCCCTGCATTACGCCATTATGAAACAAAAGAACAACTTGAGACAAGATAATGCAGAAAAAATTATCAAAAAACTCTTGGACGCCGGAGCAGAACCTTTGAAAGGGCGAGATGACCTGGTTCCACTTCATTGCGCCGTGAAAACGGGAAATATCGAAGCTACTATATTACTTCTGCAATGGGAGCTCCATGAAAAGACACTAAATTTCAAAGATTATTCGGGCATGACTCCTTTACACTTTGCAGCTCTCGGTGGAAATCCAGAAATTATGGAAATCCTTCTCAAAAAAGTCGTCAGCGCCCAGGATCTCAATGCGCAGAATCGGCTTGGGCGGACTGCACTACATGTCGCAGTGAAGGGCATAAACACCGATGGCTCTTCTAAGAGAGCCAAGACCATCGAAAAACTTACCAACAACGAGGCAAGTGTTGCGATCAAAGACAAAGATAACAAAAAGGCTTTAGATATGGCTGTTGAGATGGAGTATGAGATAAATTACTGCCGTTTGCGGGGAAGAATAGTCTCCGAAGAGCCCAGTCACTTTGCAGATAATTTAGAAAGTGAACACCAGGACAACCCGGACAATTCAAACGACGATAAAAATCAGGAGATCAAGATTGGTGTCAAAAGAAAATATAAGAACCCGAATTTTCTGGCGAAGGCTGGAATACCCTCGAAAGAAGAACAGCTAACTTTGGCCATCAAATCACTATTGAAGAAAGAAAATTTGACTGCTGACGGCGAAGATCTTTTGCTCTGGGCCGTTGAAAACAACTTCAAGACTCCTTTCGAATTTCTCATTGACTCGAAGGAAATCGCGATAGACATCAGCCAACTTACTACAAATAATGGACGATCAATTCTCCATTTAGCAGTGGATGCTGAGTCCGACACGATGGTAGATAGGATACTGGAGCGGTGGAGGCATAGCAATAGTTCTTCTCGGTCGAAGCCATCACCACATATTAATCTAGCCGATCACCAAGGTGTTACCGCACTCATGATAGCAGCATCTAAAGGATATGAGCCTGGAGTCAAGAAGCTTCTTGCAGCTGACGTTGACATACATCTCAAAGACATGAATGGACGCACGGCTCTTTCTTGGGGAGCAGAGATTGGTCAGCTGGGAATCCTAACTCAGCTCATAGAAAGTGGGCTTACCCTAAGCAATTCCTGCATGACCAAATATTCACCCATGTTTGTTGCCGTTGAAAATGGTAGACACGAGGCAATAAGACTTTTTCTTGCCAACGGTGCGGACTCCAATGAGGTTGACAATGACGGGAATAGTGTTCTCTGCCATGCAGTGATATGTGGACGCACAGAATGTGTCAAGGTTTTAATTGAGCATGGTGCCGAACTTGAGAAGATGAGTGGCATGTACAAGCAGACGGCGCTCTCTTTCGCTGCAAAAAAGGGTAACCTCGAGAAAGTCAAACTTCTTTTGACTTCAGGTGCTAGAGTGGACGCCCAAGATACGGATGGCTGGACTCCACTGATCTGGGCATTGAAATGCGAGCACCCAAAAGTCGTGAAGCTTCTACTCGGCGAAGAAGTTGAGAGCGTCTCGAGTAAAAATCGATACATGGAGCAGCTCGATTCTGCAATGACTTTGGCGTGCAACACTGGTGATGAGGATCTTGTGGAGCAATTGTTACATCTAGGTGTAAGTTCTAATGTACAAGACGCTGACAGTGGATCGACAGTTTTGATCGAAGCATGTAGAGGAGGCTTTTTAGGGACTGTAAAGATACTATTAAGGGATCAAGGGGATGTAAATGCGAAGAATAATTCTAAGGAGACGCCTCTTTTGCTGGCGGCTCGCCATGGATTTAATGAAATCACGGGATACCTTTTGGACGCAGAAGCAAGCATCGAAATAACAAATGAAGTAAATGAAACGCCACTTCTGTTAGCAGTTCGTTACAACAACGAAATCATCACCGGGTTGCTTTTAGATAGGAGGGCGAATACAAATATCGCATCCAACACAGGTGAGACACCACTGTTATGGGCTACTCGCAATGGAAATGAAGATATCACAACGTTACTTTTGCAGAAGGGAGCGCATGTCAATACCGCAAACAACTCAAATGAAACACCCTTATCACTGGCGGTTCTCAAAAGGAATATGGATAGCATCAAATTACTTCTGAGTAAAGGAGCCGATATAAAACAGGAATGGGGCAATTATCGACGAACGTGCTTGTTACACGCGATTTATGCAGAAGACGAGGAACTTGTACTGTTGTTATTACAGTCAGGTGCAGAACCTGAAAGAGAACGGAAGCACACTCGAAACGCACTATAAGAAGCTATTCGGTGGAGAGCCGAGAACATTGCAGACCACCTTTTATCTCACGGTGCTAGTGCGGAGTCGAAAGACTTGCAAGGAAGAACTGCATTTCAGTTTGCAGCACAAATCGGCGCTTTGTCAATGTTTAAAAAGCTAATCAAGGAAAATTCTGAAGGATTGCATCTGATCGGAGGAACTTTCCATGACTTGCAGGATCGGGACCTCACACACCACGCTTCTGTCAGCGGACCGACGGATCTGATATCGTACCTAATAGATCGCTTCTCTTCCAACGAACACAACTACCACCGGAGAGACATCAATGGTTGGACTCCCCTTCACTGGGCTGCGCAGGCTGGCGACTGGAAAGTTGTACAAATGCTTCTTGAAGTAGACGCTCGCTCAGATGCCAAAGTACTCGAATCGACTAAAAAATGGACTCCACGGCAAATCGCAAGCTATAATGAGCACACAAATATTGTGGAGTTACTCGAGTCATCATCTATTCCCGATGAAATTCTGCCCCCAGCAGGTATGTCACACGGATCACTCGTCTGCGATGGGTGCAACTGTAGGGTGAGTAAACGAAAGAAGTGTATTTATCTAGATATTTACTAACTCACACAACAAAGATACGTGGCATCCGTTTCCATTGTCAAGATTGCGAAGACTTTGATTTTTGTGAAAAATGCAAGGCCACAAGTGATACGACACACCCAAACCACGAATTTGATAAGATCGGCGCACAACGAGAAACCGAACCGGAACAAGAGGTTAGCCCACAGCAGGAGAATGGTTTGATGCAAGATGACTCTTCCAGTGAAAACCAGTCTTTATATGAGGATTCTGTCAAAGATGATGTTGCGTTTTAAATGGTTCCTTGATTGCTTTCTTTGACGGCTTTGAATTCGATTTCGAAGCTACCGTTGCTGCTTATTCAGATCAAAAAACTACTCGTGAGGCCAGAAGGTATGACACACTCTACACACAGACAAGACCCATAAGGTGGTAAAATACAAGATGATTGATGACCCATACTTCGGTGGAGTGTTGCATATTTTCTGGTCGCACGAGTAAGGAGTCGGTCGTCGCAACAGTAAGAGCTAATTTTTGGATATAAGTTAAGGTGTGATATTATCTATGTGTTAATCCAAATTTACATAAAGACGATAGCGATGTGTTCGGTTTTATATAAAAATCTAGTCATTTTGCACTCAAAATTCGTCGAATTTGATCATGAGGTTCAAGGCACGACTAATAGAAACCAAATTTGAGCGTCATCATTATATCATTAGAATTATCTATTCATTATGCTTCATGCAATCATTTTACCGATCACCTAGCCACCATTCCCTCTATAATACCAGCCAATCCAATTGAGTTTAATCTAGTTGGCCCCAGCAAGTTTCAACAACTCTGGGAAGTTAGGAGTACCGAATCCAGTAGCGGGATCCCATCCTTCAGTGACAGGGAATCCAGTAGTATCGCATCCAACTGCGCTTCCGCTTAGGATATCAGTGAATCCCTTGTGTCCCTTGCTGTACAGCCATGGGTTCAAGAAACCAAGGACTGGTTTACCCTTCGATAGAAGCGCATCGTTGATGAGAGCAATGATACCGGACATGAGAGGTGTAGAGGCAGAGGTACCGGAGATGGAGCCGTAAGTTTGATTCCAGACGTATGCAAAGTAGAAACCCTGGGCAGAGATATCAGGGTATGCGCGACCAGCTGGAAACTGTTAGTGATATTCTATACGCAAGGTGAGAAGAGAAGGTACTTACTTTTGTTGTAGAGACCATCGAAAGTACCATTGAGTTTCTTGACGTAAGCAGAAACAACTTTTTCTTGGTATGAAGGTCTAGCAAAGTAGTTACTGAACCCAGCACCAGTAGACCAACCACCGTGATAAACACCGTTGATGGGATCAACACCGGTAGCACGATAAGCAGCGACTTCTGGCTCGAAGAATTTGGTAGCTCCAACAGAGGTAATGTATGGACAACTTGTTGGGAAATCTGGAAGGAACATTGTGGTGTTCTTTCCATCATTGGAAAAACAAGTGCCATTGTCACCAACTCCATAATCACCGGAAGAGAAAAGAACGGATACACCTCTAGCACCCAATTGAGCGAGTTGTTCGCAGACACGCTTGGCATAGAACTCGGGAACAGTTTGTTCTTCGTCACCGTAGGATGTACTAATAACTTGAGGAATTTCGGAGGTAGGTTGTGCGAGAATGTAGTTCAACCAATCAGCATATGGCTCGTTGGTGTTTTTAGATGAACCAATTGAAGCATTGAAGGGTGGTTGTCCACCGGTTGAATAGGCGGTAATTGGGGTTGGGTAACTGATTCCAGTAATAGCTGTGAGATCGAGATTGGCTTCTTTGCCTAGTCCATCTGCCAATTGCTCAGCAGTGAGAGTGGTGTTTTGAACTGGCCCACCGTTGATAGAGACGTATTTGAATTGATATGCAGAGGCTACTGCATCTGGACGATACTTGAGTAAGAACAAGGCATCATCTGCTCTGATTGGAACTTCCCCAAGGAAATTGTTGAATCCAATCTTGTTCTTTCCAGCTGCCTTTGGCTTGTATTTTCCGGTTCCATAGAGAGCTTGGAAGCATTCAGGAGATACTGCAGCAACGTCACATAGTGCCGAAAGTGTGGTGTTTGATGGAGGAGTATATCCAGATGGAGTGTGTCCTGCACTAAGTTGACCTTCAACAACGTTGGTGTGTCTTGAGTTAACCTTTGCCTCTCTTGGATTGTAGCTAGATCTTGGTGCGGCACGCATGAACGATGTTGTTGGTTGAATGGCATCAATATGCTGATGAAGATGCATAGGAAGTGACCAATTTGGAGTACGAATAAGCTGACCACCAGCTTCATGCTCATAAACATGGTATTCAGTATCGAGCAAGCGCTCAGCATCCTTGACTGGTATGGAGAGATGAATCCAATCCTTTGCGCTACTGTATCTTAAGCTTGAAGCGTCAATTCCGTTCTCAAGAAGCCACTCGTGAGTGGAATCAAGAGTTTGAGATGATGGTCGAACCAATTCATCGACTTCCTCAGAAGTCAAATGATTGCCGTACTTTTGGTGGGATGGATCGGAAACTAATGAGGAATATGTTAGTTCTGTCGATTCGAATGCAAGAAGTTGGAACTTTAACTAACCCTGATACAATTGTCTCTCAAGTTCTTCGAATTGACTCTGCTTCAATGCGATATTCAAATTAATGATACCTTCAGCAGGAGCACGAGCAACTCTCTTCCATTGTCTAGGAACATAATGTCTTTCCTTGACCGCATAGTTTGTTCTCGAGCGAATGACTGAACCTGCGAGAGCTGATTGAGCAGCCAAAGCTGTAGAAATGAGAATCGAGAATCCAACCATGATCACAGCTTCAAAGAACAGTATGAATTGATGATGAATAGGATGGGAGAGATGGAGATCAACAAAATATGAGAGCTTGGGGAATATGTAGTAAAAGTAGACCTTGTAAACTTTCCATTTTCTGGTACCTCAAACCCCGCACGTTAAACCTAGTTGCAGCTGTCATGTAACTTTACATTTAGTGAATCCCAATTAGGAAGGTGTATATATGTTATACGACTTCACGATAAGACGTAAATTGATTCATTTAGTAATGAATGTCTTGGAAATGTTGAAAATCAAGTAAATTACGGAAGAAGGTACTAAAACTGGAGAAGATTAATACCTCTTTCATAATTTCCATACTCGTGGTGAAATATCGTCCCTGGCAATATAAATTAGTTGTTGAATGTTGTGATGGGCTGGGAAAATGATGGTTGCTTATCCGAGCTGACGGACCTTTACCGAAAAGGAAGGTGGGGTCAGGGATATTTGCTGTCATTAATGAATAATCCATGATAATCCATGATACAAGCTGTTATACGATAACATTATATATCCTCAGTTGATAAAAGTAGATAACATGATTGGTCAATGGTCGGAAATCCCCGAATCTTGGTACTGCTGGTACCTTAAGCTACTTTCGTACCTGGCAAATTTAGTCAGGACAATGCAACCTCTAGATTTCCAAAGAAGGTGGCGTTACCATGTGGCGAGGAAGTTTATGTGCGGGTCAAATTCGGAAAGAGATCCGGTGGATAAAGGGAGTAAGATATGATAATGTGATGGTGTGATGATATCGTGTACATTTGTACAACCGAGCTCGAGACGAGGTACTTCCTGTCGGTGAACCACGTAGAGCATTCCCTATATGGGGATGCTATTCCTATCATTCAGCTGTTCTCGAATGGACCCTCGATGTTTTCAAGTTGTTGTAAGATGTGATAACAATGGCCCACTTGATGACTCTATCGATGAAGAGAGAGACCCTTCGAGTAGGTAGTTCTATCTCTTCGTAGATATTGATAGGATTAAATCCATATCTGGAGTACAGTCAACAGATTCACCTACCTCCCCAACCTCCGTAATATGAACATGCAAAGGGTGAGAATACTACCAAATTGCACCATTCAGACCATCTCTGCCATTAAGCGTTATCATGAAGGAGCGGGTCCCAACTGATTGATCTTCGAAGGTTATCCAAGGGTACTCCAGGCACTGCCAGTCGAGTCCTGATAATATGTTTGATATGTTTTCCTCCATTGTACAAGTTCTGAGATGAAGATGAACCATTAATTAATGCACCAGATTGAAACTGTTAGTGTAGAGAGAAGAAGAGTTATTACCATCGGTTTTCTATTCGATTTGTTTACATAATCCAGCAAATCACCGCTTTATTCTGCCAGCATCTATCACGTGAACATAACAAACCATTTTGTTTTGTTGCATATCTGAAAAAAAAAAATCAGTTTCTTCGACCACTCCGCCGTCACCTCCAGATTTAGACAAGAAATTAAGAAAATTTACATCGACTGGGAATAAGAACAATCCCGAAAAGTTATTTCCGGAGATGTTCAAAGTCCAAAAAATATCGACTCACCGCCCGGAAACTGAAAGCGGCAGAATGGCGATGAGTTCTCTCTCTCACATGTAAACGTGCGTGTCTCTGGCTTTGTGCACAACTATTTTATAGCATAAAAATTGTCTCTCCTATTCATGTCTATTTGAGCTCGATGATTAACATTGTTCGACGTACTCTACAATGAAATACAGGCTATCCATAACACGGATACTGTGTCTCTTTCTCAGAACCCACACAGCGCCATAGGTCATTACCCTCAAGCGCCCTGCAGGTACAAATTTGGAAGAAGTGCCTGCACCTAATCATCCACACAAGTTCCCAGCCGATATGTCAAAGCATATGGAGGAGCTCGGAAACTGGAGGATGAGCCCGACATTCTAAGTTATGGGGATCAGATATACTTCGCGGGGTCAGGTACCCGTGTGCCTCGGCCAGGTACCGTGCAGGGACAACAAACAGGTGATTGCGCGATGGAAAATATTCTGCTCTCTCGATCTCCTCCAAACTATACAAAATGTATGGAGTGAGGATCATTGTTCCTCTAATGTTGCTCGAACCCTCCTGCAGAACGATTGATCACTATCGCATTCTCGACACGTGCCTCGCGTGCCAGCCACATGTGCCGAATGGCTTAGGCGGTTCGGTTAATCCCACGTTAATGGCTTGTGAATAGTTTCGGTGTCTATCAAATAGCGCTGCACATCACAACGCTATTTAATGCAGTGCATGGTAGATCGTTTGGTACCTTGTTGTCAGCTTTTTCAAAAGTTTGTCAATCATCCGCAGGCTCTATTTACAGTCTTTGATAATATTATTATGTCTTCAGTCGAGCAGCTGCCTAGAACTCGACGGTTCGCATGGGGTTATCTAAAGTCGAGAGTAATTCTATGATTTAATTCAAGATTTTCTCGCTCTCACAGGCTGTTGTTTTGTAGTACTCAATCTTCTTCATTCTATAGCTGAATCGATCCACCATTAACGAGCACCAAGGCTTGGTTGCAGGTTACTGTGTCTGGAAATATGTTAATACTAGATCGGGAACAATTGACGATTGATGAAGGATCCCTCCCTAGTGGGCGATCTATCAATAAGCACTTCCCATAAAAGTTTATCATCGCCGTGCCTTCTTTACCCACCCAGACTTTGTACTTCTTGCAATCTTTTTCCTTTGGGGTTTCGAGTCATCCATGTCAAAGCTTGATATACTTTCACGATTAATCATACATCGCTCCTTATAACTTAAAATGGTATCTATCAAAGCCCTCCTCTTATGGCCCTCGACCGTATTAGCCCTCACAACTGTCACCCAAGTAAAAAACGACATCACAACCCTCGACAACAATGTCCGAGCTCTCACTTCCCAAACTGCCCTATACAGCGGTGGCCTTCTCCCCGCCGCTCCCCTTCTGGGCTCTCTCACAGCCGTCTACCTTTCTCTTCTACAAGGTGTCACAGACTCTGCTCTCTTACCCCCTTCAATATCTGAATCAGACGCACAATCACTCATTGAACATGTGAATGTTACTCTCGCAATCGACAATCCGATTGCCATAGACACCCTAAAGGGAAAAAAGCAACTGTTCAAGGAGCAAGGATTGGATGGTGCTATTGTGGCTGGTCTAGGCTTGTTGTTGGCGGGACATGAGGCCTTTACGAATAATGTGCTACAAAGACTTCCAGAGGATCAGAGTGCAGATGGGCAGGAGGTTACGCAGATTATCACTGTAGCGTTGACTGATGGGATTCATTATTTCGAGAGTCCATGAAGAGGAGGAATCTGGAGAGCAGTTGGAAGCTGAATAGGTTGTACGAGGGGAGGGATGTGAGAATAATAATCTTCTATTCACGACACCAAGCTATATGTGAAAGTAACCATCACTTACTATTCCGGATACCGCAAAGGATTATGCATGACAATAATATAAGGGACAAAGGAAATCAGGATCCAGCTTGTATAAGCCGTAGAAGATTGGAATCTTCTGAATACTCATTCATTCACTTCAATTCTTCTTTTTCCCTTGTTCCAATTTATTAGCTAGTGTTGATTTGAGAATGTAGCTTCTACGATGCTAGGTCCTAAATGAAAATATTGTATTCTATCCAAAGAGCTAGCTATTTTACACAGATAGTACGCCTTAAATAAAGATCACTGAAAGAGGCCAGCCTCTTTCGCATTCGCTTAGGCCTAGTACAGTGGCCATTGAATTGAAGTCATTCACCACCGTTCACACACATAGCAAGAAAGACCTAAGTAGAACAACATGGAATCTCCTACCCCGCCATTCTTCCCTTCTATTCAAATGCCTTTATCAGTGCCGTTCCTTCCCTGTAACATAAGTAGATATTTCACAACTACAACTACAACTACAACCACAATTACAACCACAATACCAATATCAATCAAAATCAACGTACTTTCCGATCCAAGGTCCTGACACACCAAGAAATAATACATCAAACAATTACACATCTTAAATCAAAAGCCTGCGCCAGAATGAGCACCTCTACCAAAATTCAACCCTCTTCCTCTCCTCAACTTATCGAAAATGCCGATCAACCAAGCTATTCAGCAAGCCCCGAGCCCCGCAAATCAACATACAGAATCCTCAGAGATGCCGGATTTCGCAGCATGAACGATTTCATGTTCTCACATGGATTGAAATTACATAACGATGAAGATCTAAAAATGGGAAAAGAAATGATCGAGAGGATGAAGGAGGAGGATTTGAGGGGGGAGGATCTGAGAAGATTGGAGTTTAGGGCGGCTAAAGATGAGGAAGATGTCAGGGATGAACGAGATACGGAGAGCTCGGGAGAAGAAGATGATATCGTTGAATTGATCGGGGGTTTGGAGGTGGTTAGTGATGAGGAAGAAGAACGTGGTGTAATGGAATCAATCGGATTCGCGGACGTGGTTAGTAGTAACGAAGTGAATGATGGGATCCAGGTTTCTGGGGTTGAGATTGTGGAGGAACTGGATAGGGTTTCATCTCGGGAAGAATCGGATGAAAGCGTTGATGTTGATGTTGATGTTGATGTTGATGTTGATGTTGATGTTGATGGAGGTATGGTCGATGATGATAATGTAGGCGAGGATTTTGGCTATGAATATTTCAGTGGTGGAGATGATGGTTATGAGGATTTTGAGGATGATTTTGATGAAGATTTTTTCTACGATGCTTAATTTCACACCCAAGATGGCGAGGACTATTAAATGGACGTTTTCAATGTACGGTAGAATAGTAGAGAAATAAGACTTTATTTTCTTGATCACGGTTTCGACCTTGGTTCTCATGTCTGTACGGAATTTCTCGATCGTAGTTGAAAGCTTGAGGTATCATGTTCTTAGGATCATATCTCTCCCCCATTTACAGCTCAACCCCCATTAAAGCGACTAGATATGGAGAGAATTTCAAATTCGCGCGGCGTATTTATGTATAAGAACTTGAGAAGATGAATCATGCTTTGATATGCTATATACCGAACATTGAAACCTGGGGAATCACACTAACCTGATAGCGCAAGAGTCTCCGGAAGAACTTAAGAGGGCTAGCAAAGTCGAAGTACAACTGTGCACTTTCTCGCAAATCACACAACAGTTCTAGGAAAAATAAAGTTTGGTAGATCGACATTTCAATTCAGCGGGTGACATTCGCTTGATGATTAATTTCCCAACGCTAGCCATACATGAACTAACCAAGACCATACCACGTGCATACCATGTGCTCAACTAATGACCCCACTTCTGAGTAATCAGTGATCGATCTCATCGGACGAAGCAACGATCTCATAATTCATTAACTCGTCGCTATTACCGTTCCTCCTTGCAATGGAGCCGCTCGAAAGCGTAAATACACTCATTGCAATTTTTGTGTCTTCCATACAGGCACGGGGTATTGTATCTGCATAGCATCGCTGTGGCCTGCTTTGAACTCTCTAGTATCCGGTATTATATTATGTTTTTGTCAACCTCCCTTGACAAGATATCATTCCGTGCGGCGGTAATAGAATCTCCTAGCCGGTCTGCTGTACCGCTCCATCTCTGATTGTTATTCCAGTGAATATTCATCCCCGCTAGTAATTAGAGAAATAAGATTCATCGGAGCTGTAATTCATCTCATCACTTGTTTTTTGGGGTATTGGTGCCTGATGAGTGATGAAATTTCTCTTCTCGCCCAACACTTTTGATTTCACAGTGTTGGCCTTTTTCTTCATGCTAGCGAATGGGGTGAATACCTCATTTTCCTTCTCTCTCCCACCATTAATCTCGTTCTCTCTCTGCATTAAAATCTCCTCTTTCGCATTCTGAACCAAGCAGTCTTCTATTATCCCCTCATTGAACTCCCAGGCCCTTAACATGCGATTCTTCTCATCATCTCTCAAATCATGCGAATCCAAGAATTGCTCTATATTGACAAATCCAGTCTCTTTGAGGACTCGACATATCGATCGTGTCTCTTCAAGATCTTGGGGAAGGTTTTGTGGATGGTAGGGAGTTGGGTTGGAGGGACGAAAGAAAGGAGATAAGATTGATGGAAGGTTTTCCGGATGGTAAGGAGTAGGATTGGCGGGCCGGAGAGAGTCGAGAGGACAGTGGGCTGGAGCAAGAGAAGCGAAGCTGATACACATTATTGAATAAAGTGTTTGAGTATTTCGTGTTGGATGAGGCTTTATAAGAAAACTCAATGCAAGATGAGTTTGCTGATAAACTTCGGAGCCTATGAAATAGTATCGGACTGTGGTAGTTTCATGAAAAGTTTGTCGCTTGATAGTGTGGCAGTTGTGAGTTTTAATACTTTGTATAGGGTGAATGTAGTTGTTTGAGTAGCTTTTGCCGATACTCATGTGCTTGAAAAACTGTTTGTAGAAAGAAAGGGGGCCAGGCCGTAGAAAGAGATATATATAAGGAGGACAAAGTTCTATACGGCAACATCATTGATGTACGTATATAAAGTCGTGTGATGAGAACTCGTTACCGCATGAATGCGATCAAAGCGACCAAAGAACAGATCCTATGTAATCCGAGTAACGAATAAGCGACAGAGCCTGAGGGAATTTCATAGCCACCCCTATTCCTGCTCTACACTACAGATGCTCGATTGCAAGTTCGTACTTATCAGCCCTCTTTTGTTCTATGTCCCCTCTTACTTAGAGTTTTCCCCCCCTTTTACAGTTTTCATCCGTGCTGTAGTTCTTCATTGGACGCATCTCTCTTCACTAAAATAAAAAGTACTGTAAAAAATGACTTGGAGTATGGGCGCGAATGCAATAGCCTTATTCACAGTTCTTCGACATTTTAAAGCAACTTTTTATGAATAAATTTTACTGTAATGGCAATGTATAAAAGCGAATCAATGTAGGTTGTTCAACGTCAAGCAAAATAATGATCTCATCAATTATTAATGATTCTAAATAAAGTTTGAATTAAGGTTGAGGTGAGAGCAATCCACAAGTGGGAATAGTCTCACTTTTTTAGAACCTTAACCTTATCGCTTCTTTCATTTTCCTGCATCTTTATCACTGTTTTTCAATGTTGTGAAACAGTGGTCATGATAGATTATAGATGTACCTCGATCGATAACAAAGTGTATTCGTTTTTGTGCAATTACCCATACGTTCCCGCGCCCAATCATTTCTCAGCCCAGATAAGATTTTCTTTTCTTTTTCAAAAGTCTTAGATGGCGACATGCAACATCTCAAATGACGATTTCTGACCATTTCAGGTGTTGGATGATTACCTTGTGAAGTTTGATGGGATATCAATTCGATAATCAACAATATCGATAGCATGTCACTCCATTCTAACTTTAACACCCAATATCACTCAATTGTCAGGGAACGGCGATATAAAAGCTGCAGAATTGTTTAATTGCTTCAATTGATCTCGACTACAATTATGGCCACTGTATTGATGATAGGATATTGGTGGAATTTTCCACTGACATTGAAAGTGGTATTAACTGTAGGGTTGAGCGGCAATACCATGGGCATCCTGATGAAATTATCACGTTATTTGACTTGATGAATTGAAATCCCCGCTTGTGAACAATCCCAGGAACACTTTTGTCAGCCTTGTTGTCGAGATTTGAGCTCTATGATATCAGTTATCTCATGAGTTGAAGTCTACTCAAGAAGTATCTTGTGGCTGGAGTCTTTATACTACATCTCTGAGGATAAACACGAACTATTTTTTGTGCAACACCAGGACCTTGAGGAAAGCACTGGAAAGAAATGGGGCCCAAAATTTTGAGAATGAACCCTTTTGTGTACATTTGCCATCGGAATCAACATGCTAGAGAGATACTAAATCTTGAGCAAGAGAGTTCAATTGATTGAAATCTGAGGGAGAGCATCTGAAGGAAATCCGCAAAAGAATACGTTCCTTCGGATAGATCGTACCTTTCCCTTTCATGTCCCAACTTCCAATATTGATAGTTCCGTTCAACAATTTTGAAGCTTTTTATCAAAAAGCATCATCTAAATAGATTACACGGTCATGATCCTAATATCGAATAATGTCTATAAAGCTCTCATGCAAAAGGTAACAAAGTGATAGCACGACGACCTCATTGTTAGACAGCGGCTGAGCAGAATACATGCTATCACAGCCACGGCCCGATTTCGATCACTTCACTCGAATATCATAGATGAAAACAAAAGTTCTAGTTAGGGAGAAAGTCTCCGAGGCTCCTCAATGACTCTGGAATATCAAAGAAACAATGGCACCACGATCTTATGTCAAAGACTGCTTCGAGTACGATTCTGAAAGTTGCACCTGAGAGATTTCGAGCAGAACAAGGCGTGAAGTTCCTCTTACTTGAAAAGCTCAAATTCAAAGTTTATATACTTACAATCGGCTGGTCAAGCATGGCCAATGGTCGGAAATCAAAACCAGTCCTCAGAATTAGTTGGCCCACTTGAAAACAACACACAATCATCTTCTGGTTCTCCCACGAAGGGAAGAGCACATTTGAAAACTCTCTGAGATGCTGTTGGGTTAAAACATGTAAGGGTCATCACAGTAAATTCACAAGCAAAATCTTCGAAACTAGTTCAGAATTCAAACAAGGTAAAGGGAAAGAGACGGTTGAGAAATCATGACAAACAGAAACATTATTATTTGCTAAACAGTAAATCATTAAGAATAAGCTAGGCAATCTACTGATTCATTATAAGCGGCAGTACTAACTTCGATTCACTCCTACAGAAAACATTAGTTTAGGCGGTGCTACTGTGAATGAGAAAAGGGACTGCGCCGCACTAAGCTGCTTGTCGGGATTTCTCGCTGTAATTCGTATTCATAAGATCACTAGCCTGAATGCTTTCTTTCTGGAAATACGATCCACCTTCAACACAAAACTCCACAAATAGATAATCCTTAGTTGTTTGCAGGATCTCTCAAGACTTCTACTGAACGATACCAGTTCTGCGATTATGCTTTCTTCAGTTAAGACACTCGACTGACTGATTCCGCTTGGCTCAAGAAGAACGGCTGGGAGTCGATGAATCATTTCATGCTTTCTTACCAACTGAGAATGGAAGATGACAAGGATTACGAACAGGGCAAGATGATTCTGGCCGCAATCAGAGCGGCCAACGAGGAGGATGAAGCAATTTCTAACGCTGAAAGAACCACTGGTTCTTCAAACACTTCCGAACAGACGCAGACCAATAGTGCCGCGACTTATGATACTGGAAACCGTGCGAACGCACCCGGTAATCAAGATGTAAGGCAACTTTCTGCAAGCGGTAGCACTAGTCCAAGTGAGGACATCCTCGACAAGAAACCAGCTCAATTTATGGGAACTTTGATAGTAAGTTGCACTGATAGTAATTGAGAAATAATGGTAACTAAATAATGGTGTAGTCATATCCGTCTTATGGTAGTGGAGGATCAGCAAAAGACTAGAATCATATCTTTTTGACTTGTGAAAGGTGCGTGGAGATAGCTGTTTGGGAAGTCATGCTTTAGGAGATACTTAATCATTGTACTGGTACAAAGTCGACCAGAAGACTGGTGTTGACACCGAAGGGATACAATTTCTAGACTTTGATCATCACCCAATTAAGAAAATTTAGCTAAATTATCAAGTCCTTTGTGGCAGGTCATCTGTGGTCGCAAACAGTTGAATCAAAATAACAACTTGATCTAATCACCACACTAAGCTATTCACAAGAGCCCAAGATATTGATCTGGGTCTGCTTCCTTCCTTCCCAGCCTTCCGATAATCTGATCAGGGCATCAATAATACCTTTTGAATTTGAGTCCAACAATTGCACTGTGCAGAGATCAGTGATGAATGTGTTAAAATATTTCTTAATGTTAACACTCAGAAAGTTTGACGTGAAAGATGCCTGCAGATAATTTGATGGGATGCAGAAGAAAAAAGAGATTTGAGATAGTGAATGGAGTGAGAGGCTATCGAGCAAATGAAGAGGCGCGCATCTGGCTGATCATTTGCTTGTAGGGGCTTTCAGAGAAGTTCATTGTTCCTCCTGTGGTATTTTATGTTGTTTGCAAATATGTTGGATTCACCTCCATAAATTGTAATTTGGAAGCCACAATCCCGAGTAGTTGTGTCATCGAGTGAATCTTGGTCGGCCATGTCGTGATGGAAGCCATGCGAGGAAAGACTTCGTACAACAGTAATGAATTCCTTGTCTGACGCCAAATTGGTGCTAGAGTGCCGAAAGACAAACCTTTTCACAAGTGAAAAAGTTGGTCATATCTTCGTACCTAATCAGCCTCAGCATCAAGTCATATGAATACGGTTAGCAGATATGACAATTACGTTTGATTTACTTAAATACTAACATTATCGATAGGTTCCAAAGATCTTACAGAAGCTTCCTCATAATCCATTTCGATAAACGAAAGGCTTCATCCAACAAGCGACCCAATATCGAACTTCACCAAGATACACATATTCAGCAACTCAATACTGAATTGACCAAAAATCTAGATGGCGGTCTTTGGCAACCATTTGCCTTTCCCACGCCGGCAATATACTATTAACGGCCGGCCGGTCAAATTTAAAGAGTGGTTAGACAGGTGGCAGCAAGCCTACTCTTTCGAAGGATTCAATATACTCGTCGACGAACAACGAAAAAGATTCCTCGATCTCGGCCTAATCAGGTTCAAATTGATTACGACTTCCAAAAGATTTGCTTTATTCTTCCAATTTCACATGGGAATGGTCAAGTTGATCTTATTTCCCGTCATGATGTGGATAATATTACGCATGGCCTTGTTTATTGTTTGCAGCTGTGGTATATCCGAGGAGGCTTGTCTTAAAGTTGGCATCCTAGTTGGGGGTAGAATGTGGCTTCACTTAAGTATTCATTGGTGTTTGAATTTTGTGTGGTCGGAGGCATTCAGTAGAAGGGCCAAGTTGCTTCTTGCTTTGACAACCACATTTATGGGTGCGGGTTTTGCATACTTAGCAATAGAGCTTGAGACTCCGATGCTATGATCAATAAGAAAAATATAGGGGTGGTTTGGGAAGTGAAGATATTGGGTTATGGACAAGGTGAGATGAAGAGGAAATGAAGATGGAAAGGACTTCTCTTTGGCAGATCATACCTATTGATAATCACATAGTACTAAGGAAATCAATCTTCATGTCTACATACCAAACTATTTTCAAGAATCGGATCGGAAGTTCAAATCTTAAATTGCCATGTCATGTTAGAATATTTCAATGCATGATTTGACCGATGTTATAATCTTTCACCGCCTTCGACATAAGACTACTGCGAATTGTAATTAGCAAGTCTAGCACAACTTGCTGCCCTGCGATATAAGACTCAGAATTGGAAATAAAAATCGATACGGCATTGCGTGTTATATGATACGGCGACGAGAATTGATACCGCAGACCGTTTCTCAGCTCGTGCTTGTATGTGAGCTCTACGTACGGTCGAGATGTAACTCAATCAGCTGTACCAGATCAAGTGTGCTAATTTCTACTTGAGAGCTCCTAGCATATATATGTACCATAACAGCCCAGCAAGAATAAATATCTATTCTATCTATTCCATAGACTCAAGCAATTGAAAGATTCTCATCAATCAAACCTCTTTACAAAAAAATTCCCAAGAAGAGCAAAAAGCAACTACCAAGATGCCTAACTTGCAACAGCAACAGCGAAATAGACGAGCTCGACTTCACGCAATTCAAGAGGAACAAAACTGGCTCCACACGATGCAGCGAACATATCTCGGCCTAGCTATGACTCGATACGCACGAGAACTCATTCTCGAGCGTCGCAATCGCAACTATCATCGTGAAGTCCACGACAGTCAAACTCCCCGCTTAAACATCACCCTGGCTTCTCGCTCTCTGATTCTAACGATAGCCGAGCCACATCTCCAAAAAGTTCTTGCGTACATTCTCCTATTCGTCTTTGGATGCATATTAGGCAGTTGTGTCCAAATGACCTGCGTCTACTTTATGATCTCCAGGGAAAGAGTGAACGCGACAGTATTCCTGTTCTTGGGCAGAGTTTATTTGCTATGGGTTTGCAATTTGTTGAGGATGTGGCATGTGGAGATGGGAGACCTGAGATTCAGATTGGCAATGACGGGCTATATGAGTGCGATAGGATTGGTTCTCTGGATTTTGGCAACGTGGCAGAGTGTGAAGATATTTTAAGTGATGCAGAAAATGATCTCGATAATATTATATCATCCTGAGAAATGCTTCATTAAACACGAGGGCTTTTTGATTGGACATGATTAAACGTAAATATTCAATCAGAATTTTGTGAGCACCTGCATATTTTGAGCGGAACCATTCGTTAGCTTAAGGCTGAAGACTCGCAGCACAGCACAATTGGATGAGATTGTCAAGTGTATTGAAGGAAAGCAGAGAATAGAGGTGTAGGAGGAATGTTGGATGGTTAGTTCTTCATGGAGAGACAGAAAAAAGATATGCCTAGCTGGATGTACTTGCTGGCTATGAGATAGCTAGATGAACACATGGATATCTATTCAATTCCTTGTAAGATTCATGAATTGCGATTGATTGAATTGGTTCTGTGCCTTGCTTTGTTCAACTTAAAAGTGTTTGACCGATATGCAATAGAAAATAGAATAGAAAGATTCACAGAAAGACAAATGATGAATATCAATTCCTCTTCTGTGCCTATTTCCTAGTTCATCTTGTTTCACATAGACAGATTTCCTTCAATATATCTTGTGCTTGAACATGGTATAGGATCCGGCTATTTAAATCATATTCCATAAAATAGTTTGTACTGTAAACACAAGATGAAAAAAAAGGATTTGAACAAGTTGGTTCATTCCCCATAATTTAGAAAACTTGTAAGCGACCACCTATACACGTGGACCACATTGCATCATGCTCTCACAAGATACCCGTTCGTTACTTGACCTCTTGAAATTAGAATCACTTTATAGATTAGAAGGAAAGTGAATCTTAGCGATTCAAATCAAATTTACAAGATCCAAGTAGTAATTAGTCACTAGAATAGCTGTTTCACCTTGAGAGCTTCATGATCTTGAGATTGATTGCCAGTCCATTTGTGGTCAATAGCCTGACGGCAGTACCCGAAGCCGATGGGCAGAATTTCACCTTGAAAAGTTCTTCAAGTTAGATCGCTAGTTCTCTTCTATATTGCCAGAACATCTGGAGTCATGTTTTGATCATCTGGAGTCATTGTACAGTCTATCAACATTCAAAGTCTTTACTACTTTCGTAAACTCAATTCAGAGATAACAACATCTCAGCATAACTTAAGACATCTAAATTTCTTCCACGTTCTCTAGCAACAATGAACAGACCAAGCTACACCTGCAGGCTCTCTCGGCTTGAATGGCTCAACATGAGAGGTTGGCCGACCTTCAAAGACTTCATGGTTACACACAAATATGATCCAACAAGTGCGGCAGATTACATGAAAGCCGAAGAGGTCTTGTGCAACTACAGAAGCAGCGATCCGTTTGCAAATAAGGAGCTGCAAGACTGGGGAGCCGAGGAGGATGAGGGGTTGGAGGAATTGGAGGACAATGATATGGATGAGAAACTGGACGTGGAATTCGAGAAGCTTCTTTGCGATGCGTTAGCAAGTGAGGAGTATACGGATGACGAGGATATAGATGAGGGCACGAAGGAAAAGAATTGTGATGAAGGCGGTGTCGAAGAGCATGTCCAGGATAATAATCAAGAGAGAGACGAAATTCTCGATCTAATGACCGACGACAGCGACTGGGAGGACTACGATGAAGACGAAGACCCAGACGCACCGAGGACCAGCAATCTAAAACGCAATATCGAAGTTCGCGAGCAAGAAAAACTCGAAAACATTTACAGAATTCGAAACGAAGACGAAGGGATCTATAAATGGCTCATGAAGCGCGGATGGTCTTGCCTTGAAGAATATATGGACTATCAAACTTTGGATTTCACGAACAGTGACGATGTGGAAAAGGTCGGGCATATAATCAAGAAGTCCATTAGGCTTGAAGCGGAACAGAATCGTGATGAGGCTGAGGGGGGTATCGAAGAGGTAGCTGCGGAAGATGATGCAGAATACGAAAACGAGCAAAGAGCCACACGAGAGTCACTCATTAGTGAAGGACTTGGAGATGAGGTGGAATTTCCACGAAATGCCAATCCCGAAAAATTTGATGAAGAACAAGCCACAGCGAGCCCTTCCGCGTCAAAGATTGCAAATGGTATTAAAAACAATCTGGAAATCGACCGCTGGTGTATGGAACAAGGATATATAAATCTATTTAACTATATCATAGGCCATGGGGGAGATTATTATGACGACGAGCTCGTTTGTATGATAGGTCATCAATTAAAAAAGATTATCGAGGAGGGGAATCAGAATAGACGCGAAGTGATGGAAGAGATTTTCGAGGGATTGACGATGTGTGATACCCAAGATCAAGGCCTCAAAGAAAATTTCCAGAACTGGTCGGTGGCAGATAACGAAGAAATGAATCGACTCGATGGTGATGATGAGATGACGCATGGATGGTTATGATGGGCTAGGTTAGAATCAAGTCGATGCCGTAAGCTGAGCTTGAGTATTGTCAAAGGTAGAATTCTGCATAAAATTGGGCTTGGTATGTTGATCGAGTACGGTCACTAAGTGAGGAATGAACGAGAGAGGGCAGGGGAGTGGAGTAATGTTTAATGAACAATTACAAACAACTTTGCCACACATGTAGCACTGAAGTTTGTGTATGAAGGACTACACATAGAGGTTCTTCGAAGATTCAGATTTACCGAATAGTGTTGAATAAAAAAAAACCCTTTGATGACAGGAACTACTATGACAAACATTTGTGAAGCAAACTTGCAAGGAATAGCTAATTCATTTTTATTGACACCACGACGGCTCCTGGCCGGCACCAATGGCTTTTGTATAATAACGATCGTCTATCTAGAGTTTTTGACCGCAGCCACCAGGCGCGACAAATACCATGCACAATAGGGGAAGTAGCAATGGCAAACACTTGGCGTACATTAGACAGGGTAGCCAGGATGTAAAGCCCATGTAGTGATTATCCGTCAGTTCACCAGTCCTTGTTTCAAGATCCACGACCAACCACGGGAGGATACGAACTCTCAGCCGATGGATGCCACCTAGTTGTTCTCTTCCAAGCTTTATTTGGTGCTCCACGTTCAACCACAGGGGGATATAAAGTCTCCGCGGGGGGATGCCAAGTAGCCCTCCTTATCGATGAGCTTCCAGAGGCCTTTGTTACCAAGGTAGTCTTTTCTTCTGATGAAGACTTATTAAATGGTAATATTGAAAGTTTCGCTTCCGGAGGTGAGATCCAGGCGGATATTGGTTTAACTGTCCGCAAGTCGACTGACAATGACATTGTCATTGCTTCCAGTCTCTTGATCGGGGTCTGAGCTGTTAAAGGATAAGGATGGGCAGATGTATATTGTATGGCCTTGGAAGTTTTCGTTAGCCGGTGATGAGTATGTTTTATCTTGGGTGGATTCGTCGAGGTAGGAATAGGTTCTATGAATATGGTAGGTGGGGGATTGGCCGCCAATGGGCGATGATGCGTGTGGAGTCGTCTTGAGTCGATCTTGATAGAGGTAGATGTGGTGACGATTGAAAATTTAGGAATCAACGAATCTCTTGCAATTACAGGACCGATGAATTCTGAAATGCTAATTGATGTTGACGCTGAGGTACTGGGCAAGCTTCGGATAGAAGAATTGATGGCATTTACACGTCCAGTAGAACTTGGCAAAGTTGCCAACTCCACGGACTTACTTTCCGTATTTCTGCCTATCAATGGCAACGTCACACCCGTTGTTGAAATCGATTTCTGGGTGTTGGTACAAGGAATCAGGGGCAGGTGCATGGAATTGAGGTTCACATCCACAATTTTATCACCACAACCAACATTCAGTCCTATGTCTAGTCCCGGTATGAGTTGAATATTGATGTCAACTAGTAAAACATTAGTTTCTGATCACTAGATAGATAGGACGAGATCTTACTGAGTTCTCCTTTCTCATTTCTAGGGACAGGTCTCGAAAGTGATAGCTTGGCGAGGCAGAGAATAGCCAATGTGATTGTAGTAGTAAAGCGCAACATGATGAATATTCTGAGTGGATAAGGGAAAAAAATTGCATGGTGTATATCATCATTATATAGACTTCCTAGTTTGCCTCCCAGTTTCATCATGTCACTGCATGCTGATCAATCGTAAACTTGGTGAGTAAGTTGGGGCAACTGGAATGCATTGCGCCTGGTTATCAACATGGCTTGCATATTGTTACAGAGAATACACGCTTGGAAGCATCTGTAGACTCCATGCGTACTGCTATAGAGAAGCCCAGCCGAAGCTTGTAAAGGATTATTGTAGTATGAGTGGCGGGAGTGAGGGAGTGAGTGAAGGAAAGGATTGCGATCGTGTATCATATCCTGTAAGGGCTGATACGGGAGGAATGTTGGTACAGCGTCGTCTCTTTTGCTTCAGCCTCTTGCAAAGCTTCTCCAATGGCGTAATTATTCTATTCTAGGGTATCGTATTTCAAGCCTCGCGTCCCAGCTTTTTAGCTAGTTTCTTTTGATCTTCCGGTGACAGACCTTTTTCGTCCGTTTCTTTCAAGGCCTTTCCTATCGCCAATGTAGTCTTTACTGTCTTGCTATCCACCCAAACTTTTCCATTCCTTCCCACGGCAATCTCAAACGAAACACCAGCCTCTCCCAATTCCTCAAGTATCGTCAAACCACCTTGTTCAGCTGGGCGAGCCATCATCATTCGTCTTGCCATTCCGAGAGATATATCGAAAAGCATCCCTCCCTCCAATGGTCCCAAACCTTCCGATTTACCCGTCGATGCTGATACACACTCCAATTCAGGATCCATATGTTTGTTTGCAAGAGTAACTCGTGCATATACTAGCGCGCCCTTTTCAAGCTGCGGTCTGGTTTTCTTCGTAGCTCCTTCGAAGGAGAGAACTGGTAAACTGGCATCCGATGTAAAGTCGCTAAGATTTGCATAAAAGACGTCTCCTGCTGATTTCTTAATGGAAGCAATTACCAGATCCCCTACTGTTGGAATGTACTAAGGGAATGGTTAGCTGTGCCGAAGCATAAGAAGCTTGTGATTTTATCTCTTACTCGACCAGCATTAAATTCAACCCACACTGCATTTTTCCTTGAATCTGTTCGTAGCTGACCTGCTACAGTTGAAGTAATTGTATTTGGAGGAATATGTCTTAACCCAGGGCCGAGCTTCAATGGTAGACTTGGGTGAGAAGGTAATAATTCTGAAGCAATATGATCGCCGGGAAGGACGAATGTTTCTGTCGACATTATAGTATGGTGAACAAACAATTAGCTGGATGCAAATTTCTTTGGCAGAAGGATATCTCAAAATGTAGTTATCGTCGTGAATATTCTTGAGTTTGTTTGTGTATTGGTTATATTATTTGAGTATGTTCAACGTTCGCTCCAATAGACAAAAAGTTCAGATTTCTCAGCCTTGCGTTTGCGCCTACAAAATGTGGGGGGCTAAGATGTGGCGCTAGTGAAATTCTCGATGCGATTTTGAAAAAGTAAAAAAGTTCTGGATGGTTTTGATTACATTGTTTATTTACACAGAACTATAACAAACCTTTGATTTTGAGTCAAAGTCTTTTTCTACTTCATTCATCAAGTTTTTGTCTTCTCCTTAAATCCTTTATAAATCTAAAAATGGCAGCTGAAGCCCCCGCATCAAACGGCACTACTGGTGAGAGAAATGCCATTGGTATCTCTTTCGGAAACTCCAACAGCTCAATCGCCTACACAACTGTTGAAGATAAAGCTGAACTTATTGCCAACGAGGATGGAGGTAAGTGACTGAAATGCCCTCAAAAACAGATCCGAGCAGGGTGGGGAGGCAGACTGATTGATTTCGACCACAGATCGTCAAATTCCTACCATTTTGTCGTATATCCATGGAGACGAATATTATGGTCAACAGGCCAAGCAACAACTTATTAGAAACAGTACAAACACTGTTGCTTACTTCAGAGATTTCCTTGGACAAGAGTATGTCTACATTATAAATGCCCCTTTGGACCCCAGGAGTATTCCAAGAGAAAGTCGACTAACATTTTGCCCCGCACCCCGCATAGCTTCAAGTCGATAGACCCTACACACAGCCATGCTTCTGCACACCCTTTGGACCACGAAGGCACAATCGCATTCAAAATTCAAGATAAAGAGGAGGGTGAACCATCAACCGTCTCTGTCTCTGAGGTAGCAACTCGAGTTATCCGTCGTCTCGCACAATCCGCATCAGATTACACCGGCAAACAAATTAACTCGGCTGTCATCACAATTCCAACAAATTTCTCCGACAACCAAAAGGCAGCTTTGACAAAGGCAGCAAATGATGCAGGTGTTGAGGTTTTACAACTCATTAATGAGCCTGTTGCTGCTTTGTTGGCATATGACGCAAGGCCAGAGGCTAAGGTTGCGGATAAGAATGTTATTGTTGCAGACCTCGGAGGAACTCGCTCAGATGTCGCAGTTATCGCATCAAGAGGTGGCATGTATACCATCTTGGCTACTGCACACGATTACGAATTCGCTGGTGTTCACTTGGACCAGGTCCTCATGGATCACTTTTCCAAAGAGTTTATCAAGTGGAACTCTATCGACCCCCGTGAAAACCAACGCAGTTTCGCAAAACTCAAGGCAGAAGCCGAAGCTACCAAGAAAGCACTTAGTATCGGACAAAACTCCAACTTCAGTGTAGAGAGTTTGGCTGAGGGTATTGATTTCTCTTCCACCATTAACAGACTTAGATATGAGACTATCGGACGCAAGGTTTTTGAAGGATTCAACAGATTGATTGAGGGTGTTGTAAAGAAGGCTGGATTGGATGCTTTGGAAATCGATGAGGTCATCCTTTCTGGTGGTACATCGCACACACCAAAAATCGCATCTAACGTCCAATACATCTACCCAAATGCCACAGTTCTTGCTCCATCCACCAGCCCTACCGCAATCAACCCATCCGAATTGCAAGCCCGTGGAGCTGCTCTTCAAGCATCTCTCATTCAAGAATTTGATGCTCAAGATATTGAGCAATCTACTCACGCTGCCGTCACTACCGTTCAGCACCTCACAAACGCCATTGGAGTTCTTTCCATCTCAGGAGAGACTGACAAGGGTGTTTTCACACCAATTGTTGCTGCCGAAACTGCCGTCCCAGCTCGCCGAACTGTCGAAATCGCTGCTCCTAAAGAAGGTGGTGATGTTTTAGTCAAGATTGTCGAGGGTGGATCTCACATCAAGGTCACTAAGCCAGAGCCAAAACCTAAATCCACTGGCGCTAAGGTTGAGGACGCAAACTCTGATGATTCTGAGGATGATGACAGCGAAGAGGAAGAAGAGGAGCAACGCGAGAAAATCTGGAAGGTCGGAAATGTTCTCGCAGAGGCCGCAGTCAGAGGTGTCAAGAAGGGTAGCAAGGTCGAAGTCATGATCAACATTAGCAAGGATTTGTCAGTCACTGTCACTGCACGCGAAGTCGGAGAGAAGGGAGGTATTAGAGGAAACCTTGCAGCTCCTTCAAGCTAATTCTCCTAAAAGTTCTTATGATGTCAAGATATTAGATCCTTTATAAAACTATAGAAGTATGCGTTATTCTGGTTCTTGAAGATTATAGACAAATTCAATGACAAAAGTTTTAAATCTTGGGCTCTCGCCTTTTCGGGAATGCTGTTCACAATATTTTTTGACCATTGCGAAAAAAATAAGTGTATGTTTCTAACGCATGCACTCCACGTATTACTTGCTCTCAGGCCTCATGACGACTCTGGTAGTCATATGGAACAAGAATAGCACGAATGATGCCAAGACCGAAAAGCGGTTCGAAGCAAACATATATGGATATATCGAGCTTAGCCTACAAGACACGTGTCCAAAATAACGATCAGTGATAGGATATCGAAGGTGCCACAGGAAGACTTCTGACCTCCATACTGTCCCCTAAAGCATGTAGGTCGCACGCAGTGCTAGTCATGTTCATGATTATCATTTCTTACAAAATTTGGCCATGTTGGGGAGTATAAAAGATTGACCTTCCATTCTCATTGTCATCAGAGAAGATATCTCTATAAAATTTGATCTTGCTCTCTCAGAGATGTAATGACATCCCTTCGTACTCGTAGAGAAGACACGCTTTTGAGGTTACTGAGGAAATGAATTCGAGTAGTTCTCAAAATTAGCCACATCTTCACTCAATGTTTTTTTCAGAGTTTTGAAGTCCACTTATCAATTGACTTTCTTTGATTTTCATGCCTTTCTATCGAATTTTAGTTTACTCTACGGTCAATCCCAGCTTGGAATATAGCTAAGTATACAGCTTCGTATTTCATGGGAGCATATGATGTTGTTCTTCCTGTGGATTCCTATATTCAAGTAGTGTTGAAGTCATGAGATGCTGTACCTCCTGTGCCTTCGTCAACTACGGCTGGGATGGAGAATTGCGGCACCTTGAATTAGTTTATTCCTACGGCTAATACAGTTGCTAATGTTTAACACGGTCATTACCAGTGGTGTCATTTACTATATCTATCAACACACGTACTGGTTGGAGACGATTTCCTCAAGTCCATGACATTAGAAAATCTCACATAACTTTTCAAACATCGACATTCCTCCAGACTTAATCGGAAAAACTCTCGCGATGGGTCAAACACCTTCGAAGATATCAAATGGAATCGGTAGACCAACACATGTCACAGGATGTGACGCCGAATTACTTCGTCAAAGTCGATCTGCAATAGAGAAATTCGCCCAAGACAGAGATGAGGATTATTTCCCACATTCTTTGATCTTTCGAAAAGCAAACCCTCGGCTTGGTTATCTCTCGAGAAGACTATTTTTTCGTCGACCTTTGACTTTAGATCGCCTAAACGTGTTTAAGCATCGACCTGCAAGTCTTGTAGGCGCCGTCTGGAAACATATCAATCCAGATCCAAAATTAAGCGCTCTTCAGGAACAGGCAATTGAGAAGGGGAAGGTGATAGATATTCTCAATACCCCAAATCAGCTTCACCTCGTATCAACGAAAATCATCCTGCAAAAGTACTTTCACATATTCGATGATTTGTTTTTCAGAGGCACACTAAACGAATACGTCACTCTAGTCACTGCTTTACCCGGCAATAACCCACTTGGTTGTCAAGGCCACACGTCCCAAGAATCGAAGGCCATTTACAGAAGAGGTAAAAAGATGTCATCGAATGTCGCTTCCGGCCAAGGAGCACGATCACCATCTTTATTGGACCAGGAATGGAGCCGCTCAATGGAGAAAAATTGCGAAAGTTATTTGGCATCCTAGTTCACGAGATGTGTCATGCTTTTTTCCACATATACAGTTGTGTTGGACGCTGTTGCAATCATGGATCTTTGGAGCAACTGGGAACCCGTGGACATGGAGTTATGTTCCAGGAACTAGCATTTAACATACAATTCATGGCAGAACATAAGGACGTCTTAGGATTCAACTTGAATATGGGTAGATATCACAGTCTTCTTCATGAGCTATGCGACAAGCCGGAATGGAAGGGGCAGATTGACGTAACTAGATGGAGATTTGATGAGGAAAACTTGACGAGGGACTTGATTGCCTTCAACACCTAGTATTGTGGTTCGATTTTGTGTAAGAGCCAAACCTCTTTTTGAAAAGTGGTTAATACACTTTGGCGGCATGGATCTGACATTTCATTGATCTGAAAATAGTTTCAGGGTGATCATCATTCACAATGAGATTAAAAACTTACCCAATTTAACATATATTATTAAAAACATCGTGAAATCTGGAATCCTATTAGAATTCTTTGGCTCTATCTACCTTGTGATTCTCTTTTGCGTCTGATTATTCTAATATTATGCATTTGCCGATCAGCGCGACCACAGACAAGTGTTTTCCATGGATTTATGATACTTCAAACACGCCACGACTTGTACTACTCAGTTCCGTGCCTTAAGATAAAGCATAATTTCAAATTCAATACCACAATTAAGAGGGAAATCTTTGCAGAAATAGAAAGTTCCAATTTTTTTTTGAATTTATTTACTCGACATCGCATAGTAGTATACAGTCACCGTGCACTTCTATTAGCCGAAACTCCACAAAACGCGTTTTTTCACGCATTACACTCCCATAATCACATTTTATTATTTTAATTATACTTTTAATTTATAATACATAATATATTAAAGGTATACAAAATGATTCTTATAAATATTTTATTTTATATATATATAGCAAAATAGTTAGTAAAGCAAAAAAAGACTTTAATTTCTATTAAATTATAAAGAATCTTAAACTTTTTTATAAAATTATATAATATATTCTCTTATAAAATGTAGTATATAATAATAATATATATTTATTATATATTAATTAATCTAAATTATATATTGAATAAAATAAATGAATATTATTATAATATATATGATTATTTCCAAAAACTATATATAAATAGATTATTTAAAAGATTAGATTTGATTATAATATTAAAATCATTAAAAAGATTTTAATCAAATATAGCATAATCAATTAAAGGTGTAAGAAAAGACTAGAGCTTATATTAGTATATATTACTAAATAATTTAAGTAATATCTAATTTATAAAGGATTAATAATTAAAGAATGAGATTTAATTATATAATTAAATAAATACTTTATAAAATAGGGAAAAGAAAAAAGATTAGAATAATATTTTTATATTAATTTTTAGAAATAGGATTTAAAATAATCGAAATATATAATATAAATAAGAATATAAAGATTATATATTAAAAAGCTTTTAGAATATTAAAAAAAAAATCTATATATAATAAATAGGGATTTTAAAAATATAAAATATAATATAATATTAAATCTTATTTTGAGATTTTTAAAGCTAAAATAAATTCTATTTTCGAAAAGCTTGATTTAAAATATAAATTTTATAAATAATACTTCTATTTATTATATTTATAAAATATAAGATTAATTTTAAGAAAAAAAGATTCTTTTATTAAAGAATTAATCTTTTTATTTCTTTAATCTCAATTCTATAAAGTATATATAATAAGTTTTAAAAATAAGAATATAAAATGTTTCTTAATATTATTATTAATAAAAATAAATTAGAATATATTTATTAAAGATTAAAAAATTGTTTATAAATAATTTAGAATTATTAAATAAAGAATTATTTAATAATTTGGGGAGTTAATATATTTTTAGAATTAAAACTTATATTATAATGAATAATTAATATATTAAATATTAATAGATTAAAAATCAATAATAAAATAAATTTTATACATATTAATAATATAAAAATATATTATTTATTTATTCAAATTTTATAATTTTATAATTCTTAATTAATTTAATATTTATATTGAAAAGAGTGGTGTAATATGTGATATTATAAAATAAGCGGGGGGGCGGATATAAGTGGCCTAGTACTATATACCCTCATGAACGACTTCTTACCAAATGATTATCAGGAGGCTTCTTTGTGAGCAAAACCGACTTTCTTCAAATGCCCCTTTTCTTATTTTTTTATCAACATCTTAAAGAAACTATTATTACATGACTCTATGATAATAATTGATCGTGATACAGAATTCGACCACAGACCAAATGTTATTCTTTCATTGAGCCTTTCACGATCAGAGACTGATAATTCTAGAAGTCACATCTCTTTCACACAGTTGCCAAAAGGTATAAAATTTCTTTGTCTTACTCTTGTCTCTTTGTCACATAAATTATCTCGAGCGCACCACACAACAGTAGCAGCTTTTCGGAGTTTCTTGGACTCTCCTCAATGTTGACAAAGGATATTCTAACATCCAAATTGGTATCGCTCAAAGAAAGCTTTGCGCACAAAAGAAAAGCTTGTAAAGTACCACGACCACGACCACAATCAACATTTCGACTCCAACGGATTGCCATCACATACACAAAATTCTCCTAGCTCATTATCAACGTTTCGATCAAGACTATTATCAACTCGCCGATATTAGCAAACTCTACTGCAGAATACTCGAAACGCCATAAGCTTCTACACTTCTTCAATGCCAACCAGAGTTCCTCGAGGTTCCTCGATCAAGCGCAAGGAACGTACCCCGAGCACAGGTGCAAGTGACTCTGATTCTGATCCTTACTCAGATGACGACGTATACACAGCTCCTCTTGAAGACCATGGCTCATGGCTTGCAGACTACCAATTAACTCAAAAAATGTGGCTGGGAATCTCTCTGTTGATTTTGTTCTTGGGCTGGAAATACATGATACCTAATATGGGCCAACGACAACATAACAGAAGACCAACTAGAAGTGCTTATAATGCCAAACTCATCACCCCAAGCAATGTATCTGCGATTCCATTGTTATATAAGGATATTACCTACAATGCTACCAGAAAGGAAGGAGACATATTTCGAGGACGATTTGACACATTTCCAGGCAACACGCTTTTAACTTTCAACAGATTTATTAACGAGATGCCAAACTACCCGCAAGGGCGCCAATTCCCAAAATTGTTTGAGGAACGTACAGGCTGACGCTGACAAGATATATCATGAATATATGGCATATTATGATCTGGTTCGTCGACACGCGGAGGACGCAATGATACTCACAAATGCATTAATAGAGGATTTGACCGAACTCATTTCTGATGTTACACCCGTTAGAACTTCCAATTTCAGAATATGGATAAGCAATCCTTCCTATTGGGGATCTTTGTCCAAGGAGCCAATCAGATCAAAAGTGATCAGAAAACTATTCATTGAATATCTGAAAGGATTAAGAGAAGGATACATGTTGCCCCGGTCAAACTTGTATCTTGGAAAATCCGTGGGACTACGTAAAGTTATCGAGATAGGCCAATATTTTTTGCCTGAGCTTGAGGCGGCCAACGATGCCAGTCGAGCGCTACGATTTACAGTCGAGTTTGGCATTTACAAAGTCTTGACAGACCGAAATCTAACAAATCCTGACTTTGTACCTCGCTCAGAGATTCAAAGAATACTTTCATTTATACAACGCTCAAGCGACAAATCGGAGAAGGGTCATAGTAATAATACAATCGGTTATATGACCTATTGGCTCGACAATGAATTTGCGGCCGGTGAAAACGTGCGTGAGGTGGAGATACCCAACTCAGTTCACCAATTCCAGCAAGCGCTAGTCGACATTTCGGAAAAGGTTTCAGAACTCATCGACGATACTGTGGATGAGAGGAGTGGAATTCAAGAACTTTCATCAACGATATGTTACATTGATGCGATAGAGAAGGGACTCAAAGAGCTTGCCTTTCATCATAACTTCGAGTCAATATATCCAGGTCATCCAAATCGTCCTATGGCAATTTGGGAGATTCATAAATGTATTTTGAAACGAGATATTAGGGGACCCTTGAAAGGGTTGAATCACTGTGGAAAACTCGAGAGGCTGATAAAGGAAAAAGTATATTAAGTCTTCTGTAGATTTTTTTGGAGTTCAAAGTGGATTTCTAGACAAGGTCATGGATTCGAACGGGTCTGAGGGTTGAAGCCTTTTACACGCGTGGTCATTTAATCTTACCAATCTCTTGCCTCAATTCTGAGCAAAACAACGTCTCAAATGTTTGTTTAATTCAATTCAGGGTTTGCATCAGATTAATTCATCATATCTCGATGTCTAGTCAAATTTCTCCGTAATTTAAGACTCGTGATATTGCCCCCAACTCTGCCGAAAAGTACACCTGCACTAGATTAGCAATCACACCCTAGTGAAATAGTTGTAAAGTACTAGCTTTGCTCTCTCAATACTTGATGGATGAATTGGTAAGATTTTGGCAGCTAGAACATCGTTGTTTCCAGATATTTGGTTTCGGATGACTATGTCGACTTAATTCGCGGATGTATGTGATATATAAATTGATTATGAAATAAGTTTAAAAATTTCGTGTTAGCCATTATTGGAACTCTACTTGTTCAATGGATGTAGTAGAGTCCGACATGATGACCGGAAATATCTTCAAGCCTGAAATAGATTATGAAATATGGCTAGCCCAGATGTGCGAAGTTCCAGAATCGCAAACCTACAGACTTTCTTCGGCTCGAGCTTCCCTGATCATCCAACTTCGTCGATAGATCTCGCTTCTCCCATATGCTTCTAGATTAATCTCCAGGTTCTCCTTTACGAGCCATCCACTTTTCTCATAGAAATTTCGAGCTTGCGGGGTGCTAACCAAACATATTTTGCTGCCTTTGTTATCTGCTATACTCAGTCCCCATTTTAACAACAGATTTCCTATTCCTTGTTTGTGGTATGCTGGATCGACAAAACAGAGATAAAGAACTAGATAATAATCAGTGTACGTTAAAACCTGGAAAGGTGTAAAGGTGCAAAGAAATCAAGGTTTCACTTACGCATATCTTTTTCTGCATTATAATCACGTTTCTTACACTCAACTGTACTCTTCACCTTTTGCATGAATAGATCGAAGTTCATACCAGCAGGTGTCTTCCATCCCTCTTCTACCTTCTTCTTGTGTTGCGCTGCGGCGTTTTCATCATATTCTGCACTTTGCTCACCCATATCTACTCCTTTGATTTCAAAAGTTTTAGGCAACGACCATCGAGCATAACCCACGATCCTTCCATCAATCTCTACTTTCCAGGTAGCTATAGTTTCACTCTGCATTGGGTTGAACAACAGCATCACAGCGGTATCATGGGCCCCAGGCTCGGTGTCTCCCCATATAATCGGATATATAGTATCGCTTACTTCAAAGGCCCTTGTGGTGATGGCAGCAAGCTCACGGGCATCTTGAGTTTTTGCGAGTGAAAGAATTGGCCTGGAGTTTGGTGATGACATTTTGGGCTTAAGTCTGAGGTAACGATAATATTCAATGCGATTCAGGTATTTAAGGATCTGGTATGATATGAAAACTGTTGTTGAAATTCATTGCAGGAATTGAAAAATAAGCTGATGCCTACCCCCATCCTTCTGGACTGATCCACCAATCACATTGCAGGATACATTACAACCTTGGTCTGCAGCAATTCAGACCTTGAGTGACAATTTTTATCAGAAGCCTTCCAATTCATATGAAATCTTCTCTCTAATCCGTCCTTAAATCCTGTTGTCCCGTGTCATATTCTTCAAAGGCGAGGATCATGCTGGCGAATCACAGTACATCCTAGAGGCGACCAATTACACTTGAGTAAATCCTTAGCGAAATGTGGGGTCATCTAAATAAGTTCGTCAGTTATTGCTGTGGGGCTCTAAGTTTCTCATATGAAGCATTTGTAAAACTATTTACTAGAATCGTGATCGGATCTTTTGATCGACGTATTTAGCTTTAATTTACATTATGTCTGATCCTTGCTAAGATCCCGAAGCTCGTGATCTAGAAACGAGTGCTCCGGAATGACTCACGATACAGTCCAAAGATCCGTACTAAAATAATATGGGCTTCTATATGCTGAATTATAAATGTTTCAGAGGCTCCGGGTTGGGTTGAGATTATGATTTTTGAGTTACAAACTAAAAGCATTCAATCTCGCCTTCCACGCCATCAGCGTATTTTTGTGAAGCAAAAACAATAATCACTTCGATGAGAAGTCTATAAATTCGTGTCAATTTCCCAATCAGAATCCGTACTCCAACTCACTCTTCACATAAATGGGTATTATCAAGGGAAATTGACTATCCGAAAACTCGCTAAAACGCATACTGAACCAATCGGATGAACACATAGAGAATTGCTTACCGAATACAAGACTCCTAGTATATCTTTTACACTAATAAAAGCCGAAAAGAGCTGGCTTTATCCAACGACACTTTTCCGATCGAGGCTTCGTGTCTCGTAAGGTGGCTGACGTACTTCACAGGTTTCATTTGTGAAATCAACAAGCGAGTTCGAGATTTACTCCATGACATGATGAACCTCGACTCGCCAAAGCAGGTACATGAAAATAATAATACGTGCCTTTACAGCTCGATTCTTGTTATATCTCTTTTCCTTCGGAGGGAGAGACTATCAACTATCTTCAAGCTATGGCTTGCTCTATGAACTTATTAAAAATCAAGTATAGGCCTTATAGGAACTAGAGCAGTTTGCTAAGTACTGAGCCCTAGAAAAAAAGAGACATCTGGAAAAACATATTGAAAGCATCTCAAACAGTCAAGAAACCAGCTGAGTGACAGGAACATGAAATCATGCATGGAAAGGAGGTAAGTTCATCTCAAGATTAATCGTAAGTAATCGTGAATTGAGCATCCATTCGATATCTGTGACATTCCAATTGGCTGGGAGACTTGAACAACATAGTTCTATGCAACTGTAGCTGTTTATAATACCTTGAGCTCGTACTATAGAGTCGTACATATCTCTCTAGATCTAAAACTATTCTTCTAACTCGCCCACCGATTATGCTACGGTGCTGTACTGTATCGTTGTTGCCATAGATACATAGGTTACATAATTCATGGATATCTGCCGTAGTTTGAATGTATCTAGTAGCGTAAGCCGTAAAGGTGTTATCTACATAGACATATAAGACTTTGTTCAGACATAGATTGATTTTACTATCTTTCAACATTCGAAAACAACTTTCTTCATCAATTACAAGGTCTGATACTCTCAATTTAATCATTGCAAAACATCATACATTTCACCTTATCCTACTTCGAAACATTTTCCTCCGCCCTCAATTCCAAAATAGGAAAAATGAAGTACACAAACTATGGACAACGAATGGATGGATCAGAGCAACAAATCCAGGACAATCAAAAACTTCTGGAGCAAATATATCTTCATCCATTGACACAATTTCAGCCCAGCAATTATGTTAATCCGAGTCATGTGGTATATGACAGCCAGCATTCAAGGTGGATCGATCCTCCACCGGAAATTCTTAACCAGAATAGACAGCTGAATGAGGACTATAACTTTCCATTGTCTAATGGAAGAATTCTGACAGAATCGTATCCAGAAGTACCAAAATCAAATGGTAAGTGTAAATTCTGCTCCGAGAAACTAGATGTTTGAACTAACAGCAAAGTAGCATCCATAGAGCCTTATTATGTCGACAATAACTCCATTAGAATGGATAATCAGCATTTAGTCCAACAGACAAATCTCGAAGCATCAATTGCTACATCTAGTTCAGCAGCTGGTCAATCTATTCCGGTCAATAACTACCTTAACAACCACATCACAATGACGGGAGATCAAAGCCACGGGAGCCAGAACTTGGTCAACAGAAACATGCAAAACACCCAAATTGAAAACCAGAATTTGGATGATCAATCGGATAGTTCAGGAAGCGATGCTTCAGAGACTAGAAAGTTGAAGGATACGGGAACAACTCGGAGAAAGCGCAAACCTTGGACAGCACGTCCTGAATCCTCTTATCCACGCGTTTGGACGACTGAACAAGAAATGAAGCACATAGATCCTGATTATGAGAAGAATCCTCGATTGGCCTTTCAAGATATGACGAAAGCCAAGAATGGAATGAAGTCTTTTCAGATAGACTGGGATCAGGTAGAGCTATTGAATGTGTGAGTACCCTTAATGATACCTTTACCTCTGTGTGTCATTGCCCTTTGCTAGAAATCCGTCACTAACCAATCTCTAGACACCGTCGAAATGCCGCAAATGAGGAAAATGAGCGTATGAAGTGCCGCGCTCCCGGAACATACGTTCCAAAGTTTGTACCTAAGCCTTACTTTCCAAATGCTAGACTTCAGGAATGCCGCGACGAATGGTTCAGAAGAAAGCAGATGGGAGATGCTTCTGATTCATGGACAAATAGGATGAGACGAAAGGCCGATCGTTCCAACTATAACCCTGAACTAGAGGGTGATTCTGTGCAGTGATCACATTATAGTACCTGAGAAGTTCGAAGACGATGACTGGTAGAATCTCAAATCCAGTCTTGAATATTTTGCAAAAACAACTCTGGCTGTACATCCAGAATGCCAATGTACAGAACACAAATTATGCCAAATTTCTGAAGGAAGTCGAGAAGCCACACATCAAAATATGCGATCCCGAAAGAAACATGGAGGAATAAATAGTGTCTGTAAAGGCAATTCTTATACAGCTTTAACGACAGCTGGATGAAAATGAGCGAAGACAGGAAGATTGCCTGCTCAAATACTTCGAAGACACCTCACACAATAGTTTCTACTTCATATCTTAATACAAACTTCCATGTATTTTCTGTCTTTTAAATGATATAGATGAATTGAAAAAATAGAATTTGAGCTAGTGATCTCGCGATATAACCCAATTAATTCAAAAACATGTATTCTGAGCTTTGCTACCCCTTTTAGTTCTTTTGTTCATAACACCTTGACTGTGACGGCCTTCCTTTGAAACCCATACTTTAAGAAATTAATATCCTTTACTAACTTGATTTATATTCTAGAACCCCTTTTTTTCCTGAGTCATGTTTACCTCAACATTGGCGGACAACAAAAGCAAGAACTGACATTTAGAGCAGACAAAGGCCATAACTGTGAGGTCATGGTAGGGATATCATTTAGTGTATACTCGCAAGATATCATACCAGTTCCCTACAAAAATAAAATCAGTGATCAAGAAAACTTCCAAGCTTCTTTTCACCTGACACGCGTATAGATTGAAGATTCTGTCTAAATTCAAGTGAATGAATGTACGAGTAGAGAATACGCGTCTCAGAAGTAAGTGACGTATTCGCACAAAAGTAATTTTTTCCATTGGTCTTGCAATGCTTATCATCTCTTTCTAGCCCTTGTTTCCCAATCCTATGGCTTTCTTGACTTTCACCAGTGTCTTTTATGTCAGTTGGTAATGGGATGGTAGCAGTTATGTATGGAATACATTCACGATAGAGTATAAAGGCTTCGCGAGGAAGTAAAGCAGAGAGGCTGGACAGATAAACTAGTCACAAATTACAGATAAGATACTTCAAATGCCAATATCATTCAATAACTCGGATCAGAACAGCCTGGCTCGCAAGGAAATTTCAAATTGAAAAGCAATAATTCACTAGAATTATTCAATCTGACCAAGCAAATAGCCAACAGTTCGGACCACATTATTTTCTATTTGACATAGGTACATGGATATGTTAGAAGCATGTACAAGGTGCTGTACCAGGTATTAGTATCTCGCTCAAGTAGCGCAGGCGATCGCGTGTCTAGACGGCTGCTCTATTCATTCACATATTTCATTCACAGTACCAAAAGATTTAAATGCACTTCATATTTCTTCTAGAGTACAACTTACACTTATTCAGGGCGTGTATAATAAATATCAATAAAAGACCTGAGAAGTGCTTCAAAACTTCTCCAGGAAACCACCAGTCAAACAAGATGAACACCAACATTAACACGACGAGCCGAAATGGGTTCTATGAATCCGGCATAAATTCGCCAATCGATCAATATACTGTTAACAGCCACATTATGGTAAGAAGTCGAGATGACCCAGCATCTCATATCGATGGTGCTCAAAGAAGGCTACCAATCCGAAACTCCCTTGACACTACCTTTAAAAATGATGGTAAGCAAATTTTAAACATAGTATTAAAAATCCTACAACTAACTACCAAACTCTACAGGCCTATCAAAATATAGATCTATGTCATTTGAAATTGATAAGATGCAAAATTCTCGAATCAAAGAGCATCAAGTCGAAGGGCACCACACCCATGAAACTGCTCTCCATGGATTTAACGACATATACCCCAATGAAGAGGGGGGACGTCTTGAGAACCTAGATGGTAAACATTTTGCTCTGTTGTTTCAGTCAGGGACTCCAGCTGATTGTCAAAATATAGAGTTAGCCACTTCTTTTGATAGTTCAAGACTGGGTGGTCAACCGCCAACACCAGCATGCAGATGACCAAAACCAAGGCTTCAAAAATGGAAGTGATCGTCTAAGTGTGCAAGGTATGCCAGCTTTCGAGCTTACAGAGAATGATGACTGCGAGTATGAGATTGTAAGTCCAGAAGAGACGAAGCGTCTCTGGGGTATCATTCCTGAAACAGGAGGTGGTAATGATGTGTCATCACAAGTTCAAACAACTTTGCCCCTCAGTAATGAAGGGCAACAACTTATCTTGGGTGATAATAATAGCTCATATCACCATAAAAGCAATAACGACCTTGGAAAAAGCTTTTATGACACCTGGGATAGAAACGTTATCAGTGATCGGATGGCAGGTTTATCAGGAAGCAATCAAGAGAAAGTTATCGGAAATGGGCTATTAGCTACAGAAACCCAAACTGGACTTGAGCAATTGTGCAGTCAATATGGAATGCCCGATCTGACTGATCAAATTCCAGAGTCCATCGAGCCTTCACAGTTTCCCCAAATTCACACTCAAATCCCAAGTTATCCACACTCAGACGAGAATTACAGCTACATTCCTCGAAAGCGCACCCGAACCCATGGCGCAAATACTGGGACGATACAAGCCGGTGGTATGGATGTTGCTGAGGACCTATCGGATCCGGATGGCAGATTTGAAATGAATGAGATCGATCAGGGTTCTCACACCACCACCAAGAGAAAAAAACTCGCCAAAACCAAGAACATTTCTCAGCCACGAGTCGAGCAACCTTCGTATTGTATGTCCAGAGTAAATGTGTCATTGGAAGAGATGAAGGCCATAGATCCTGACTATGATAAACATCCCCATAAAGCATTTTTCCCCGAAAGAATGAAATTCGCGCAGCAGGCTGGGCTGAAATCAATCTTGTTGCCCACAAGAATGATTAATTTACTTAATGCGTAAGTTTCCCATAGAATTTATTAGATGTTATTACTAACTGAGACTAGACATCGTCAGAAAGCCAGAGAGGAAGAGAGGAAGAACTCTACTGGTCGAAAAATTCCTCGAGACTTCAAGCTTCGACCCGTCAGACACAAGGATTTTGCAGCCTTTCAAGAGGCACGAAGAAAGGAAGAGGAAACCAGGTCCTATGAAAATAGGCAGAGAAGATTTGCGAAGTCTGAATATTAAAATCTTGTACGGATTTATATTCCAAAAATTATTTATATTTATTTCAAAATTGAATTGAGCATTCTCAAACCTCATAAGCTCACAAAAAATATCTTAAATACTACTTAACCATCTGAAAATATGAGCCGAATATGTAGAGAGCGGATAATTGAGAGCGGGTCTTGAAAGAGACGCGTCTAGTAATCCCTAACATGCGAATTACCTCAGCGAATAGTGTATACTACTAATTCTTTCGTTGAATTTTCGAGATTCTTCAAATGCTGTTTAGTCTTTGATTCCTTTATTTTTTTTGCTGCAACGACAATATTCAAAAGTTCGATCTATAATCACTTGAGTAGCTTCGTAGCTATCACATATGTTTGTATCAAATTGTAAGAGTTGTGGCCCCGGCTTATCACACACTTAGCGAAAACACACCAAAAACTCTTATTTTTTCAACTTTTTAATTCTATATTATTTCGGTATATAAATAAATTGAATTATTGAAATTGATATAAATAAAAGAAAATCAATAAAATAATTTAAAAAAAAAAAATTTCTAATCATTTTTTGTGAAAAGTTGTAGATTTTCAAAATTAGAATTTCTAAAAAATTAAAAAAGTGATTTTTTTGTATAAAATAAGTATTATATATTAAAGATTTTGAAAATTTGAAAATTTCAAAATTTATAACTTTATTCCAAAAATTATTAAAAATAATTTATTTATTTTCTAAAAAATTAATTATAACTAATATTTATATAATCAATTTTCAAATTATATTTTTGATTTATTAAAGAATTAAAAAAATAATTAGTTTGTATAAGAAAACAATATTTTTATAGGGATTTTATTATAAAATAAAATAATGTGCGATAAGCCGGAGCCACAACTCTTAAGTTATTAGACGTGTTGACAAGGCTTGACTGGTGTCAGAGATCTCTATTGAAATTATAAAAGCCCTACAATCTATCTATATAATAGTTAGAAGTTTTAAGATAATTTTTCTGCCTTACCGATAGACTATCCGTAGATTATCTGTCAAGGCCGTTGTTTGCCCCGCTGGTAACCATTTCGCAGCTTGATTACCTGTATATATTCCCATCGATATCTGTCATCTAAGTGAACCTGAAAATTGTGAGAATCGTGAAAATCCATCCCAAAATATCTTTCATATGACTATTGACTTGGAATGGGGTTCCCATTTCTTGAGAAGTGAAGAGTTGTGAACTTTCGTAGGTTCGCCACAAAGTTCTTCGTGTCGAAAGGAAACACGACACGGAGAACTATGGAGGTCTTTGATATATATATGGGCAAAGCATAACTTTTCAAAGAGGAATTCTCATTGCATTGCATGCAAAATCCAAAGAGATATTTTAAGGAAATAATGAATAGATTGTCAGACAACCAGAAACTTCAGAAAAAGTTCAATTACCGCAACTACTAGTTCTATAGCCTAGGGCTAAACCTTGCCAACCATTTCATTCGGTAGCATCAACACATTCACTGAATGTTTCCGTAAACAATCATTTTGATGGCGTAAAAATATGCCAATGATTATCAAGTATCGACCGTACGAGTGGTTGCAATACAGCCAAAAGCATATACGGTAACTTTCCGACGCGTTACATGCAGCAAACATAGATAATGAACCGACGCGTGACAGAAGTAACACCGCGAACCAATTTATTGCTGTATCGAACAATGCAGACAATGTGTGCAAGCCCCTTTGGGCCGTCTTTTTTTATGTCCCGGTTATATGGTGACAGTACCAGGACTTCTAGGAACGGTTATTGATGAGCATAGAAATAATACAAAAGCATCGCGTTCATGCCGAGTTCGACTTCCTAAAAAACTTCATCATATCTCCAGTTGGTAAAGACATAACATACTTTGAAGAACAGATTAACATCATACTTGACGTCACATAACCATTAACTCTAACAACCTTTTCAACTATTCTTTGACAGCTTTATCCATGTCCCAATTTACAGCCAAAGAAGCAATGGCTCGTCCAGAACAGTTTTCCGAGGCTATGAATGAGGTTGACGGAAAAGGTCTCGATGAATCAAAGAGAAGCCCAGGATCCATCCCTGAGACTGCACCTGCACCAGCCCTTACCGATGCAGAGCTAGAACAATACCGACCTTTGTTTGATTTCGATGCCGCGACATTGTTCGATGGTGATTGGACGGGGCAATTACCCGAGGACATTGATCAATTCAGCGCGATTGATCCATATTTAGATCTGAACGCTTTTCCTGTCACTATCGACGAGTAGCATCCGATTTCAACATTGTCCGCTTCTGCGAATGAGCCAAGCAGTGAGCCAATTAACACTAATACACGACCAGCCGATAATCCAAGTCATGAAAACTCTGGATCGAATCAAGAACAACAAGTTGATTTCTTAAATTCCTCAAATGAAACTATTCAAGAGGAGACAAATTCATGGTATGCCAATGCAGTGGCGACTCAAATAAATTCTGATGGACTTCTGGAACAAAATGTAGAAGCAAGAGTCCCTGAATTCACCCAAGAAGATCAAGCGGTATTAGATGCTTTTGGACCAGCTATCGCTGATGAGATTTCCACGAAGTATCCAACCCAGGGTGGATTAATTATGGCCGATTCACAAAGTTTGCAGGCTCCTACTGCCCAGAATGCCGTGCTTCAAGATTTGGAGCAATCAAGCGGTACAAGTAAAACGAATATCATCGAATACCCAGCTTCCAGTCGCGTTCAACATGAAGATGACGACACAACACAAGATCAATTGGACTCGTTGGTCGAATGGACTGGAAAGAAGTACCCATCGAATAGTCTGAGTTTCGATCAATACGAGGAAACCTTTCTGTCAGCGCAAATGATATCATCATCACCGATGAATCACGATAAATATGCCGCAAGCAATCATCAGGGATCTCAATCATCAACTAAGATTGAGGAATCAGCACCTGTAATGACAGTACAGCATCCGGGTTTTCGTCAGAATCAAGTTGGAGCTGCTCAAAATAGAATTGAGCACAATTTATCGCGTGGCCAAGGAGAATATAATGGGTACGATCGGGCCGCAAAGATGCAGGGTGAAGATGATTGGACATATGCATCACCGCTGCAACAGTATCCTGATCCATCGTGTGGAGATTTTGATGTGACTCGAGCCCCAATGCCCTACCCTTGTCTTCAGGCATTTGACAGCAATAACCGCAGAGGAGGAATTGAGACGCAACGAGCAGGCAACGACCCTATCCGTATAGAAAACAGAGTCGATAACACCAACAGTGTGGCTCAACGTAGTGGAAATGGCCAACATGGTAAAGCTAGCCAAGGTTCAAAGAAACGAGCCGACTGGGAGACGCGAGCTGATGCGGCAAGGCCTAGAGTTCGAATGACTGAGGAAGAATATCAGTGGCTGCGACCAAACGAGGGACCACGTGACGTTTTCGAGACTCAGAGAAGAAAGGTCGCGGAGGAGAGATTGAAGGAAGAGGCAGATGCCGAGGCACTTGAGAAGGCGGGGATGCCTAGGCCTCAACCCAAAGTACAAAAGCCATTCAAGGGGTGCATTCACATCGAGGTGTGGGAGAAGGATCGACTAAATAAGTAAGTCCTTACCGTGATATTATGTACTTCATTAATAACATATGCTAACTTTTTTGTTCTAGTCGCCGTCTTGCACAGGGTAAATCAGGCCGTGAAATTTTCTCGGAAAAACCCAAGCTCCGCGGAAAGAGAAAAGGTCGCGAAATTTCGGAATCAGGACCACAACCAGAGTCAAAGAAGCAAAGACTTGAGCAAAGTGGCCGCTTCCAACCACAACCGACGAATAGAGAAATGAGCGAGGGCATGATCAACGGCGAATATGGCAGCTCGATGGTTAGAGACGATGAATTCAATTATGGAATCAGTAGCGGCCCACATTACGCTGCAAATCCCATGACCGGCCAGATGAACCAGGGGATTACCAGCGGCGGCCGTATCCATAATAATTATATCAGCAATAATTATGGCAACAATTATGGCAACTTTTATAGCAATAATCATGCCAACAATAAATATATCGGCAATCATTGTACAGACACCTCATTTGGAAATGGTGTGAGAAGCTCGGGAATGACACGAACTGAAGCCTTAGGCTCATTTCCTGCTTCCGGCGCTGATTTTCCTTCCATCGGCCAAAGTGGTCGCCCGGAATCTGGCGAAGCACACCAACATCGTGCTGTATACAGTCATAGCCTGCACCCTGAAATGTTCCAAAGTCAATCCGAACAAAAGGCTGGAGTCAGCTACGGTAGAAATAGTGTTCCACCTCCGCCGTACGTCGAATCAGTCCAACGATTTACAAACATTCCGTCTCAGCCTCCACAACGTCCAACTGCGCCAAGGTATGGAGTCAGCACATCGGGAACTAAGGCTGTTATGAATCCTGCAAATCAATCAACGACAAATGGTGGTAATGGCATACCACCGTATCTAGCTGGACAAAATGCGCAGGTCCTGAGATCAATTGATCATGTATACCACCCGGCTCAAATCGGAGGATCGCGATCGATTCCTGATAGCTTGATTGATCCAATGCAGCACTCTCAAGCTCAGTTTCCAGTACCTAGTGTTATGGGTGCGCAAACGGGAGAGCAAATCCTCGAAAGCTACAAGTCCGACGATTTCGACACTCAGGAAAGAAGAGAGTAGTGAGTAAAGCAAGGTGGGGATGATCGTGATGCACGACAGACTCTGAGATACGGAAAGACAAAGTTTTGATCAGATACTTCTAAGGTGATTCTTTGATCTTTTTGTTCATGGGTTTTCAGCTTTTCCACCTGATAATACCCAAGACACTGTATGGTTTCCTGACAGTTTTGTGGCCGATATCGAGAACTTGCTGATGTGAACAAGATACCCATGGAAGTTTCGTGTTTATAGCGCCCTTCCGTAATAACGTTGTGGTGGTGTACTTTTAGCAAGACAATAAAAATCATAAAATGATAGGAAAAGATGCCTGCTGACATGTGAGATAATATCGTGAGCCGACGTTAGCTTGAAGTCCCACCAGGGTACAGTGGTCTTGAAAACAATGTTTGATGAATCATGGCTTCTTAAGCTTATGAAAACGAAGTGTATGGAAATGTATGGCAAGTACCTTCAAAGTTTTCTTTAATACATGTATTCAGTCAAGAGCTTTTAGCATACACAGATCTGAAACAGAAAGAACGATTTTCATTTAGTCTTTTCTTACATCTATATATACCATTAAAGACCTTGGGAGTCATTGAACTTCATCCAAAGGATTCAATTTCCTTGGAGGAACTGTTCTACTGAGCTTCGATAAGAACTACTCCGTGGCGTGTTGTCAACTTCGCCGAGCATGCAAGAACATTCTCTCTCCATAGATCTTAAGCTTCAAAGTATACAACTGCTAGAGCTATCTAGACCGCACTTCGGACATCAGCTCGACTTCCAGTGTCGGTGGTAAGATTTCAGGTGAACTCTTAATTTCAATAACGCAAAAACTTCTTAACACACATACTTGCACCCCGAACCCACATCTTGGTGACATTCAACAAATGAGCACCATCAAATCCAACGCGATTACGATCGACAGCTTTATCAAGATGTAAGTCCGCATCTAGATCTGCCATCATGAAGTAGACATGGCGCATACAAAGCCAAAGGAAATAGAAACACAGCAAACCAAGTTGAAGGAAATAAGCCATTTTGGAATACCGACGTAAGACAAAAATTCGCAGTGGTCGGACTTCCACGAAACCAAAAAAAAAAAAAAATTTAATTTGATGAAAAGTATCTCGAAGAAATTCATCATTCGGAGAGCCACCACTTACCTTGCTGCTTTCTGTTAACCGACGACCGAAGATCACAGGCGACAACATCCCTGGTTTCTCCGATTCATTACCATGGTTGTCTTTTTCTTGCCCATGGTCCCCATAAAGCGATGACGGGGATCGTGCATCTTTAGCAGGATCATGGTGGAAGGGAGGAGTAAGATTTCACGTCCTGCAATTTCCGAGGGCCATGAATAAGATTAGAACGTAATCCTACAAGTCAACGACAAGTGCTCGATTCCAAAAGATAACACCTTACTGCCCTGGAAGCCTACAAGTTCCGCAATCACTAGGCACACATTCTCTTCCTCATGAATTGTCTGGCATGCCCCTCCGCCCTCCAGCTCACATGTTCTCTTGCCTGTTTGCCCAAACGACACTTGATCCAGATTTTGATTTCGATGCCTCCAAATTGGGGATATACGGCATACCACTGCCTATTCCTCCCCTCCACCTTATTGTTCTTCTGAATTAGGCGAGTACCCTATCCAGCGACATTACGTATCTCTTAAACGGGATCCAAAGGCTGTGAGTGGTGTGTCTGGGCGGCTGAGAATTGGTAGTTCGCGGTGAATTCTTCGAGGGACCTTCAGCACAGGCATTGTTCGTCAAATATCACACGATGAGATCGTGTTATTCTATGAAATACTCATAGAATACAAGGCAGATTGGGTCAATGAGTCGTCAGTCCCGTCGTCACAGTTGTTGATAGCAGTGCCTGAAGTTTGTTAGCATTCAGAGATCGAACGCGGACTGCTAATAAGATAAGCCCACCAGTGACCACCAGTGGGTGCACAGACTCACGGGACATTTGGGAAAAAAGCACAATTTCACACCAAAAAAAGCGATTTTAATAATTCTATTAAAATTCAAATAATTGATAATTTTGTTTGAAATTAAAAGAGATAGCTTTGAAGTATAATAATTATATATATTTAAAATAATTTATTAAAAGAAATTGAAATTGAAGTTTATATAATCAATATTATATAATTTCCCATCAAAATTTCTGATGGGAAAATATATTATTGAATTTTGAAGCTTAATATTTATTTTTGAAATTCTATTCTTTATTATTATATAACTCTTATACTAAAAAATCATATAACATAGTTTATCAGTACATACACCATATCAGTACGTGCACCACTTTTACCTCAATTTACATTCTTCAATCTCAATATACAATTTATTAATCATTTATTATACAATCAAATAATAAAAAAGGAAGAATATTTTTAACTATTAAAACTATTAAAAAAAATAAAAAACTTTCAATTTGAAAGATTATTAAATTATATAATATTATATATATAATATTTATTTGAAGAATAAATAAAATAATTCTTGTAACTAAATTTTGATTACAAAATCTGAAATTTATTAAAATAGAAGAGCAAATGATTATTTTATATATTCTTAATATAAATTTAAAAGATTTTCCTCCTAAATTTAAAGAAATAAAAAATATAGTGAATTATATTCTCAAATCAAAAGAAAAAAAAGCTATTAAAAAGCTTTAAATATATCAATTTGTAAAATGATATAAAAAATTAAAGATACATTTTAATTATATTTATAATTTTCAAAAAGCTTTTTATAAAGATTCTAAGCTTTTTGAAGAATGATTTCAATTAATTGCGAATATATAAGTGAAATATAGTATTTTGGATAGAGATTTCTATAATTTCAATAAAATAAACTTTATAATAGAAATTATATGTATAGTAATGGTTATTACTAATACTAAAAAATGTAATAGAAACAAATTAGTATAGTTAGGTAATCGAGAATAAACTATAGTAATAATATATGAAAATAAAAAGAATAAAATTATTTCTTTATTTCTAATAATTCAAGAACAAATTTATCTCTTCAATTGGTATACCGAAATCAATCTTTTTGTAAATTAGGCTATTAAATCTATATTTAATAAATAAATAAATAATAAGACGGGTTTAGAATAGTTAAAATATTTCAATAAGCATATTAAGAATCGAAGAAAAAATAAATATCGAATATTAATACTGGATAAATATAAAAGTTATAAATTAATACTATTTTAAAACTATTGTAAAAAAAATAACATTAAATGTATATATTTACCACCATATTTAAATTATTTAATGTAAATTATTTAATGTAAATTATTTAATGTAAATTATTTAATGTAAATTATTTTAATAATCTAAAATATTTATATAATAATCAAATTGATGGATTTATCAAAACACATATTAATCATATTTCAAAAATTGAATTCTTTATAACTTTTAAAACTGTATATAAGAAATTAATTACTTTTCAAAATATAAAATCAAGATTTCAAGGAATAGGTTTAATTCTATTTAATTCTGAAGCTGTATTTTCGAAATTAGATATTTGAATTCATACACCTACCCCCCCCTCTTTCAATCTAGATTAATAGATCTCTCAAACTCCTTACAATCCAATTAAAACTTTTTTTTAATCAATATTAATTAAATCTCAAATAACTTATTATTAATCAAGCTCACTTATACCTAAATTTAAAATTATATTAGCTCTAACTAAAAATACAAAATAATTAACTTATAAAAACATATTTTTGAATATAAAGATTTGTATACTTCAAATAACAAATGAGATATTAAACAAATATTGACACACAAAAAAAACCCAATTATATTAAAAAGGAATACTCATTGGATAAAAAGCTCTTAATATATTATCTCAATAAAAAATTAATATTTAGATTTAATATAATGAGTATCAAAAAGAAAATAAATTCAATAAGAAAGTATCTTTTATTTGATATTATAATAAATACAGAAAAACAAATTATAATACAAAAATCTATTAAAATAATATAATAGATTTTAGATTATTAGATTCTAAATAGTTTTAATCAATTGATTTAATTATTATTGAATAATATGGGGTTGAAAGTGTAAATTGAGATAAAAGTGATGCATGCACTGATATGATACACGCACTGATAAACCACGTTATCTCAGTTTAATTGATATCAAATTAGATTTCGAATTTTGATTGAGTTTTGAAGTTGATAAATTTAAGTGTGAAATTGTGCTTTCCTGTCACGTTGTCCCGTGAGTCTGTGCACCCCCTGGTGGACCTTAGCTTATGCTGAGTCATCAATACTGTTTCTCATCCTTCCGGGTCCTCAACTCCTCTTCGACATACAGAAATCCCAAGGAAGTGACAGCTGAAAGCCATAGCTATGATGTTTGGTTGTAGCAACAAGTTACTTTTGGTTCTGTTTCCAGTCACATGTCAGCCTAGTTTGTCTAGATGTGTTCAGTCAAGATGGATTACTTGACATCTGCAGACTTGCCACAAGTTTTAACACTTACAACTTCACAAGCTTTTTCCTATAAGAAATGATTGAATGATGGATTCGCCTATGACCTTCGAAGTTGAGGAGTATATTAAAATCAAGTGTATCTTGTGCGTTGATTTCTTTTTTCTTTCGATAGTCAGCGAGAATTTGTATATCGAAAGTACGAATTGCTAGAATCCAGAAAAAATGATCATGAGTATGATAGTTTTCAAATTGCTGAAGCAGTCTAGAACAGATTTTTAGCTGCAGCGAAAGATTTTCATAATGATACTTACTTGCATCGTAGACATGAAATACTTTGGGAAATGAAATCACTCTTTCAATTCAATATCTTGATGGAAAAATCACAGAGGTCTGCATATTGATGTAAAAGCACTATTTGTATTAATCATAAAAATGCTGTATACGGCTTTCTTCACTGAACGAAATATGCAGCATTCACACTGAAAGTGGGTACAGTGCGTTCCGTGAAATAGTACGCTCTTTAAAATCCTATGAAATTTTTTAAAGCAAGTGATACAGCTAACTCAAGAACATTGGGTAGAATATCACTGGGTCAACTATTGTAGTTGAAATTTATAGAGACTTTTCACACGGTCTTTGGTTAGTTTGTCGAGACAATGTACTGCAGTTCTGTAAATTCTTTGCAGAGTTGGCATTTTACATGGATAAACTTGGACTTACTGAAATAAAGTGCCGATCTGTCAGCTAATATTGAGAATTCACTCGGATCTCACCAAGTCACACAATTTCATTCCGGTCTCTTTACCTGCTACGATTATCCTTCTTCTTCCTACTCTGATGAAACTTACTTTTACGACCGCTTTCGATGTGATTCTATCACTATCCAAACTCGTAATATAGGCATTTATATATCGCCGGTTATGCTACATATCATTCGCCCCTTTCATTCCTGGCCGACTTCCCATCCTTTCAAACTGTGCCATCATTCAATCCTGGAAGATACGGCTTGTGGTTTGGTCTATGGGTGACACTGTATGAGATTAATATCATGATATAATCTTTTCGAATAAAGAGTCACAAGAAGACTATATGACTGCAAACCCGTGAGAGCGCAGGGACAATATTTGAACAATCCAGTCATTATACGCACAGTGATTCCAAATAATCCCCAGCGAGGTATGATTTCAAATCATTAAGAAGTTGAGTCATAAATGCCTAAGTCTCATTACACTCAAAATTTTCCATTAGTAGCTTCAGATCCCCCGCCTTCTTTTCATTCTCACATAAATTCTACTCTACTTTACAGAAAACCAAAATCGAAAAAGAGATCAATTTAGCTACGAATCTTCCTACATTAAATAGCGAATTCAGAAACTTAAACCTCCACAGATATCAACATTATTGTTTTTGGTTCAATCATATCAGGAGCTTTGTCGGCAACTCCTCCGATTAAATTTCAATATGTATTTCTCACATCCCAATACCATGCTTTCTTTTATCTGCCTCCTGCCCCTCTCGTTGGCCCTCGCAACATATCGCTCCGAAAGCTCTCCAAACACGATTGTAAAGATTTACTTGTCTACCACATCTACGAATCTCACTCCCAGGCAAGAGGGCTACAAGTGGTGCCACCCAGAACATCCCGGAACATGTACTATTGCATACATCATCGATTTAACGAAGCCCCATCCAATCAGCATTCAAGTTACCGATAACAACTGCGATGATGCACTCGGTGGTGCAAGAAATCTAGACATAGGCTCCACTCTTGCGGATTTCGAGACAGATTTCAGACGAACAGATCCAGTCACAAAGTTTACGATTAAAAGTGTTGTAAATGGTAAGCCTGAGATGAAGGTAGATGGAAAGGAATTATCCTGGCATCCTCCTGCGCGTGCTGATTCAAGGACAATTCATACTGCACCTTTTGATTGTCACATGAGATAATCTGTCTGATCTTGATGTTGATGGTATTCATAACGATGCGGAACTTATGTTGTACTCCAAGAATCTAGGGTAGATCAAGATGATCTAGGATTAGGTAGCTAATGGTCATCCATCATAAGAATCAAACTCGTTGCTTTCCAAAATTCTGATTTTTAGTAAATTTTTCTTCAACTGTATCATAGTATCCAGAACCATCAGCAAGGGGAAGCGCAGTACTATTCAGTTTCTCGAGCTCTTCTTTGCTAACCCGGAGAATTTTATTTTTGACTAAATTATGCCATGCAAGATCGAGGGCCTATGAAGCCATTTAACATGTGCTAATGAGACGCTGATTGAACGATTGAGTAAAGTTACTAAGTAGTATTATTACCGCATAGAGTAAATATCAGCAATACGAGCCCTCAGTGAATCTCCCCCTCGTTGTGAAATGCTTGCGGTAGTAGTGATATGAGCTGCAGAAAATTGCCAAAACGATGTTCTACGAGTCGCACTTGCTGACACCAGTCAAATTTTAATCTGGGTTTTGGATCGCTGACGGGTGGCGAAATTGCCTGTTTTGTAAAGTGGTGAAAACTCTGATTGTGTGAAAAATCCCTGCTTCGGCCGCATCATCCTGCCTCCCGAGTCTTCAAATCTTTTTGCGACTCTCATTGGCTATCCCATAGATAAGACTCGAAATCCATCATGAAATCCATGGCGTTTATAGCTTGCACCACTTAAAGGTGACTTTGCAAGCCTGTAAAGCCAATTACTACGCTGACTTATTGGCCTGCAGCAGAATCCCTTCTGAGAAATCACTCAACCACTCAAGAACCTTATTCGATCTTTCAAACATTTAAAATTCACCTCTTCGCTACTTGGAAATGCCAGTGCCAAGTGGAGAAGACGGGTATGTAAGGATAGTAATTTGATACTCCCTTGGCCTGCAGAGGTTTGTTGCTCATCGTCAGTTCGGCTATTTCGACACACATCGGAGTTCTTCAGGCACCGTCTGTGTCAATTGTATCCACCCAAGCAATACCTCCGTATTGTATGTCAATTGGGCATCAATATCTTCGTTCCAAGTGTTTCCCTGCGTTGGCATGCGGCACAGTTCTATTTCAAGATTTCGTCCTTTCCCCCAGCAAGCATATCATCTTCTCATTCCTCCACTCTTTGCTTGTTGACTACAAAATCGGCAATTCTTCTCATACAAATAATACCGAGAGATGGAACGACTAACAATCAATGGTTCTCAGTCAGGGGATAAATCTGACAGCGCTGAAGATTCCTCTCTCGACCGACTAAAGAACGTCAACAGCCTTGAAAGTTGCGAAGTCTGCACCAAGATCTTCTCAATATTCAAGCTACCATTCGAACACGAGAATACCACCGTAGAATTGGGTCAAGTCTCAGATATACTCAACAGTAGCTGCGTTCACACGACCTTCGTCGAAAAACACAGACCACTATGGCCATTTCCCGCTCAATATGAGAACCAGCCACTAACGCTCGGAAAGAATCGGAACGAAACTTCTGCGAATCTGAGAATCTATTGGAACACGGAAAATGCACAAGGTGTTCAGTTAGGTTGGCCATTCGGTCTGATTAGGAAAGAGACTGAGGCCGAACATCCGGGTCGGGTTCGTATGCTTGATCCGAAATGGGTTGATGTTGAGGTCCTTCGAAACTGGCGAACTCGATGTATTGAAGACCATGGTGACGCCTGTCATCAGCATAAAATATCGAACTTGGAGTCAACTCGTCCTCTGCGGTTGATTGATGTTGAAAAGGGGTGCATTGTGATTACTGAAGAGGAAGAACCAGTAGACAAATACGTGACTCTTTCCTATACCTGGGGACAAACAAAGAACTTCGTAGCTTTGAAAAGCAACTTCGAGCACCTTCGGCAGCCAGGCGTGTTTTTGAACGGTGATATTGCTGCGCAGATTCCTCAAACAATTCGCGATGCCATTGCCATTGTTAGGGTTTTGGGAGAGAAATATCTCTGGGTAGATAGTCTTTGTATTGTTCAAGATGACGATGAGCCAAAATGGCAAGAGTAATAAACGCAAAAAATGATTGGATCAAAAGTACTAGTGCTGACATGGATCTAGACTTCAAAGAATGCACTTGATATACGCCAACTCATTTCTTTGTCTGATTGCTGAAGAAGGGAACTCAAGTCATGGGCTTCGCGGCATAAAAGGGGTATCGTTCGAAAGAAAAATCGAACAAGAAATCTATGATCTTGCCGGAGGGGAGAAACTCACACACCAGAACGAGTCTTGGGAAGCTTCTCCTCATGCTAAAGAAGGCTATCGTAGTCGAGCCTGGACCTTCCAAGAGTATATATTTGCAAAACGTCGACTGGTTTTCGGTACAGGACCCTTGACATGGCAGTGCAACTCAGAAGCCTGGTATGAAAACTTGATGCCATTTCCAGAGGCAGGTGCGCATTTTGCTAGAGAAGACAATTCGGGGCAGTTTGGTTGGATGAAATTACAGTTGCCAACTTTACAAGCGCTGTCAGGTCTTGTTGATAGTTTCAATGCCAAACTCTTGACGTATCCTGAAGACGTGTCGCGGGCTTTTGCTGGTATTCAGTCATATTTGCGCCGTTCATATCAGGTGAGATGATCGGAGAAGAACTACCTCCCTTCCACACTTAGCCCCTGAATATCTTCTGAGTAGACTACTGGGCTTTGTCCAGCAGTATAAAATTAATCCACTGGCAGGATGAAAAGAGCAACGCTGACTTCGTGACCATCTCTCTAGGGTGGACTAATTTTCGGCTTACCAGAATTCTTCTTCGACATTGCCCTGTTCTGGTATGGCGAATTTGACTCCAGCAGAAGAAAAGTTTCCTCGAATTTCCCTGGCAATGCAACCCACAATGGCCTACCAAGCTGGTCATGGATGGGATGGAATGGTCATATACGTTTCCCAGAAGACTGCGAATTTGAATCGATCAAATCCATTGATCTCGTTGGATTTACTGAACCTGTGACTGAATGGTACATCATGGAAACTCCTGAATCAAAAACAAGACGTAAAATTTCTTCCCAGTGGCATCAATACAGAACCGGTGTGATCGAAAATGATGTCGGATGGGTGAAGAAGGAATACGAACTAGGTCCACCGCTCGCAAATGGATTTTACCGGTCAAAAGATCTCCGCTCTCATACTTATAGCCACGAATCACAGTCGGGACCCACGTTATACTGGTATACACTCCCATCCGTGGAGCCTCAAAATTCTCCACGTATCCATCCTCAGACCCAATATTTGTACTGCGAGACCACCCGAGCATTCTTATACGGCACAACCGACAAACTCTGCGACTTCCGCAGCAAATATCGTCTCCAGCTCATCGTCGATGACGCAGGAGTCTTCGCCGGTGGCATCACCCTCGGAACCAATTATCTCCGCGACAGTAACCGTCTACGAGACGGTGTCCCTACCACAGTAGGCTCCAACCGTATGGAATTCGTCGCTATTGCGAAAGGATGGACGTCGATGTTCACCGAATGCAAGGTTAATGAGAAGATTGGTCTTGGGGAATATCTCTCGAGGTATGAGGTGCCGGATGGGGAGGAGGGGGAGGAGGGGGATGAGGAGAATGTGAGGAAGTGGAAGGTGGAGAGGGCTGCGAAGGAAGATTGTGTTTTTGTGCTTTGGGTTGAGTGGATGCATGGGGTGGCGTTTAGATTGGGGACAGGGATTGTTTTAGAAAAGGCTTGGGAGAGGGTAAGGGAGAGGGTAAGGGAGAGGGAGAAGGTAAAGTTGGTGTTAGGATGAATGTCTTTGAGATGTTGGAAAGGCAAGGAACCAAGTCACCGGATATTTTTAGCCAGAATATTGAAGTGGCCGACTCGAGGAATCGACATGCAGGCTGCTTCCATCGACAATACTTAGTTTTCGGGTTTACAAACGACATCTAAACAGTGGCGAGAATCTATCTCAGGTCTACAAAAGAGCCGAGGACGAGGACCTTTCCCAGATTTACCCACGCGCTGAGGCAAGCACTGACGAGGATGTTTCCCAAGTCTATCGCAGAGCTGAAAATGAACATTTATCGCAGGTGTACAAGAGAGCGGGAGACGAGGAGATCTCTCAGGTATACGAGCGTGCTGAAGATGAGGATCTTTTCCAATTCTACTAGACGCTATACTTGACAACCAGCATCGTTTTCCTCTCAAAATCCTAAGCGCGACTCGATAAATGTCGAAGCTGGATTTGGGATCCTATGCCATGTAGATTGTGGCTCTTAACTGAAACCTGTGAAGTAATTCAGCCTCGTGAAAGATGATAAGTTGTTTGTGTCTTGGGATATTTTAGTGATGAGAGGTTCAGTGTCGATTTTGCTTGAGTGGAGCATTCTTAGTGTCCAGACCCATGCCATTGTTTGCTCCAGAGGCTGTTTAGTTCAATCAACACACGCCGCAGTGCACTGTCCTGTAAATTGTTTGTGATCTTTCGTCCTACTTGTGGTGAATTTCCGCAATGAGGTGACTTTTTGATATGAGTCACCAGTGAGTAGTATTAGCATGCCTCATATGACTGTAATGACTCGACTGCTGATATTCTTCACTAAGTTCTTATACTTTGAGAATTCCCGCACTTTCTTTCCGTATTAATATACTTCAAGAATATCCACACCACAATACTGATCTCGTATCGAATCCGCTCACGACACAATATTTCACAGGCCAAAAGTCGAATTCCACAAGTCGAAATACACATTGCCCTTCTACTACCAACTAGTATCACAATGCTTTTCCAAGCGTTCATTCTATTCATTTGCCTCTTTACCTCCAAAAGTAGCTCTGTTCCACATTCTTACAACTCTGGCGCACTCACTCCATTTACCGGTGATGCCAAGTCGGCCGAGATCGCCGTTCGTGATCTTTCCACGAAAGATGTACTTTGTTGGTATGGTACTGTACCACCGCCTGTGAACTCGTGTACCTACGTATACGAGATACTTCAAGATCGCGAAGGTTTCAACTTTTACGTCTGCGATAGAAGTCTTGATGCCAATGCAAAGTTGTTGGTCCAACTTAATTTAGGATACAACATTGACACCAAAATTGATACTCGACAAACGCCTTTACTACACAACATCTCAGTACGAATAACCAATGATGCTATGAGTAACTACCCTTCCTCCGTTTGGTACAAGACCTGGTTTGTACTTCCAACTATAACCTCGAAAGCTCCGGATGGTCGATTGATTGGTTGGCAATCATTTAATACTTGCGAAAGAACTCTGGTAAGTAAATTATATTTCAACCATGGCATTGCTTCTGAATTGTATCTTCGTTAGCCTCCTAACCTGCACAAACATTTCCCTTTTATTTCAAGAGACGGACTAACATTTCTGGCTTCTAGGGAAACAGATACGCAGGAATACCATTCTATTAAAGTGGTTTTTGGTGTTATTTGAGCTCAAGGGTGCCCCGCGGTTGCGCAGGTCGTGACCACTTTGCAATGCTTTTATGCAAGGCGTTTTGCGAAGAGATTACATGAATTTTCGTAGAAAAGTAGTATTTAATGAATGACGCAACAATTCTACTTGACGTCAATCGTGAAAATATACTTGGAAATACCAAGAAAGGATCGTGATGCTACAAACATGTCTCTCCGCACGTATGCAACCCCTCGAGTTTCTAGACTAATCTAGAATCAGAGCATGGAAATTTTCGATCCATAGAATTGCATCTTTCTCAAATGTTTATCAATCCCATCTCTGCAATATCGATAACAACCCCTCTCCATGCATACAAAACCAACATAATGGAAACGTCAGCTCTTCAGCTCGTAAAAATGTTTTACTTCTCATTGGCACGTGCCACAAATCACCCCTGAGTTATCCCCACCTACAAACCATCTCCTCGGTATATATCCACTAATAAAAACCAAACACATATCATATTCGTCCTTCTAGGCAGCGAATCTGCATCTATCTAGATCCTCTGCACTCGACTAATTTATTATCCAAGATTTCATGACTGCATATAGATGAAATACGCCTCGTGCCAAAACATATTTCTAAAAACAATACGTATTTCAATATCCAACCTGACTTGGAATGGTGAAAGTACAGTATTTAGTTGTTATTAGATTCAGATTGAACCGCCGAAGCATCTGATGAACGAAAATACAGTAGGAAATTAACTGTAGAGTATCCTATGTGTGAATCTTATTTCGTTCGTCCCGTGCATGTTCACATCCCGCATATCGTTGAATATGGTAAGGTGTCTTATGTCTCCATCCGGAAGTCGAATCCACATTCCGATTAGTGGGTCAAGTGGAAATACTAGTGGATTTGAAAAGTGCCGATTTATTACACAATTGATCTATCATTGTTTTCGGAAATTTCAAAATCTTCGATTGGTCTTCACCGAAAAGTAATTCGTTCAAAATCATATCATGGAGGTAGATAATGAGCCAAAGGTTCCTTCCCCTAATTCATATCTAGTTGAGGAGTTGGGTTCATATGTAGATGCAGGAGAACCAGAACTAGATGTGAGTTATCTTCCCGCTAATGCTCGGGTATGAGAACTGATCAATTTCAGTCAGAAAATGATGCTGACTCTGCTCTTGGTGGAATGAGTTTGAGGTGATTAATTCTGATAACGAAGGTTTAAACTTGATTTAACGATACATAAGGAGCTCTAACTTCACAGTCGAATCGGAATTTTATCGTCATATCGAAGAGAATGGAAGAACGTATCATCGTTATAAACATGGCCGTAAGTGATGATCGATGAAAGTATATTTCTGTCAGCTGCAACTAATGATCCATGGGACAGAATATCCGCTACCGAATGATGCAGTAAGTTCTAATGCTATTCTGTGGAAATAGCATTGGCTGATAGAATCTGCGACACTCAGCTAGAACAAAATAGACTTGGTATGTGTTCACGCATCACTCATGGCTAAGATAGCTGGTTCTGATGATTTTGTAGAATTTCAACACAGATTTCTACGTATGACCATCGACGGAAAGTTATTTGTCTCGCCAATCGACACGGATCGACCAATAAATGTGTTGGATATTGCTACTGGAACTGGTATCTGGGCAGTTGAATTTGGTAATTTCTTGAATCTTGAGATGGGATATCTCTGACAACACCTCTGACAATGCGTAGCAGATGAATATCCCAAGTCAACGGTAATTGGGACTGATCTTAGCCCCATACAGCCGCATTAGTAGGTATCAGAGCTCTTCAGATTTTAATTCTCCGAAATATTTACCCGGAACTAGTATCCCCACGAACTGCTCATTCCGAATCGAAGACGCTGAAGATCCATGGAAATTTGACGATTTAAAATTTGACTTGATTCACGGCCGCGCTTTGTTATCCTGCTTTCGTTGTCCGAAAACTGTCATTGCATCGGCATTTCAGGCTCTGGCACCTGGCGGATACCTTGAACTTCGAGATCCTATCTTTCCTTTCAAATATGCAACGCCGCCACCGGAGAATTGCGCATTGGTAAAATGGAATGATATGATAGTAGAAGCCTCTACAAAAGCTGGACGTCCTTGGACAAATGGAGCACATTATAAGAAGTGGATGGAAGAAATTGGGCTTGTTGATATTGTGGAGAGAAAGGAATATGCACCAATGAGTTCATGGGCAAAAGGTCAAAGAAATAAGGTCTTGAGCGTATGGGTACAGAGGAATATTTTGATGGGCCTGGAAGGTTTGAGTATGGCACTTTTCACGAGGGTCTTGGGAATGGAAAAAGAAGAGGTTAATGAGCTTTTGGTAGGCGTGAGAGCAGATATTGAAAACACTAAGATACATTGCTATTCCGAAGGGTATGTGATAGTCCATTGCTATGATTTTCCCTTTTACTTGATGAGGATGATAAGCTGACATGTCGTATTAGGGTTCTGGTGTATGGGAGGAAACCTTGAAGGAGCCCTCTTGTGAAAATTCAACGAGCTCTTTGAGAATTTGCAATATAGGAGACACATCGTCTTCAGTTGATTTTCGACGGATCTTTCGCAGTTTGCAGTCTGAAAAACGACTAGTTAACTAACTGCTTTTAGTTCAAGGATATATACCTTGTAATATAGAGTAATTCTTAATCGTGTTTACTTTTGAGCTGCATGGTCTAGTATCAATATCTAGGTTTTCGTCTGTATCCACGAGGTTGATAGAATGGTTACTTATTGTAGAGATGTGAAGGACTGGTCTGAACGTTCCGAGAGGGTGAGGTTCGCACTGATATACCGGCCTTTTTTCACGTTCAAGAACACAATTATTTTCATTTCTTTCTACCCAAACTCATTCTCATCATTTAACACATCACTTCCTCTACTAAACTCTTCCATCTACCCTCTCAACATGTACGCTCATTCCATTATCGTCCCCTTTCCCCAAATCATCATCCTCTCCGTCCCTCCTCATCTCCCTCAACATATTAGATCTTCTCAATCGAGGTATGGTATCTTTGCATGCCCCTTTTATAATTTCTCCTTCGAATAGCGTATGTATTCTCTCCAGTGGGACATTCTTCGTCTCCGGGACACATATAACCGCATAAATCGTCATCAATATGCAACAGCCGCCAAAAAGCAAGAAAGTTCCATACGTAATTCCGCTTAGCATAAATGGGGTAATTTTCGAGATGACAAAGTTGAATAACCATTGAACTGCAATGGCAAGTGCCATACTAAAACTTCGTAGATGGTTGGGAGAACATTCAGAACTGAGAACAAATGGAATAGGTCCCCAGCCGAAGGAATAAAATACCACAAAGAGATAGACGCAGATGATTGCAAAGATGGAGTTTCCATCCAAGGGTGCTCCATCAATTGGAGGATTGACTGCTTGATTTATACCAATATAAAACATAGCAAATGCTTGTCCTAGTCCTCCTACAATCAAACACCATTTTCGTCCTACTTGCTCTGTCGCAAACATGAGTCCTAGTGCAGTAATGCAAACTTTTACCACGCCGTAGATTCCAGTTGCAAAAAGTCCCGCAGATGTGCCTTTCAGACCAACCGTTTCGAAGATTTGTGGAGAATAATAATTGATACTGTTTGTTCCGGTCCATTGTTGCCAAAACATGAGGATTGCACTTAAGGAAACGGCATAGAACGAAGATTTGTTGGATATCGTAAGTTTCATTTGTCGAAGGAGAGTTAATTTTTCTTTTCCGTGAAAGTCTGCGATGATTCCATTAAATTCGCGTTGAATCAATGGATCGATAGGAGAACGACGACGGACGCGAGAAAGTGCATGAAGAGCCTTCTCATGTTGATCTTTTTCGACGAGCCATCGAGGACTTTCATTTTGGAAGAAGAGTCCGAGACCAAGAAAGATACCAGGAAGCATTTGTAAAGCAAAAGGAATCCGCCATTTAAGTGGATTATTGCCGGCTACATTTTTGTTCATGCCAAAATTTATAAAGTAGGCGAGCATGATACCAGTTCTATAATCTATTAGTATAATCTCTCCAAAATGATCAGGTTAAGATACATACACATTGAATAATTGCATACACCCCACGCACCTCCCTCTAATCTCTTTACTAGCATTCTCTCCAATGTAAGTCGGTACAACCGCACTCACCAATCCAACTCCAAATCCTCCAATAAATCTTCCAGCGTAAAGTTGTCCTAAACTCGTTGTTCCAATCCCACTGGTAGTTTGAATGATTGAACCAACCAAAAAGATGAAATCCGCTACAAACAATGCTTTTTTTCTCCCGAACACATCACTAATATAGAAACTCGACATGGCACCAAAAAAACACCCACCCTGTAAGACAGAAACGATATTTCCCGAAACATTGGCGTAATTTGAGGACCCGTCGTTTAGTCCAAAGGAATCTTTGAACGAGGACATTGTAAGTATTCCACCGATAAGTCCGGTATCCCAACCGAAAAACATGCCGCCAAATGAGGCGACTACTGTGAGAAAATATGCATTGCGGTTTATGGATAGATCATCGATAAATTGACGATAGCGGGAGGGTTTTAGTAAAGTTGATGTTTCAATGATATTGTGAGAGTTGACGCTTGATGATCCAGGAGTGTGAGATGTGGACATCGTGGCAATTGTTTCTGATTCTCATGGAATATTCCAAAAACAATTCGTCCTAAATGTCTTTTTGGAGTAGAGAGCAACACAAAAAACGATTGCGAATTGGGAGAGACACAGAGATCAAAAGCAATCAACCGAAGAGGGGGAAAATAAACTCTATTTCATTCTTCCACATCTACTTGTATTAACAGCAAGTGGAGCGAGTTTTTATCATGCAATGTAACCAGTCATTGCCGTCACCCAATCCCGCTTTTCAATCCACCCCCACGTCATTACTCGTACCACGAAGATCTGGGGCGTAACATATCGAGTCCGCTAATCACTGATTAGAGCGTATACGTCCACTGTTCGCGGGGTATTGCAGTAGAAAAGTATTCATAAAATAAGACCATCGTGGAAAAAGCCCGGGATTCCAAGCATGTTTGGACTAGGATTTTGGAGCGGATTGCCTGAATAGTCTTGTCCGCATGATATACTTCCGGGGAAATTTTCGTTTGGTGGAAAGAAATCGACGAATGAGGCAGGAGTGGAGTTTCTTTCACGTCATACTACGTGTAAGCCGAAAACGTGGGGGTTGGGTCGTACCCCACGGGGAAGACGGGTTACCCGTGACTTTCCCGGTACTTGAAAACAATAAGTGGGATGACTCAATCCATTCATCAATAGAGCAATCATGAAGATATACATCAGTCATGTTTACGACTCTCCCAAATACTCGTTTAATTAGGCCTGACAATAGCCTAATCGTCGTAAGGTTTGTGACCTGTGACTAGAACGATTCTTGCTGGGTATGTGAAAACTCTTCAAACATTGTAGTCTTGTTCATAAGGAAAATATTATAATTATTCAGTTCTGAGACGATGACTTGAGGAAGCAAAGGCTTGAGAAATTCCAATACCTCTAGTCGATTATTTGGACGTACTTTTCGAGGTGCACGCAGGTAGACCAGCCTTAAATTTTCAATTCATTCTATTGGCTCATATTTAAGATTACATTTATCAATTTGGCAAAATCTTGTTCCGATGATGATGAGCCTCAAAGCCGAGCTTTAACGTTATTATCACTCATCTCCTCCTTCGCTTTCTCTCTCAATAATTTCCTTAGGATTTTCCCGCTCTGACTGTCATTAGTTTGTGTAGTTTATGAGATCCCTTTGCGCGATCGTCCGAGAGTGGGGATTAAAACTCACTGGATTCTTAGGAATCGTCTCTACGAACTCCACACCGCCCTTCAACCACTTGAACCTACTAGTCCTCTTTTCCACCCATTCCATTACTTCTTCCGCATTTAGTTTGTTTCCACTCCCGCCACTCTTCACAATATAAGCCCTTGGTACTTCACCCTCTTCGATCATTACTCCAATCACGGCTGCATCCGCAATCTCTGGATGTTCTAGTAATAGTGCTTCCAATTCCGCAGGAGCTACTTGATTACCCTTTACCTTAATAAGTTCTTTCATTCGATCAACGATGAAAAAATTGTTTTGAGAATCGACGTAAGCAATATCTCCCGTACGAAGCCAGACGCCGGATGGAGAGTCAATGAGAGTTTCTTTGGTAGCAGAAGGTTTCTTCCAATAGCCTTTCATTACGCTTTGTTTTGTTAGATGATTTATGTCATGCATTATGAGTGATATGAAATATTAATCCAAGAACAGATAGGTACCGGTTCAGGGCGTGCAAATTGACTTACTTAGGTGCTTGAACCCAAATTTCACCCCGTTCACCCTGTTTAAGTTCCTTGAATGTCTCCGGATCCACAATCTTCGCATGACAATTGGCATTAAGTTCACCTACTGAGTTCGGAATAGGGTTATGTCGAGTATCGCAACCTAGAAGAGAGCAAGTTGCTTCAGTCATTCCCCATCCTTGCTGTTAGATTGAGAATTAGTTTTCGTTGAATGATTGAGAAGAGCAAATTTGGGGAAGAAATTACAGTAAGTTTGACATTCCCGTTTGGCCACAGCTTCTCTGCTGCATCTATCACTTCACCACTGAGTGGTGCAGCACCAGATGTCATATCAATCACGCTACTAAGATCGTATTGTTTTGTGAGCGGTGATTTGACGAGCATCTACACATATGTTCGTTAACATTTCGTGCCCATCATTCCATGTGATTAGATGATGAATACTAACAACAACGATTGGAGGAACCATATTCAATGAAGTAATTTTATGCTTTTGTACTGCTTCCAACATATTTCTGAAATCAAATTTCTTCATGATATAAACCGGAATGCCTCGTTTAGGCGCCACAGCTCCGAAAATTGTTTGACCCATTGCATGGTATAAAGGAAGGAAACAAAACCATTTTCTATTTGTAAAAAATATTAGCAGACAATATTTGCTTTTGACTTGGAAGCTTACGCTTTCTTATTTCTTTCTGGCGTTTCAGGATGAAGTTCATGTAAATGTCGATATTGCATCGAGTTTGCAACATAATCTAGATAATATTGTTGTCAATTCCCGATCAAAACTCGCCAGATTTTCCTTGGAATGGAGATTTGAGGAATGTGAGAGCTTACTGTAATGTGTAATCATCACCCCCTTAGGTACACCAGTTGTTCCAGAACTATAATTTAAACAACAAACCGTTTCCTTGGGATCAAAATCCTCCTTCCATTGGAATTTTCTCCCTACCTCCTCACTCTCTAAAAGTTCCCACCAACTCTTTATCCCTTCCATTCCATCTTTTCCCTCATAACTCTCCTTACCGACATCACCAAATATAAATACATTCTCCCTCTCCAAGCCCGCTTTCCCCGCTGCTTTGATTCCGACTTCCAAATTTTCTTCACCGCAAAGTAGGAACTTCGCCTCACAATCACTTAGTTGATAGGCCAATTCCCTTTCCACAAATCCTGGATTTGCACCTGTAAAGATTCCTCCTGCTATAATGATTCCCATGATAATTACTGGAAAGAACAGATTATTACTTGAAAAGAGTAATACTCGATCACCTGGCTGTAATCCATTTTTGATTAATCCAGCTGCTAAACGTTGGGAATAGAGTCGGAAATCTGAATGAGTGAGTAAATTAGAAGGATTCGCAGCATCAATGAACGCCGGTTTATCTGGGAGCGGATGAGTGGAGGAAGTGAAAAGGTAGGATGGGAGAGAGATGGGAGGGATGGGGAGATGCCAGCGAGAGGAAATGGGCATTTTGTGTGCGTATTGTTGTTTAGCACAGATATGACCACAATTCAATTGATCCGTGAATATAAAAATAGAAAAGGATAGAAACAATCATCACACTCTAAGATGATACCTTGTACACGTATAATATACCACGTGAGACATCCGAGTTAACCACGGAAGGTTCCCGTCTCCGCGTTTGTCTACCCCGCAAATCATGGGAATGTGGATGAAAAAAGCGGTGCCACCAACCATTCATTAACATCATTTTACATTGAGATGGTAATAATTAAATCTATTGTAAATATTATGTATTATACGAGTGATTACAAACTCTTTTTATCAGTGGCATTTGGTATCAGAAAAAAGATTGTCTCAATCCTAATTAAATGTCGAGAAGTCCATTTTAGGTGTCCCAGTCCTTCATTTCTTTAGCCCTGCTGATGCTCTGAGATCATTTTCGGTTGTTTTAGCTAGTTTCATGACTCGTATATAGACCCTTTATCACCGGATATATCCGAACATCGGCAAGTGAGTCACTCGGTATGCTTACCCCTAGGCATCCAGGTATTTTCGCGAAGATATAAAACATGAAACTTATAGATATCACTTCACTTGTATCGTAACTCACAAAATGAAAAAATAAAAAAGAAGTCACCAAAAGTATAGAGAATATCCTCATCATGATTGTATTAAGAGGAGATCTATCTCATGCTACCCATTGGACATCTATCGAAATCCACGCGTACGGGATGTGAAAGATCACACAAGAACCTCCCATGACATTGAACGAAGTCTTCCAGAAGTCAACGCCCACAATCCTCCATATCCTCTCTCAAAATTTGACCCTATCTACTCCGCAATCGGACAGTGATCATAATTACCATTAATATTATTTCCCCACCATGATGGGAATGGTGCTGCAAATCCACCAGCTCCGAAAACTGCAAAACTCAGGATGAAAAGCACAGTATAACTTGCGCCATCCCAAGCTCCAGTAATCAAATACGAATAGTTTTTGAAGATATTTGGTCGATAATTACGGAGATAGAATTGGGTGAAGAAACCTGCTAGCACTTGGCTGAGAATTACGCAGGTTTGAGATTGGTTATAGGGAATATACCCAGCGTATTGAATGAATTGAGGCATGTTGATTTCTGTTAGGGCAAATCCACGGATCTTGGGAATGAACTGTATTGAAGTTCTGATTAGTACGTGATCTCCGGAGGATGGGAAGAAAAAGGACGGAGCACTTACAAATACGACGATACGATGAGCAAGAACAATTCCAGCACCAACCACCAAGCCCAGTGGAACAATGGAGTATTTTGCTCCCGACTTATAAAGTTGTTTTGCCAATGCCCAAGAAGCTGCGTTGGTGTTGAAAGCTTGAATAGTGGCACCGCTCCATGAACTGTTACCATTTCCTGTGGACAGAAGTTCTCGATTACCATTTACAATGGATATCATCACGACATAATTGACGAAACCACCCAAGATAGTACCATATACTTGAGTAAGAAACATGACACGAGGAGGAATTTTGACTGATTTAAAAGTTAGTTTGTGGTCGGTGAATAGAAAGTTGTGGTTGCTTACGGTATTCGCCTAATTTGAGGTCATTGGAAAGATTGACTGTATTGGCAATAACATTATGTGACCAAGCCGCAAAATACATATTTCCAACTGGTCGTCCAGGAAGCATGAGACCTGCCAACATCTTTGACAAGTTGTTTGTGGCAATACCGTTTCCGTATCGTGCATAAAGAAGATTACTCTATGAGTAAGTTAGAATATCATACGGATGAGAACTGGCCGGGATATACGTACCAGAGGAGCAATAAAACATCCCAACAATAAGGCAACAATATACGCCCAAACTGGTAGAGTAATGTTCTCCTTGATAACAACAACAAGCCCAAGAACAAAGCTGATGACGAGGACAGCAACATACCACCACCATGGGGCTTCTTTATAAGTTCTAGCCATGTGAGCATGATGTGGGTCTTCATAAGTTCCTGCCTTTGCGCTTTTGAATGCTCGGACAACATCCCCACCCCAGAAAACAAAACAATGAGTGATAAGAGCACCGATCTAAAGGGATAAAGTCAGCATTTTGAAAAGAAAAACGACTCTTCTGGAGAAAAATACTTACTGCAGCATTTGCCATGAACATAGCATACGCAAAACTTCCTGTTAGACTTGGAGTACCGAATTCCTCCAAAGCAGTCTCGTTAAGAACACCATTGCTAAAGACTTGTCCAGTTGGATATCTTGAACCATTTTCTGAACGAAGTTGTGTTGACATGAATGGTTGTGATTTGGAATCCCAAGCATTGGTATAGTAAATACCAAGCATGGCAGCAAAGCAGACAATATATCCGGTTAAACTATGAGCTTGGGTCTTGAGAGGAAGAGAGGTGTTGAAAGATGTGATCTAAATTTTGATTTTGATTAGTTTTTCTTTACATCAATGGCAAATAAAATTCACGAGAGTCTCTGACTTACATATTGCCAATCGAATGATAGGGTAAGAAGTCCCAGGCCTTCATTGTTTGTCGCACCTCCAAAGATATTGGTGAGTGTTGCCGCCTTACTTCCCGTAGCATTCATAGCTGCCAAACATGGAATTGAAACAGAATTCAACCAAGGGAAGACATATGCCGGAAGGAACTCATAAGCAAACATACTTCCAAATGCATACCAGAAGTATCTGAGAGGCTTGGAATGTTTCAAATCTTGCCAGTGAAGTCCTTGGAGAGTCTTTACTGTGGGTAGTGTACTCCAGTATACAGACTCTGGATGCCAAACCATAATTGGGCGAAGCATTCCGCAAAGTCCGTATCCAAATAGACCAATGGATATAACTGCCAAGATGACCGTGGTGGCACTGAGAGGTAATCCATAGAAGAGATTCTGAGCGGCAAAGACTGTGATGGTTTCTGCTGCATTGGATGCTGATGTTGCAGTGATGGCGCAGATAGCATGTTCTTTGAGGTTCCACGGTCCATAATTGAAAAAGGAGATGATTCGGATGTATAATGGTATAGTGCCTTGTCCACTTCTTTCTCTCCAACGAGCCTCAAATTTGTCACCGCGAGGAAGTACCTTTGCCCATGTTTTTCCCAAGAAGTAGGCAATCAGTACAATAAAGGTCCCTTGAATGACACCCAAAGAAGTTGGTTTGAACTAAATGTAAAGATCAGCTTTTGTTAATGTTTAGGATAGTACAAGTTACTACTTACCGAGTAGATTTGGTACATAACCGCCTGGAATCCCGATAGAACGGTGGCCAAGAAAATACTTCTGAAACTCAACGCTGGCTGACCATCATCTCTTAGCGGCAATAAGTGAGCAGCTGCGTCGGCACCAGTAACGATGATTACGTCGTCACTATTGTCATCTCTAGAATTATCAGACAGTTCCTTAGTGTCAATGTCCAACGTATCCTTGAAGATTTCTCGATTGTCAGCCGAGATACGTAGCTTCTCGTCGATCTCATGATGTGTTGGAACAGAAATTATATGACCCTCGACAGGATTGAAAGCCCCAACGACCGATATGTCAGTATTAGCAACTGGCATTTTGTCGGATTGACTATGATTGACTTTGGATTGGAAAGTCACAACCTGTTGGCGGCTGAAAAAGAATTATTTGAGACACAGGAAGAAAATTCAAGGAGCGTCGCACATTCTCTCATATATGGTGTCTTTCCAGCTCTCTGGTGATACCCATGTTTACCAGTAGAAGATAAAATTCTTGGTGTTGCGGACTACAGAAGCGATATCTTGTACGAGCACGATAAGGCAATTAAGATCCTTGTGTGATTGTGGCCATATCGCACGCCTTTACTAGAATCCCAACTGACTGCGTGGATACCAAGTACTTTGCCACATGAAAACGGTTCTTTTGGAAAAGAATGAACATGGAATATTGTTCCATCGGACGATACTAACAGGATTGATTATAAGTTGCATGAATTGCTACCATTTAGATGGCGCCAAACCCTACACTACCGCTGGGTATGAATATTCGCTGGGGCTATTTTTTGGGTAGGTTTTGGCTGGATCACATTGGTATGGAGAAAAGTTAAGGTTATCTCGGATGCTTCCGGGGACAATACTAAAGTCAGAGGCGATCTAGAATGGAAAACGAGTATCGATGTAAAAGATTTAGATGAAGTGATAGGTGGGACAGCCATTGAGATCATGATCTTTGGATGTTTTTATTGGAGATGTTTATCAGGGGGCAGGACCGGCGTTTAAAAATCCATGTTATCTCACGGCATGTCCGTCCAGATCCAGAATGCTAGTCGATGTGTCGGTATGCGCATGGATAAGTGGACCTAGTGCAAAACGAAAAGCTTCTCGTTTCCAAGACCCTTTGATAAACCTAAAAGATACCTTACCCAGCACTAGATGCTTGTTTTCTCACCACGGACCAAACTACGACCACACGACTTTCTTCCGATAAATATGTTGGTCAAAAATATGGCTGTCAATTGAAGAAGTTCGCCCAATATCACTCTTGATTCAGAAAGTATGTAATCACAGTTCGCTTGTAGGCAAAACAAGGGCCCTTGGCATGCCTCTCTAATAGGAACCGATCAGTTCATCAATCGTCTAACTGATCACGAATCTAATATCACGCTATCAATACTTTATATCATACCTCTCAAAACGGGATACCAGCTGTTCAAACACACTAGTCAAACGTTTTGGCTTGGCTAGGTTACATTCTGCCGAAGAGCCAAGCCGGATGATAAGTTACTCTCCACAATAAGAAGGTCGAATTGTTATCAACATCTGCTGCATTGATAAGGACTTTCCACATCTGGAAATAGAATAATCGTTGATGTATTGTTAAGATAACCTGGGAATTTCCCAATTATCGATGGGTGATATTCCAACAGTTATTTTGACTTTACTTATCTTGTCTAATCATTCATCTAATCTATCCGAGCTGAAATTTATATCTTGGCATATGAGTTAGCTCAAAAAAATGAGATTGATTGGTTGTTTTAAGAATCCAGTACCACAGACGAAACTTTGAAGAGACATGATATTCTAGCTCGACAGTGAACGGCTGAAATCACATCGTAACAAGATGTTCGTGATGTCCCGAGGTAGCGGATCGGGCAGATGGAAAAGATAAGTGGTGTTGCCCATGCAAAGTAGAGGCACAGATGTGAATGATAAAAAGAGGCAGGTAGGTAAAAAATTTTTGGTCAAGAGTTAGTTCAGTCTTTTCCCTTAACTCAGGTTTATGATGTGACCAAATCCGATAAATTTGCCTCATGGATCTGTATAATTTAGCTTCTAGAAGGAAATATAACACAGACCATATCTCGGACCCGACCTCTTTTGAGTGATCGCGTGCGAACTTCTGTAGCTTTCGTTAATTTCATAGAAAATGATGCAATTAGCAACTAATCCCAAGTCAAAGATTTCCAACAAACCAACAAAGATATAACATTGGCCCCTTTCATCTGTTGGATACATTATTGAATATCTTTAAATTTATCGGAGAAGGCACCAACCACAGAGCCCTGGCAACTAGCCAAACTTCCGTGCGCAACCCCTCATACCCACGCTGAAATCTCCACTCCCCCACTTGTGGCAAACATAACTCTTGCGATAGGATTAAATTACAGAATAGATGCCAAGATTTAGCTAAGAGAACTTTTTTAGGAGGTTTAATGCTCTCAAAAGTTTTGCGTCTCGGGCTTGAGTCGGGTAGGATATACTTTCTACACTAATGTGATATATTGTGGAGATCACCCCCATGTTGAAAGAAGATGCTTGTTTACATGGGTTAGAGTAAGCGCCAGAATATTTTGATTGGCAATTGATTACGAGGCGCTTACTCTAATCAGCAACGTCCGTGAGGAGTATAAACCTTGAGTTGGGATTTCGCAGCTCTGAAAGGATGAAGATCAATCATTCTATACGGATAATCGACTAATCACTTCCTACGGCGTCTGTACCTTGTTCCAGGTTTTAAATTTCTAATCCATTCTCTCTCAGCTAAAGAGCCCTTGCATCTAGCCTCATCCCACGGCATTGACTGGAATATTTTCTGGTGCAAAACATCTATCAATAGCCATTGCATTATTTCCCCACCAATTTGGAAATGCCGCATTAGGAAGATTAAGACGAAATACCATAACTGTTTGCATCAGTTGTGTGCCACAGTCTAGACCAACTCCTAGAAGGTAATTGTACTTTCTGAACCAGACGGGATGGTAGCGATAGACGTAGCCCATACTTCTCGATAGTTAGTATGCGGATCACTTTGAGGGAGGAACGGATGTGAGGAATTGTACATACAAGAAAGTTGAAACAGCGGCGCTAGTCATCAGATTTGTAGTTTGATAAACTGGGAACCAGGTAGCTCCAAAACAAATCAATGTCGGGTTAAATCTCTCTTCAACCTTCCATTGAGGTTTCCATCTATGGGCTAGGTACGTGAGAATGACGAGTATATGATTTGAAGTAGTAAAATGAAGAGATTCCACATCCAATTACAACCCAAAATGTAGAGCAAAACCAGAATCGAAATGTGACAATGGGTTCTCTGTAACGAGTTACGGGTATCAGTATAAATCTTTTGGTCTTTTGTTCCGGCAAGAACTTACCTAGGATCACTATGCAAGTCAACTGTCTTGGCCACCAATGGAATAGGATAATCTTTGAGACGAGAATCTATAAAGACATCATTTTCCCCTGGTACAATGATTTTCTCGTCAGAGATATCTTGGAAATCATTTGAATCGATGGCTTCAATTTCAACATCTGCAGCCTTCTTGTCGGAGATGGGGGACTCTGTGGAAATTTGAGATGCGGAGTCCCCTCCTACTGGATGTACATTGATAGTATCCATAATGCAGACAAGGCTGCGAGTAAAGAAGAATACACAATCTCAACAATAGTTTGAATAAAAGATTCCTTGGGAATTGTTTCTACGGTATACCTTTATATACCCCGCCTTTGTGTTATCTCAAAAGCCTTATCTAACTGACTGAGGGGCTTGCGTCACAGCGGCAATTTGAAATGGTTGCAACCATCAGATTACACGCTTTTCTAATGCAGGCGAGATATCGAGAACTTCAAAGACTCGTGGATATTATCATTCAAGAGTGGATGTAGTGGTCCAAATAGGTAGCACACCCGAAGATCTACAATTATCGATAGATTCGGTAAACCATGCCCTCTGGATTTGAAAATTCATAAAATTAATCCTGCTGCGAGATAAGAACCCGAGGGGCAAAGAATTATGCCTTAGAGCTTGCAATACCCTTGACGAATCTCGGAATGAGCATTTGCTCTTGCACCTTCATAGAAAAGACATACCATCCGTTTACCCGATACCAATCACTTTTGTCACTCATCTTGAAAGTGTACAGACAGTTTTGTTACCATCTTCCACAAAGCTGTCACAAGATGCCCTGCAACCACATTCCTATGCGGAACTCGAATGCTAATAAACTTACATCTATGCATGCAGGTGGGCAAGAGCAAGATAGGAAGACAGTGATATGGTTCGCAACAGTGGGGTGAACGAGCAGAAAGCCGTAAATCAACCGAGCTCCGCACCAACGGAGCGGTACCATCAAGAAAGTCATCGGATAAATTCTCATGAATTGACTTGAGATCGTCAGTTTTAGAGCCATTTTCGAAGAATATATTATACAAAATAGGCAGGAGTCGAGTGCGCCGAGGAATCGATGATGGAAAGTAGATATTTTCTTGACGCAATTGGTTGTTACACGGTAAAAGATACTGTAGAAGATAACGAATTATCATGGGCCAAAGCTCGAGGCCAAAACCCCGATTGAAGCCGCGTTTCTCGTGATAACAGATCTACTCATCGAAATATTAGCGAGGACTACACGGCTCAAAGTCTGATGGGAAAGATACCTGGCTGGATCATTCTTTGAAAGATGCCATTCTCGATATAGAACAGAGAGCGAGGAGTACTTGATGGGATGAATCAGCTATAAGTAGTCATCACTTCATCAATTGTAACAGGGGATACATGTGAACATCGGCATGACTCACTTACTACGCGATGTCTTGGAAAGGGGCGGACATGTTATGTATGGCTAGATATATTCCCAAGTGAGGATTCAGTCTGATTAAATGTATGTGATATTGGCTATGACTATGTAGCTTGATTAGATTGAACCAAGATCTAAAGCTCTGCGAGTGGGAAGTGGCAGTGATGGGGATATACCGCGCCAGTGCACGTACCCCGATCTTCCAACGACATGTAATGTTTCCACTACATTCAGACCACGGTGACAGTCTTTTGTAGTGGCGAAGTGCTTCTCATAGCTGGGCAAGTAGAATATGCCTCAGATTTGACAATATGTTGTAACATGCAACTACACGTCTAGTGGTGTTTGTGAGCGCCCAAGTCACAATCTTATGTGCTATCACCAAAGATAAGATCGATATCGCTCGCTGCTTCACTCCCTTGTAAGCGCAAAGACATACAAACATAACGATTGCTTTATTGATGAAGGCTGGTAACTTCTCAAGGTTTGAAAGTAATCGTTGTTTGATCTTAGAATTATCCAACAAGAAATGTAATGGAATTTTGGCAAACTACAAAATGATTTTCAACTGGCAGCGATTACATCTAGATTGAGTGACATTGCTAAATCACATGGCTTTTGGTGACTTAAAGGAAGGTAGATGTAAGTTCGTAGCAAGAAATTTAGAAGAACGTGCCAAAGAAAAATTAGGAGCAGAAGCACTCAATCTCCTAGTCAACAGAGATCGGCTCTGTAGGTTGGAATCGGTTTGTTGAGGTCGGAGAAGATCAGAAAAGGACGACTATTTACATCCGAAGTGAGACAGAATCAGTTATCCTATTGTTTTTCATGAACCCGGCTGGATACTGTATTGCCCGAGAATATTTCAAAGTCAGAATCCAGCGCCGATGTTAATATGGAATGAAGAAAGCAGATATATGCCGTCTTTCGTTCGTGAATTATATGATGAGAATCATATTACTTTACAGCATCCTTCCAAAATGTTCACAGTTCACAATTAGGCATGTCTTTGTCCTGTTGACTGACCTCATGGAAGTCTACTTTGCAGATAACCACAGTCCTTTCAAATGACCACAACCATATTACAAAAGTTTCCTAGCATCTTGAATTATAAAGGGGATTGGGAATTCATCTTTTTGTTCGACCCTGGCGTGTAGATACCATATATAATGTGAAATTCTATTTACCAAGTGACAAACTACAATCTCCAACCCTTCAGGGATTTGTTCTCTTCATAAACAACCATCTTCTGGAAAGAAATGTATATCTCACTTAGCATCTGGCATTCACTGAGTGTCCTTATCATCATGTCTCCAACAATCGTGAAAAGACATCGCTAGGGCAACGTAGGCAAAAGGAAACACATTAAAATGTTGTATATACATGAGACTGAGTAGTTGAAAGTGAGAGATCGGAACAACCTTTCCCCCTTTCATCAACAATCGGGCATCACGTGGAAGCGGGACAGATAAAAAATTATCAACCTTTGTAGTTCGAACCTGTCCCGTGTTTTGGAAAAGATTTTTTCTCTGTTTATATTCGACCTCTGATTGAACTTCTCACTCTTTAAATTTCTTTCTCCTACAAGTTTCTGCGCTCTCCAATCTTCTTCTCAATACTTGCTTCTTTTACACAATAATTTGAGCACTTGCTCTGCTTTTTTGCAGTCTGTCTTTTAGAGCTTCTTGCTTTCAATTGCTTTTAATACCTTTGAGCTTTTCGTCTTCTTTGATACCTTTTAATCTGATACTTTATCAAATACGCTTCTTTCAAAATGGAGTCCGCTTATGTTGTTACTCGCGAACAACATCTCTTCTTTGAGGAGAATGGTTACTTAATCATTACTGATGCTCTCAATCAGAAAGAGATTGAGAATCACAAACTCTGGGCACAAGCTGCACATGATCTCCCACGAGTCAAGGAGTCCTGCGAGTATCTCCAATACGATGAGATCAACAAGAAAGGAGAACGTGTGCTGTGCAGAGTCGAAAATTTTACGACTGCCGTCCCGGGCTTTGACTCACTTCTTCGTGGTATGAAGCTTGTCAGCATCGTTAGCCAGCTGGCCAATGGTCACATGGTTTTGTTCAAGGATAAGTGTAAGTTCAGCTCTTCTATCCCTTCAATACTTTGCTAACTTTTCAAGTGAACTACAAGTTTGCTGGTTCTGGTGGATTTGCTGCACATGTTGATCGTGCTGGCTATGGTGCCTTCAGTAACCTTAAGCACTTGTCTATTGCCATCGCAATTGATCCAGCCAACCAAAAGAACGGCGGCATGGAGGTGGTCTCTGGTAGCCACAAAGTGGACATCCCAATCAGCTCTGACAAGACTCTTGAGAAGAGTTGGGTTGAGTCTCAAGAATGGATTCCAGTTAACCTTGAACCTGGTAAGACACTTCCCCTCATTCAAATGGCCAAAATCAAGACTAACAGAATCTGTACAGGTGACATCCTCATCTTCGGAACCTCTTTCGCTCATAGGAGTGGACCCAACAACAGCACCGATGATCGTCGAGTTCTCTATGCTACCTACAACCGTGCAGTCGATGGCGACAACCACGATGCGTATTATCTTGAGCGTTCCAAGAGATACCCATCCACCCACAATCGACTTCCCGGCGTTGACTACATCAGTGGATCGAAGAATTATGCGTATGGTACACCAATGCTCACAATCGAGGGATTGGTTGAGCCAGCAGTTACAAAGGAGCAAGACGGTGAAAAGGAATCTTCTGACTGATGTAACAATTGGTAAAGATGAAACTTGAATTGTGATAATGAAGAATTGTAATGACATTAGAAGGCGTTCTTTGAGGGGACGGACTTGTCTTCATTCTCCATAGTTACTAGCATAGATCCGAAGGTTATTCTAGCCAGCGTTCGTTCGTGTTCCCACTTGGGTATGCTGGTTCTTTAAACCTGGCCTGAATGATAATAATACAAGGTCAATTAACAAAACTGTCTCAATTCCCAACCTGATTGATATAAAATGAATTGATACGTGTTTACATAAGGGAGATGGCATCTAAGCTGAGTACCCAGGAACTCATTGAGAGATTCGCTGTGTAAAATTATACATCAAACCGTAGTAAGACAGGACAAGATAATCAACGTTACTTGATATGAAAAGGTGAAGATATTATTGATAGAGAGAATAAAGTGTACACGATCTTAATTATTCCAGTTTATGTATATGAAAATGTTGGAAGAAAGATGAAAGTTGTATGTAGTGAAGTTTCAGTAGATGTTGCCTAGAGCCACACATTCTGACTAATTAGCTTGTTCAGCCACAGGGATGAGCTTGCCTAACTAGCCCTGGAGGTACCTAGTTAGGTAACCTCTGCGAGAACAAATAGTTTATTTCAACCAACCATCATTAATTTCACTCATTGATATTGGGGAAGAATAATTTGAGAATTATTTGAGATCTCTACCTTTATACTCGAAGCTTCTACCCAGCAAAATCACGTATTGATCCTGGGACTTTCTTCGAATGACAAACCAAATCTTAAGGACTCTCTTCTTACAGGAATCTTGAGAGACGATGATGAGAGATTCGCGGATCAATATCTTTCTACCTAAGTCATATTATCTATACTCCACACACAAATGAACTGTGCAGACGTACCAGTCTTGAATATGGAATGAATGGAATAGCACGTACACTTCATTGTGGCATTGCGGTAAATTCGATGGATCATCCAGTGGAATGTTGATATTACAGCTATGAACAATGATTCAAACGACGAGTGCTAGAAGCAATGTTTTCTGCAAGAATTCAATTTAGATACTGTGGGACCTACGGGTAGCGGCGAGACTGACAGTGACTATAGAGCTGAGTGCTTATATGAAAACTCATAATGTAGTTTAACACCGAATGGCCTATATCACCGAATGGCTCATTTCAAATACATATAAAATTCGTCTGTGTGTAATTGTACACTTTCTTTATTTATTGATAGAATTTTTTGAAAATTGAATATATAAAATTTAATTATAAGAATGTTATAAAAATCTAATCTTTTTTTGAAAATTTGAATTAATATAAGAATTATTATTAAAATAAATTTTTTGTAATGAAAATCGTAACATTTTCAATTTTTTATTGAAAATAATAGAAATATTTATAAAAAAAATAGATTTTTAAAAAATTGAATCTTTATTATTATTTATATTCTTTTATTTTTCAAAAATAATAATTAGTTATTAAAATAGGAATATTTAAAAACGATCAATTTTGGGTTATTTTGAAATGGGCTATTCGGTGATATAGGCCACTCGGTGTTAAACTACGTTAATAAGTCCACTAAATCACTTATTAATATCTTACTAATTAAGAGATATCTTGATGACTAATGTATGTATAATATAAAATTATATTAACGTGGTTTATTAGTGAGCGGGTTATATTAGTGAATAGATTACTTATTTTATATATAAAATTCGTTTATATAACGTAGTTTATCAGTGCGTGTATTATATTAGTATGTATATCACTTTTACCTCAATTTACACTCTTCAATTTCAACACGTGATTTATCAATCATTTATTATATAATCAAATAATAAAGAAGGGAGAATATTTTTAATTATTAAAGCTATTAAAAAAAACAAAAAACTCTCAATTTAGAAGATTATTAAGTTATATAATATTATATATATAATATTTATTTGAAGAATAAATAGAATAATTCCTATAATTAAATTTCAATTATAAAATCTGAAATTTATTAAAATAAAAGAATAAGTGATTATTTTATATATTCTTAATATAGATTCAAAAGATTTTTCTTTTAAATTTAAAGGGATAAAAGATATAATAAATTATATTCTCAAATCGAAAAAAGAAAAAATTATTAAAAAGCTTTAAATATATCGATTTATAAAACAATATAAAGAATTAAAAATGTGTTTTAATTATATTTATAATTTTCAAAAAGTTTTTTATAAAAATTCTAAATTTTTTAAAAAATGATTTCAATTAATTACAAATATATAAATGAAATATAATATTTTAAATAAAAATTTTTATAATTTCAATAAAATAGGCTTTATAATGAGAATTATATATATAATAATAATTATTATTAATATTGAAAAATGTAATAGAAGTAAATTAATATAATTAGATAATTGAGAATAGGCTATAGTAATAATATATAAGAATAAAAAGAGTAAAACTATTCCTTTATTTCTAATAATTTAAGAATAGGTTTATTTCTTTAATTAATATATTGAAATTGATTTTTCTATGGATTGGATTATTAAATCTATATTTAATAAATAAATAAATAATAAGATAGATTTAGAATAATTAAAATACTTTAATAAATATATTAAAAATTAAAGAAAGAGTAAATATCAAATATTAATATTAAATAAATATAAAAACTATAAATTAATATTATTTCAGAATTATTATAAGAAAAATAATATTAAATATATATATTTATTATTATATTCAAGTTATTTAATTTAATTATTTAATATAAATTGTTTTAATAATTTAAATATTTATATAATAATCAAATTAATAGATTTATTAAAATATATATTAATTATATTTCAAAAATTAAATTCTTTATAGTTTTTAAAATTATATACAAGGAATCAATTATTTTTTAAAATATAAAATCAGGATTTCAAAAATAGATTTAATTCTATTTAATTTTGAAATTATATTTTCAAAATTAGATATTTGAATTTATATATTTATTCCTTTTTCTTTTAATTTAAATTAATAAATCTCTTAAATTCCTTATAATTCAATTAAAACTCTTTTTCAATCAATATTAATTAAATCTTAAATAATTTATTATTAATTAAGCCTATTTATATTTATATTTGAGATTATATTAATTCTAATTAAAAATATAAAATAATTAGTTTATAAAAATATATTTTTGAATATAAAGATTTATATATTTTAAATAATAAATAAGATATTAAATAAATATTAATATATAAAAAAAACCTAATTATATTAAGAAAAAGTATTTATTAAATAAAAAGTTTTTAATATATTATTTCAATAAAAGATTGATATTTAAATTCAATATAATAAATATTAAAAAAAGAATAAATTCAATAAAAAAGTATTTTCTATTTAATATTATAATAAATACAAAAAGATAGATTATAATATAAGAATCTATCAAAATAATATAATAGATTCTAGATTATTAGATTCTGAATAGTTTTAATTAATTAATTCAATTGTTGTTAAATAATATGGGTTTGAAAGTATAAATTGAGGTAAAAGTGGTGCACGCACTAATATGATGCACGCACTGATAAACTATGTTATAACTATATACTTTTTTTATTTATAAATATAATTTTCTGAAAATTTAATACAAAATATTTGAATATGAAATAATTTTAAAAATTCAATTAGTTTTAAGAAATTCGAATTTATAAAATTGTTATTATAAAAATAGTTTTTTTGTAACAAAAATCATAACAATTTCCTTTCTTTTTTAAAAAATAATGAAATTATTTTATAAAAATTAGATTAATAAAAAATCTACATTTTTGTTATTTTTTAAGATCTTTTATTTAAGAAAATAATAATTGATTATTAAAATATTAATAACATGTTTTATTACTAAGTAGATTATATTACTGAATGAATCACTTTTACCTCAATTTACTATTTTAAACTTATATTATTCAATAACAATTGAATTAATTAATTAAAACTATTAAGAATCTAATAATCTAGAATCTATTATATTGTTTTAATAAATTCTTGAATTATAATCTGATTTTCTATATTTATTATAATATTTATTAGAAAATATTTTCTAATAGAATTTCCTTTATTTTAATATTTGTTATATTAAATTTGAATATTAATTTTTTATTAAAATAATATATTAAAAGCTTTTTGTTTAATAAATATTCTTTTTTAATATAATTAAGTTTTTTTTATATATTGATATTTATTTAATATTTTATTTATTATTTAAAATATATAAATCTCTATATTTAAAAATATATTCTTATAAATTAATTTCTTTATATTTTTAATTAAAACTAATATAGTTTTAAATATAAATATAAGAGAATTTGATTAATAATAAATTATTTGAGATTTAATTAATATTGATTAAAAAAGAATTTTAATTAAATTATAATAGATTTGAGAGATTTATTAATTTATATTAAAAGAGAGAGGGATAGATATATAAATTCAAATATTTAATTTTGAAAGTATAATTTCAGAGTTAAATAATATTAAATTTGTTTTTTGAAATTCTAATTTTATATTTTGAGAAATAATTAATTCTTTGTATATAACTTTAAAAGCTATAAAGAATTTAATTTTTGAGATATAATTAATATATTTTTTAATAAATCTATTAATTTGATTATTATATAAATATTTCAGATTATCAAAATAATTTATATTAAATAATTAAATTAAATAATTTGAATATAATAATAAATATAAATATATAATATTATTCTTTTTATAATATATTTAAAAAGCTTTTGATTTATGGTTTTTATATTCATTTAATATCAATATTCGATATTTGCTTTTTCTTCAATTTTTAATATACTTATTAAAGTATTTTAATTATTTTAAATTTGTTTTATTATTTGTTTATTTATTAAATATAGATTTAATAGTTCAATTTATAGGAAAATCGATTTCGATATATTAATTGAAAAGATAAATTTGTTTTTGAATTATTAAAAATGAGAGTATAATTTCATTTTTATTATTATTAT